TAAATATTTAAGAAAACGTGTATATGTTAATTGAGATTTATCGGTTAATAGTTCATAAATAGTAGGACTATCTTTTTGATCACCCCGTTTAATAATCATATGAATTGTGAATAACTAATAAAAAAGTAAAGGTACCGTTTTAAAAGTTCCGTCGACTAACCAATTAGTTGATTGATCCATTAATTTTAAATTATTTTCGGTCAAAAATATTAAAATTCGATCCTGTGATGCTCCCCTGTCAAATATTAAAAATGATCTTCCTTTCATCATTTTAGTTTACTCATCAGCAATTTTAAGGTCACTGACTGTTTTCGGAATAGGCAGTACTCATTGATTACGTGTCCGAACTCTACGTACAGTGTGTTTCAAATGATGAACTGAAGGCATTGCACCGGCTACTCCGGGTACTGTTTCTACAACACTGATTATATCATGTGGAGTAATTTGAGTATGAACAGCCGCTTCTTTTATGTTATACATAGCCATTACAATAGATTTTACACGGATCGGGAACATGATTATGTTTATTTCTTTTTAGATTGACTCTTAATTTCTCCGTTTATCGTAATTATTCTACCTTTACATGAACTTTCTATATGAACTGTCAATATATTGTGTTTTTTTGTTTTCTATCTTCACGATACAAAAAGCCACTATACAATAATAAATTTTTATTTGTATTACTTTTACAAATTCCATTGAAAATAATATTAAATTTTTTTTCCCCCTGCATACTACTACACTTTTCTAACAAACGAAAATATTAAATTAAATAATACAAGCTACACATTGACACGCTGCTAAACTACAACTGTATTAACTTGTGTTAGCTCAAATATAATACGATTGACAATCTTATCTATATTTCTAATATATATATATATATATATATACATAATATCGAAGTTAAATAGTAATCACATTGACGACGACCTCATACGTCAATTGCACCAGATATCGCAGGTAAAAAATAGAAAAAAAATCGAGTTACCATGACAAACAATGAAACAATTTAATAATGAATTGAAAATTGTACATATATGTAATTTAAATTTAAATTTCGCTATTTTTATTTACGCTATTAACAATTCGCGGTTAATTATTTCGCTAGTTTGGCCTAGACCCTGCTATGATGTATAAGACACTTGTTTAGGTACATAAAATCCAATACGGCAATCATATCACACAAACTATGAACAAAACTAGAAATATATTTACAATAAATATGATAGCCACCGTAGATTTGTACGTAGTTTTTATTTATGAAATAGAAATGATCAAAAATTGAACAGGAAATTCATTATTATACGTTGTATTTAATAGTAAAAAAAAAAAAATAGTGAAATTTAGTAATTTTTTTTAAATAAGAGTTTTGGGTTCCAATTTTGATGAAAACCGTAAATATTATGGCCTCTCAAATCATATATAAACCTCACTTTTTTCGTTATCAATCGTTTATCTTTGATATAAATTAAATAACTTTATGTATCCTACCTTCCCAACATTCCATCTATAGCAGTGAACCACCCTTCTGCAGTATCAGCTTTTTTTAACATTTTTCTCCCTGTAAACAACTTTCCTATCAGAGATTTTGCTTCAATTAAAACAAATTACAGAAGACCTTTTGTGTTCTATGTTAGATCTTTTTAACGCAATGAGGAGGACTTTTATATATTTTGGAGTTTTCATAACAATAGGGAAAAACCGAAAAAACTTTTATGATAAACGGCCAAAGTAAAGACATTAACGATTCCATTATTTTAAAATTTTCAAATTGTTGCTTTCTAACAAAAATCTTATTTCTAATTTCAAGAATAGCATGTGTTCTGAAAGACAATTTTTTCTAGTTGATTCGTAAGAAGGTCGTTTTTCGGTAATCAGTGAAGTTTCTTTAGTAATTGGGAAACCGGGTAAAAACATAGAAAAAACTAGAATATTTGTCGTATTTTGGTGTAAAATAACCGTACATTTATAATATAATTATATATTAATATTTTCAACGAAATAGGTACTCGTTCAACACGAAATGTATTAATCTATTATAACTCATGTAACTCATAGGTAATATTTTAATCATTATTACATAAAATATAGATACGCCTAACTATTAAAAGTTTAAAAATGTATCAGAACTAAAGTAAAAAAGATATATATCAGTAGTAGTTGTTATTTGCGTAAAAAAAACTGTTTCGATAAATATTATTTACTTTTTGTTATATTATAAGCCCAGAATTGGTTTTTTTTTTTTTTTTTAATATAACATGTAATTTTTCAAATGTCAGTAGGTAGGTATACCAAGTACTAACTTTCATAAATAACATTACAATTATATTTAGAATTTATTGCCTATACGTATGCTTATATTCACCTTATTCACATAGAATCGTCAATCAAAGTAAAATTTAAAAACCACCACTAATAAGAACATATTAAAATAGTATTAATTTGATATGAAATATCGGACGTTGTCTATAGGAATAAATATACTTCAAAAATCAAATCATAAATATTTTAGATTCATAGTTGAGGAGTACATATTTGTATTGTGAGTAAACTATGTGTTTTTATTTTCTATCCACTTTCTACCAGAAATTTTTCTCCGATCATAAACTTTAAAGAAAATATCTTGTATTAAATTTTCATTGGTACATTGGGTTGGTAATTTTTTACTTTTCGTTATTTTTTTCTTAATAATTTTAAAAAAAAAAACGGAAAATGTAAAATTTCATTATTTTCGATTTTCAATTTTTGTTATAATTCGATTAAAATTAATCGTAGAGATCTGAAATTAGTGTAGGATGATTAAACTACGCTTTTATCAATATGGTAAAATTTGTAAAACTTTCTAGTAATTGTTGAGATATTTATAGTAATTTTACATTTTTGAATTTGTCTAGTTTTTATTCGTTTCTATGTAGATTAAATTGTTTGGCCCATCAAAAATGCTTAAAAATGTATTTCCAAATTTTTATGTAGTCGTTTTAAGTTCAAATTTTGACAGAAATAGTGAAAATTATGACATTTAAAAACATATTTTATTTGATTTGTTATAAGTACCTATAACATTATAGGGTGAAAACACGTAGAACAAAATATTAATCCGCATTTCGTTTAGAATCGGTTATCTTTAGCAATGATTCATTGTTGACTACAATTAATAAATTAAATTACCATATACAAGCATACTTAAAAAAAAAAAAAATTCCTTACTAGAAAGTAAAATAATTCAATAATATTTATCGAGTTTAACAACTGAGTACCTATCTATTAAAAATATTATAATGATTATAGGCACCTAACAATTATGCTCAATAAGTAGGTTGATACTTGGTATGTACTCGTAATATAGGTAAGTAAGTATCCTATTATTGATTGTTTTTATTAAAAACTAAACTTTAAAGCTGTCTTTATACCTGTATTAAATTTTGCATAACAAGTAGGTAAGTTGTAGGAACTTAAATAAAAACAATAAAACCCCTGATTATTCCAAAAAAAACTATTTCAATTCTAAATTTAAAAGTATTTCAATAGTTTGGTAGGTACCTACAATAATAATAATATCAAAACAATTTAAAAAATTCAAAGTATTTGAACTAGCAATTTAGTATAATTTATCTGTATTATATAATTATATTATACCTAATTTCCTATTTCATGCCCAGAATGGAGAAAAATATACATTTTAAATAATAAAATAAATAAAGTAAAAACAAAATTATTAAAATTAATTATACCTCAGGGTGCCATTCTATCTCCACTCCTGTTCTTTATTTTGGTTAATAATGCTACCTCTGTTCTACGTCATTCTCATCTTATTATGTTTGCAGATGACATACAATTATATATACGTATTCAAAATACCAATGATGCCCTTCTTCTCAAATCTGATCTAAACCAATTGGTACACTGGGGTGAATTTCTAGTATTAACAACTAATATCTCTAAATATATTAAGATGTCTTCCGTATCGACAATCCAATTATTGTCAATTACACCATCCATGGTACTCCAATTACCTCTTCTAATTTTATTCGAGACCTAGGTTTTCATTTTTCTTCAAACCTTTCCTCCAAATTGCATATTCAGGAAATTTGTTGTAAAGCATATAAAATCCTTGAATTCATCTGACAGATTTTATCTGAGTTTAAATTTGTCCGAGCGTTAAAAATCCTTTATTACTCTTTAGTCTGATCTATCCTGAAATATGGATCTGTTCTTTGGGACCCACATTTATTTATAAATACCACAGCAATTGAAAGAGTTCAATGAAAATTTTTGTCATTTTTTGATTACTTTTTAAAGGTTCCTTGTCCTTCACATGATTATGAACACATCCGCAAAGTTTTAAATTTACCCAGCCTTGCTGTTCAATGGAGATCTGCGAACTTATCACTTTTATCTAATCTAATCGACTGTCTTGCACTTCTTTCCCAAATCAATTTTAAAGTTCCATCTCTTAATACTAGATTTACTTGTCCCTTTATTATTCCATTTTCCACTTCTAATTATACACTAAACTCCCCATTCTACCGTCGTATGCGTCTTGTATACTCACTTTTAACTGTCCATAAACTATTTTTCAGCTGGATTTTTATTTATTTAATTCATATTTTTGTTACTGTATTATTATTATTCTAACTAAATATCTGTACATTTTTTTTTTTTTTTTTTTTGTATTATCATATTTATATAAATCACTTGTTTTCTGGCCCACGGCCTGTGCTGTTGAAAAATTTAAAACAATTTAAAAAGTGGTAAATACTCATATATAAATAAAAAATGTCTATGTAAAAATAAAAAAAATTAAATAAAAGAATAAATACATCGTCTGGAGTATAAAATTAAGTTTATTATATGACTGGTTTCAAATTAAAAATTCATCAGGTATATCACAGTCAAAATGTAAATCACGATAATAATTTTTTTATTTATATATTTTAAGTTGTTAGTCTGTAATTTTTTTTTATCACATATTTTTTGATAGTATTATCATTAATCGTGAACTTGATTCGTGTCTTCTCTTCCCTTCTTTTTAATGTTCATTAATTATTAGTGATTTATTATATTTTATATTACTTTTATTTTTCGATTGTCTTTAGAAGTAAGTATTATTTTTCTTTTCTATGTCATAAATCAATTTAAATGTTCAATTATTTTGTGCAGGTGTACATATCAAAAAACTAAATATGCCTAAAAAGAAAACTGGACAGAGAAAAAAAGCTGAAAAAATGAGACTCAGGCAAAAAGGAATTAGGTCTGCAAAGGACAATTTATCTTTGGCTAAACATCCTTGTAACGCAACTATGGTAAATAAAATAAAATATTATTTTTCCATCACATACTAATGTTCTTGTTTATGATACTAGCCTAGTCTAATATCTTAATCCTAAGTTAATAAATTATTGATTATAGAAAAACTAGGTCATTTTAGTTAATGCCTCAATAGAATTAATGTTTTAATATACTAAGCATTAATTTTCAATTAAAAACGCAATTTAAAACATAAACTATATACTAGGTACTTAGGACTAATTAATTATTGTTAAATGATGTTTTCAATACTAATTTACATAATATTTTGAAATATTTGTTAGGTACATGCATAATTGTGTGTAGGTACTTTATTTTGTTTTAAGACAATGTGGTTGAAAATGTGTTTTAAAAACTTTATTTTTCATTTTGTCTACAACTGTCTTCCCAGTAGAGTTCAGTAATCTGTATTATATATTTGATAAGTAATAACAATTAATATTAAATATCTGTAAGTACCTCATCCTTTATTTTTCCTAATCATAATTTGTATGGTAGTTTTACAAGTTAACTAGGTATTTTATGTTTACTTTAATAAATTAATAGTTATTGTGTTGTTTTATAATATTAAAGATTGGGACTAAAGTATTGGGTTTAGTCCATTAAAACCTACTTGTTTAACTGTTATACTATTTTATAATTTTATATTGATTATATAACAAATAATGTTTATTGTTAAATATATTTTACTTTATTTTAATAATTAATTGAAAAAATCAAAAATTAAAACTTATCAACCCTGGTTAAAGGTGTGTAAATAATAAAATATTTAATTATAACCTAATGAAAATAACATAAATTAATGAATAATAATTTTTTATTTTATATTAAAAAATGAAATATTTCAGGTTAATAAATTACATGGGTGCCCAGATGGTTGGGTCAAGACTAGGCATTTAAACTTCAAAATTTCAAATACAATTTTAATAATTATTTAATATAATTTTATTTTAAGTAGGTACTTTTTAGTGTTTGATTATGTCTCTCCTTGCTAAATTTGTCTGCAACTGCCCATAAATACATCATATATTATGATTATTAAATTAATAAAACGATTCAATTGTTCACTCAATTCTGTACCCTATACCAATGAAGCAACTTTTAAAAATATATTGTACCTGTTATTATTTTTAAGTTTTTCATACTATTTCTTACTTTTATTGTTTTTAAACAAAATTTAATACTTTATTTCTGCTTTCAGGAATGTGATAAATGCAAGAAGTAAGTTTTATAGTTATTAAACTTAAACTATTTATTTTAAAATAGTAATCATTAATCAATATGAAAATATCAAATGTGCCTTTGTAATTTTTAATCGACAAAATAAAAAAATTGTGTTTTCAATGTTTTCATACTTCCTAATGTACTCGTGACTTGCTTATATAAACTTTTATCAAATGTATTAAATATTAATTCTAAAAATGATTTATTAATTTATGTAAATTTGATTCTTAATATTATATTTATTATTTTTAAATTTTAGATCCATAGCTACAATGTTTCATTAAACAACAAAGTTGTCTATTAGGTTAAACCCTAAAATTAGATTTCTCATACTATAATTTCTTTTCATTTAATTATTATCATGTAAATATTTCTAGTAAGAAGTACTTAAATTTATTAAACCTAACTATTATCACTATTAGAATTGATAAACAAAATTAAAATTTTTAAATGATTCATAATATTTGAATTATTTTTAGATTTCGATTGTATCGTTGCTTACAGATATAAATGAAATAACCTTATGTATCCTACCTTCCCAACTTCTCACTTACGACAGTGTCCGCTCCCATCCCCATTATCAGTTCTTTCTTTGTTTTATCTTACTATCAAGCTTAATTATTCTTTTCATTTAGTCTTCTAATTTTCTTTTTATTTTATACAGTTTCATATGAGTGTACAATAATATATACCTATTTTAATTTATTCTTTTCATCCCCATTTGTAACCTACATTGACTTAAAAAGTTAAATTACACTATTTTAGTAATCAAAATTACCTATTTGTAATGATGTGGTTTATTATTTTTATATATCAAGGAAAACATTTTTATAATAATAAGTTATTAATCAATTTCTAATCCATTTTTTTTTTTTTTTGTTATTACAGTAGATTATTCAATCCAAAATACATTTTTATTATAGTTTATTATACAATCTCTAAATTTCTGGAGAATGGCTTTTACATGGTTTCTTGTTTATTTTTTACTACACCTACTTTAAAAATCTTTCAAGTGGTTTACAATAAATTACTTATACTTAAAAAGAAAAAAAAAATATTGTTTATACAATTTAATTTATTTTTACTTTAGAAAACAAAAAAACCGGGCTTTTTGTTATTTTTGTCAAAATTTACAGCGTTTACCTCAGTGTGCTAGCTGTGGTAAAATAAAATGCCTTATGAAATCAGGAGATTGTGTTGTAAAACATCCAGGTGTTCATACAACAGGAATGGGATTAGTTGTATGTAACAAATATATATATATATGAATAATGTAATTATTTTTAAAATTATTGCAAACAAATTCAAAATGTAGGGTGCTATATGCGATTTTTGTGAAGCATGGGTTTGTCATGGTCGAAAATGTTTGACCACTCATGCTTGCATTTGCCCTTTACAAGAAGCTAATTGTGCTGAATGTGAACGTGGAACATGGGATCATGGTGGTCGAATATTTATGTGCTCATATTGCTCCGCATATCTTTGTGAAGATGATCAATTTGAACATCAAGCTTCGTGCCAAGTTTTAGAATCAGAAAATTATAAATGTAATTTAAATAGTTTAAGTATAGAATTATTCATTAAGTATGTCCGCATTTTATTTTGGAATTAATGAATTGTTTTATTTATTTTAATACAAATCATTGAAATCAATGTTAAAATCATTAATCTGTACAAATCATTACAGGTCAATCATGCAATAAATTAGGACAGTACAGTTGTTTACGGTGTAAAGTGTGTTTCTGTGATGAACACATTAGATGTAAACGTTTCAAGTATTCTGAAAAAGATAGAAATTATCCATGTCCAAAGTGTTCTTATCCAACAGCTGAAGTCAGTGATTTGTCGTTATCTTGTGAGTTTTAAAAATATAAATATTAATTAAAATAATAAATTTTCATTGCACTAGTGGTTACTAATAACTCATGCATAATATTTGATAGTTATTTTCCAAAATAAATAATAATACTATGTCCAATCTTGGAATATAATTCTGCCCTTTTTACTTTTCCACATCCCTTGATAAAACTGCAATCGAGCTTGTTGATTATAAATTTCTACATTTAGTCACTTTCTGCTTAAATATCCCCCACCATCTTGGAGATTCTTCCATTATCAAGATATATGCTTATCTAGCTGATCATAGACACTTTTTTAACCTCTTATTCATTTCTAATCTCATCTCATCTAATCAATAGATCCTTCTTCTCTTTTATGTTAACTTCCTTTTAAAATTCCTCTCTGTCATACCCGCTCTTCTCTGCTTTTCTTAATTCTACAGTCTTCTAATATTATTTTCTCAACTCTCCTATATTTCACCTATTGTGCACTGCTAACTTGGACCTTTCATTTAATCTTGTTTGCTTTCTTTTTCCATACTTGTATTTTTTAGCTTATCCTATGTATATTGATAATAATATTTTGATCCATTTATTTTAAATATTAAACATTAGATAAAACCATTTTTAAAATCAATGATATATTTTTTGTATTGCAATTTATAAGAATAATACAATACTGACTTTGATCAAGATTAGCAGGTTTAATGGCTTTGTTTTGAGTACACAAAGCTACTAAATTCTTTAGAAAATTTTAATTTGTATGGTTTAATTGTGTAATACTTTAATAATAATTTTCATTATTAGTTTATAAAGTCTACAAAGTGTATAATTAATTTTCTTGAACTTCAATTTAAATTTAATTATCATAATCATTTTAAATAATTATAATACAGCTCGTAACCATAAATATGGTAGACAAACCTATGATGAAGGTGATGATGATGACGACTCGTATGGTTATGGAGCAGGAAGTTCAGGAACTAATTACGGATATACCTATGATGAAGGTATATATAATATGGCGTATTGATATTACTATTTATTGGACATAAAAAAATTAACTATGAAAATATTTTATTTCAATAGCTGAATATAGTAATGATGATGATGATGATGAAGATGATGATTACTCATCAGAAGATGACGATGATGATGATGATGATGATGAAAATGATGATGAAAGTGATGAAAAGGACGCAAAAGCCAAAAAATAAAATATTTATTAAGTAGTATTTTTGTTATAAACCAATCATGTTTCTTATTCTGTTCTTTAAATGTCAGTTTAATTATACTGATGTTTAGTGACAAATAACAAAGTACTAATTTTTAAATTATAATTCTACCATTTTGGTTGTTTAAACAAAATAAAGTTCTTAAAATAATTAATATCTGTGAACACATTATTAAGTATCATTTGATTTATTGTTGGTCTTTCCAAACATTAATAAAACTAACATACCAATACTAAGCCCTAAATCACCAAAAAAAAATAATATTTTTTATGCTATTTAAATTACCGAGTTACATGTTCATCAGAATTAAAATAGTAAAACCAGAGTCTGGATACTGATAAGTGATAAGAATTAACAATATACATATCAGCCTACATCAAAAACTGTTTTGTAACCATCTTCCAAATTACCAAACAATAGTATTTTATAGAAAACAATTAAGAATTGGCAACACAGAAAATGCCATCTTTCTAATTACCACATTTATCAAAAGTGTCCATTCTATTTACATTTATTTTATGCTAAAACTAAGCAAATCAGTTTTTGTTATTTTACTCATAAAGTTACTCATATCTATATCTTGTACTTTAAATTCTATTAACTTATCTTAAAACTATGGTTAAATAATGGTTACAGCTAACAAATAATTATATTCAATAACACTTATAATGACATAATATAATATTACTGTTTTGTGTAGAATTTGTGAGGGTCTCAAAAAGAATTTAATTCATTATACACTATAGAAATTTTGTATTTTATTTATTATTATTGAATCAAATTAAGTTCATTATAATTTAGATAAATTGATTTACCTAATTTTAAGAAAAAAAAATAAGAAATCTAAGTTAGGAATAGTATTTCATTTGAATCTGAATTAGATTTTAAAATATTATGCCAGGACTGTAAACTGTAAGTAATCAATATTAAGGTTGGGTTATCTTAAGTAACTAATATTAAAATGAATAGGAGGTAAGATTGTAGAGTTTTAACCCATCATATGGTAATGGAAATAATTGTAAGGCTTTGGAAATTGAGGATTGGGTTAAATTTCAAACAAATATGAATATAATATTATTTATCTACTGAAGTCTGAAATTTAATAAATTGTTAATTTATATAAATTTACTAATTTAATGTTTTAGTAAGAACACAATTGAAAAATTATTTCTAGTAATTATCAATGTAACACTTTTATAGTTTATATCACTGTATCAGTCTAAAAACTCTGTTCAATAAAATAATACAATATAATATTAAAGTGTACAATAACTGATGTGCTTTTTGACCATTTACAATTTTTATTTTAAGTATTTAAATTAAAATAAAATATATATTGAGTAACTTAATGTGTGGGACTTTTTAATATAAACACAAAATTACTTAGTATTTAAGGTTAAAACCATTCCAAGCTACCGTATAATAATATTTATCGCTGTGTTTAAATGTATTATCATTCATCATTAGAGACCAGATTTAAATGCACTAAAAAGCAGCCAAAAATGCACTTAAAAAATGAAACTTAAATAATTGTTAATAATAATAATTTCATAATTTTTTTTTAAATTTAATATTTTATTATAATAGATTTATAATTTTAATTTTATTTCAAAAAATTTGGCTTGTGACTGGTGAAGACTATATTGACTGATGTGTATCATTAGGGGCCGCATTATTTATTCTAAACATATCAAAATATAAATGTAAAACTATGTTAAATTTTACATTAAACTATTTTATTTTAAAACGTTGAGCATTGCATTGAACAATAATATATTATTTACAATTTTCAAATACCAATGATCTTCTATTGTTTGAAAAAGAATATTTTTATGCGTAGAATAACTTTCAACATCCATGGATGTAATAAGAGCATATTTGAAGTGATAAATATCATCTGGTGTTAATTCTCCTGATATTTTTGTTAAAGCGGTTTCCTTGCCTTCTAAAATGTTTGCAGTTGCGTCTATTGTAATATAACCACAATTATTTTCTAAAAAAGTTTCTATTTTTCTTTATTTCTTTACCATGATAACTTGTAGATATTATTTCAAATACAAGTTTTGCATTATTTACAATACTGATTGCTTCAACTACGGGTATCAATTGGGCAATTTAATGATGGGGCGTAACATAATATTATACTCATATATAATAATGTACAAAGATGCATTTTAAGGAACAAAATAACTGGAAAGTGCTCTAAAAATAAAAAACATTAAATATTCAAAATAAAAGATTCACCTTTGAAGTCTCTGTAACATAAATCAAATTGTGTACCTGAAAAGCATTCTCTAAGATCAACCAAAAACAGAAGCATTTTGTATTGAAATCCAGGCCTATTCGTCATCACTCACCATCATTAATGCTATTTTAAATCATTTTAAAAGTATGTTTCTTTGAACTCATTTGTTATAGGTAAAATTTTATTTTGCAGATTTTAGGATTTTGTATATTTTCAGAACATGTTTTAAGGATTTCGTAGACTATTATTTATGGTACTGCAATTTAAATGTGTTTAGTTATTATAAATATTTGCCCTACTAATTTTTATGTAGGCCATTTAATATAGGTCCCTATTTATGTATTATGGGAAAATTATGTTTTTCACACAAAAACATAAAACTATTAAAAATATTATTAAAATAAACATTTCACTTTATAATTATTGAATCTTTATTCTTCAGATAGGTAAGTACCGATTAGGTATATGAAGATATAATTATTGAGTTTAAACAATAGGTTAGACATTTTAAAAACAATTCTTTTATAATTTGTTCCATAGCAAAATTGTAACTCACGTTATACTTTAGAGAAAAACGGAAAAAAAAAAATCATTACTTACTACAATTTAGTTAGGTACAGTACAACGTCAATAATTCGGATGTTCAATTAGACGTAGATTAGATAAGTTACTACATTCACCGTTTTAGTATATTATATTTATGTATTTACCTATTATTTACAATATAGATAAAAATTTAATCTATACCTACGTACAATAATATATTATCGAATGCTGATCGTCATTTATCGGCAATCACCACAGCGTCAGTATTAGTCTCAATAAGTCAGCCTGTTATCTAACCTTTACCTTTGATTAGTAAAGTGGTTTCTCAGTTGTTTTAACCAATGTATTGTAGTCTCACTATGTCGTCTAACTTTTAATATGTTATATTTCAATTATCCAGATATTTACTTATCCGGACTTATCTTTTACATTAAGTAACCCGGATAGTCGGTGGTCTAGGTATTAGTTAGAATAGTCATACATGCTCAAGCACAAGTGGTTTTAAGATAGGTAGAATACAGGGTGATCAATCGTAAAACACTCGTTATATCGGAAAGTGTTAACTTTTTCTGGAATTTGTATTCTAAAATATTTCAGAAACGATTTGTTCTATAATTTTTGTCATTATTATTTCGAAAGGTAAAACCATTACCTACTTTTTATTTTCAAATGAGAACCTACATTAAAAATTCCATAAATAGAGTATTATTTAAAATAAATTTTGGTGTTGAAATGTTTGATTTCCGTTAATCCATTGACGAAATATTCCACTTTTATGAATGGGTTGGAGGGGAGTATGAGTGGTTCGACCCCTAAAAATAAGGGTGACAAAAAAATAAAATAAATATAAAATTAAAAAGCTCGTTTCTTAAATTTCTAAAAAAAAAATTCCGGAAAAAGCTAATACTTTCCGAGATAATTAGTGTCTTATGACAGATTGATAATTCCGTATAGCTAAAACAAAATAATTTCGATAGGTTCTTCGAACCAAAAATACCTATGTAATACAATAACTACAAGGCTCCATCCTACCTATGTATTATGTTAATATTATTAACTTTTAGATTAATTAAATATTTATAATATTTTATTGTGGTTTTACCATTTCCGATAAACTTTTGTTGTTTCTGACCTAACCTTATCTAATCTTATGAAGTAGTTTGATAGGTATATTCTCGAGATCCACTCGAGAATCGTAGTAATATTGACTAATTGTAGTTGGTGGTTTTCCAAAATGTTAAATAAAAGTTATTTTATTATCTATTCAATAGGGAGAAAATTTTTAAGAATATAAAATTTCACTACAGCAAATATTTAGATACAAATTTAAAATGTTAATTCGCTGGGATAATTATTTTCCTAATTATAAGTAAATACAACGTCAAACCCAAATGGATTAACACGTATCTCACTTTTTTAATAATAATTTATCAATTTAAAATTAAATGCGCATTTGCATTAAATGTGTGTTGTCATTTATAAAACGAATAAAAGTTAAATATTATGCAAATAATAGCGATGAAAACTTAAAACCAAAACAGTTTATTATTTGCCTAAGTATTTAATATAATAAATTATGTGACCATACCAAAATAATACCTGTATTAGCATTTTTCGTCGATAAATGTGTAAATACCTGAAATAATACTATCTCAAATAATCATCGTAATTAATTTAGTAACAGCTAATAATAGCACTTAGTTTAATGAATAAAAAAAATAAGTACGATTTTTATCATCCATTATAGGTAAGTACTAGTTACCTACCTTATAAAATATATAATATTGTTTTAATATCATTTATTTGGAACAAATTCTATAAAAAAAATAGTTTCGTTCTATAAATCGCTAAACGTGAACCATATTACATTAATCAAACATGATTATTAAAATTATAACGTCTTGAGTTGTTTAAATAATAGTATTAAGAGCTCAAACAAATGTTAAGTATACCTACGTATTTCTGTTTTTTACAAACTTTCGGATAATTAATTGAAATTATAGGTTGTTTTCTTCTTAGTTTTTGGTCTAGTAAATAAAACAGTGGCCTATATTAGTTTTAAGAATCATTAAACATTTCATATAGGTACTGCTATTACTATACATCTACCTTGCTATATTAGCAATCACAGTCCACAGAACACAAAACGAATATTTTTTCTCCAATTATTAGAGCATTAACCTCACGACTCGTGCAGGTAAAATATAGCTACTTACCCTATTATCTATATTCTAGGTATGTCAATTTAAATTATAAATAATATATAAATACATATTTATATAAAGAGTAATTTTTTTAATATATTCAATTTGTAAATTAAAGTATTCTTATAATACAATATTGTTATTGCTAAAAATTCATTTTTTAGTAGTACAAAAAGTAATATCTAAACGAATATTTTTATAGGTAACGTGTTGACACTGAGAGTACCTAAACTACCCATCCAATCGTCATGGGGTTTTTATTTATTGATTTATAGATTTATAGATTTTATAATGGAAAATAGGTTAACGGTACCTATATATAATGCACATGACACACAGTTGATTTCTAGTAGATACCTATAACGTAGTTAATAATATTATTCGATAGTAATCTAAGATTACTTTTAGTAAGTCAAAATAGAAAATTAATATATTTCGTGGGAAATATTATAGTTATGATAAAATAAATTAGAATAAGTTTTTTTGTCATGGGTATAGTTATCGTTTATATAACCTTTCTATTAGAAAAAAAAATACATTATTCATTGAACAAATATTGCAATTATTATTATTATTTTGAAATTGATGATTCATAAACTAAAAATGTGTACGTTTATATATTTACTGTTAGATATTATAAAAAAAATACATCATGTATAACAACTACTATAACAGTAGTGGTCGAGTCAGGGACGACCTCAAGCTCCTGGAAATAAGAGATGGTGAACAACTGGCTAAGGATAGGAAGGCACGGGCTACGGAAATGCGTAGTGAAAGCGGCAATTGGCTTAAAAGGCCTGGAATAAGCCAGTAAAAAAATAAAATTAAAATAACAGTAGTGAACAGTGCTTGAATTGGGGGGATGCGTAAGGGATCCGTGTCTCAATTAACATTTCAGAAATTATAGCGTATACCTCTACTATTTATTCTTGCCTTTTATTTTTCCAATTCGAACACTAATATTAAGTAAATACAATTTTATATATTAATATAGCAGCGAGCCTATAGGACATTTAAGCTTCTAGTTATTGAGTGGTGACATGGCACTATGCTGATTCTAAATTTTTACTAAGTACTTAAGTAGGTATATTTTATATTCATATTCTAATTTATTGGTAAGTACCTACTCGGAATCCTACTATACCTAAACGTTTAATGTAGTGATAGTGATATATATATATATATATATCACTATCTATACTATAAATTTATAACTATAAATAAAAGAAAATCAAATATTACCTAGGTTCCTAATAATCGAATATTTATATGTGCAAATACCTACATAAACTATGTATTGTTAAAATGTAAATTTAGAGAAGTACGCAACTACTTATTACCTGTCTACCTAGGTCGAAATATCAGTGACATTGACCTACATTTTACTATCTGGTAGATTATAGGTAGGCAGGGCGATAATAATGCTATATTTTGCAACACCCAACAAATGTTAAGTATACAAATAACAAGTGAAAATAAAAAATGTTACATATGTTATACCTGTTAAATTATTTTTTTCGGATTCCATGCTTTTTCATGGTGCTGTTTGGGTGAGATCGATTGTGAATTAGTTTTAGTAGTTAAAATCGACCTTAGATCTGAATTGTTTTGAGAAAGATTAAAACTTACAACTTCTATATGTCAACAAATTACGTCTCGAATATTTCTTTTGTGAGATGGTGGTAGCCCACTATCTCCTATATTATATAAGCCATTATAGTTGGGCTGGTTGCAAAAAATAATTTCTCAGAATCACCAAATCTGACACAATATGTAGGTAAGTGAGGTACAAATAGTATTAGTCATTTTCCACTCCCACGATGTAAATTATGTAATTATTTAATATATTAAACGGGAGTATAATAATGACCAAGGTCGGGGCCGTATAGATAGAATGCTCTATCTATAACCGTGATTATATCAACAAACAATACTATACCAATATACTATTAGTATAGTACAATAGTACATATTTGTATGACAAATAACAATATTTTTAATACAAATAACTAGACAGTAAAAAAAAAACGGTTCTTATCAGTACCTGTCTACCTGGAATAAACGAAACAGTTACCATATTAGAGATGACTATTTTAAAATATATACCTAGGTTTTAATGATTTAATGTGGACATAATAATATAGTGCATTATACTTTAACATTTTTTCAAATTGATAGTAGTCACCACACAGTTAGTAACAGTATTGATTAAGTATGCCTAATTAATGGTAGGGGTAGCTGCAGTTAGCAGCACGATTTAAGATAGACTATCTTAAAAGTCAATTATTAATTTTTAATATAAAGTGATGTTTATTTCAAGTAGGCAGGTATTGATAAGAACCGTTTATTTTATTAGTGATATAAACTGTTTTTTTTTTTACTGTCTGGTTACAAATATTAATAATATTATAATATACATGAATGTGGTAACGCACTAACGTTTTCCTACCCGGACGATTTGTTAATCAGCCATCAGCTGTGGTAACCTATAGATAATGAAGGAATCCTTTATTATCTATGTGGTAACTACAAACAATGTATGACCGTGGTAACAGCTTAACGTGATATCACTAATCAAATAATAATAATTCATTGTATATTATATAATTTAATATTTTGTACTTACTACTTCACTACCTTCGTTGTTCCTTCAGTTGTCTTCAGTATTGATGTGTTTGGTAAATAATTGCATCCGAACGATTATTTTTGGTCATTGTTATTATTTATATTTGCATTTTACTATTACCTATTTAACACAGACAAAATAACTAACCGTGAAATGGACAACAGATACTATGTTAATTGAAGTAACCGTATTAAAATGTTAATTTCGATTTTTGACGAATTGACAACATTCTACTTAAATGAAACGAGTAAGTACCTATGTCTTATATACTAAAGCCATATACTAAAATCATTATTATTCTGATATTTCTGTTATTCATTATACTATTCTGTTCATTGTATGTTTTATCGTTTATGCATACGTTTAGGTAAAAAAAGGTCTGCAGACAGAAAGTATACCGTTATTATTGAGCCAAGCGGAAAGGCAATTCGATGGAGAGGATTCAGATTGTTTTTTGTCCAGTGATGACATGACACCATTTAAAAAGCACAACATCTACTACAAAAGCCGATGGGCAAGGGTATCTTCACTCCTGTTTTGTGGGTATGTAATGACTAATAAGTATTAACATCATATTTGCATTAGTTGTTTGGTAGAGTTTTGTGGGTTTTAGAGTGTTTTTATTTGGCTTGGAAAAATACTAACTAATTACTGGCTATATTATATTGGGTTTATTTTGAAATAATATTCTAAAGTATTTTGGTTGTGAAGTATTAATAACACAATAAAGATCATACAAATACAATTTTTGTTTTTAAAACATTACTATAAATAGGTGAGTTATATTTTTAAATCTAAATTAGATAATGAACATTGTATAAAGGTTAATATTTTTCAAGTTTAAATGTATTACCAATTATTATTTGTTATAATATTAAGTCCACACAGAGACAACTTTATGTTTTGTTTCTATATGAAACAAATTTTAATTTATATTGTCGGCCATTCGTGTTAAGAAGGTTTCATTTCTGTTATGTTTCAGTTTTGCTGATGTGTGTGGATTAACTTTAAGTGTTGAAATTCACAAAATTAAAACAACAGTAGTAATAGTATACATTAGTAGTGTAGAATAATGAAGTAATAGTACAATTCATGTATTATGTGTGCAACTTTTTTTAGTATAGTCTTCTCTTATTGCAATGACTTATTATATTCTCTTTTAATAGATAAGTAACCTATGGTAACGGTTTTGGCAATTAAAAATGTGATCATAAATAAATAGGTATAAAATTAAAATAAGTGCCATGTTGGGTATTCTCAGTTTTTGAAAATATTTTCATTTTAAATTATAATTTGTTTGAGACAAACATAATTTGAGAACTAAGAGTAATTCAATTTAATGCCTAAATTCAAAATGAATATTTTCAGAAATTATGCGTTTAGGAAAGTGATTTTACATTATACCTACTTTTAAACGTCCCCCTATATTATTCACATTTCACCCTCATTTGAAATTGTCGGTAAAAACTTCAGGCTTACTGTAATAAAATTAATGTTTGCTGTAAGTTTTGATTGTAATTTCTAACTGTTTTGATAATTTTTTTTCCTTTAAGTAACCAAATTCTGATAATTTATCATATATTTTGTGAGTACCACCGATTAATTGGTTTCTCGATTTATCATCCTAATCAACTAGACGTACTTCTCTATTATCATCACGATTTCGTGGTTATCACTTGGGCGGTGGTCATGGAAGAACAAACTGGCCGTATGTTATATTACTCTATGCTGTGCGTTCACGCCAAGAAAAAAAAATTGAACCTTGACATTCGCGCGCGTGATAATATCGACTCATTCGTTCGGTCATTATTCGCATTACGTTGAACGAGAATACGAAGAGCCTTAGTTTCCGCGAACGCCGCCACGTCCACACCCCCCGGCCATTACCATCGGACCTAACTCCCGCCCGTCAGCGAACCGCTACCACAGACCACCACACAGAACAGTTGTACGTCTCACAGTCTTAGTGGCTCTTCGACCCGCGATGTTGAATGTCGTTTGTGTTTTGTTACTGTTTTCGATTCGGTAATTGGTCCATCCGTATTCTGTACCATATTATATAAGTGGGTGCGCGTTTCGTCTCTTTGTGAGCGATACGACAATAATTGCGCATGAAATAAACATACAGAAATAAGTAATACATACTTTTATTATATGCGTACCTTCCTACAATTTGTCAGTATACACACCGCCGTTTCTACCGTACAATAATTTTCCGATTGTTCGACTACCTTTATTTTTTATTTTTCGTGCCGTTGCCCCCCTCTCCCCCCCGTGATTTATCATTGCTAGCAGACCGTATAGTCGGTCGTGTTTGTAAGTACCAATGTACCATTCGTTTCCGATCCCAACAACCGTCTATTAGTGTCCGGATTTGTGTTTTTTTTTTTTTTCTAAATCGTTTTTCCACATCGGGCACAATCGCCGAATTATGTGATATATTTTATGGATTCGCCCGCCGGTGCAGGTGTCTGTTTGGTGGAAATGAACTCATCCTCGTCCACGACCACTCTGACCGTCAAAGAGGACATTCCGCTTTTGACCAAGCCTCGGGAAACCAATAACGTCTTCAACAGGTTTGACAAAACCGTTTTGTTTGTATTATATAATAATAACAATAATTATATACCTACCTAGGTAGTCTATGTGATTGTTTCCTACATAGGTGAAATTCCTGTATATCTTCTCTACCTCCTAATGTCCATCCGTCGTTATAAGTGTCTTGCATCTTATTACTTGACGTGTATTCTTTCTTGATCATTACTGTCAAGTTCATTTTACCCAAATCGGATATTTCACTATTGAAAATTGTCTTCATTAATAATTATCCAGCGGTGTTCTACTCAACCTATGCAATTAATGTAATTATTTTTCTACTGCATTGCCATATTTTCATATACTACCCTTTTCATTGATAATGTTACTAACAATTACCTACGTAATCATTTTACATTCCATAAACTTTTTACTTAAAATTTGTCATAATTTTTTTTTCTTTTATTTAATCTAACCTTAATGCCTGTCGATACAATCTATTCAGTTACAATAATATTAGAGTAAGAACTAAACCAAATTTAAATTTCAAGTTTCTGCTTCATATTTTTATGCTAGATAAAAAAATGTCTATTATTTTTATTATTTAAAGACGAAAATAATAATATATAAAAAAGCAATATTATGCTACCCAGTAATAATTTTGAAAAAATATGCATTATATTTATGTAATTAACAATAATAATATTGCTGTTAGTAGTATTATTTTATTTTAAACTTTGACTGACAGTTGTGCCATTTTTTTTTTTTTATCATAATGCAAGACTAAGAAATATTTGTTTATTCTTATTTACCTAGGCACAAAATATTAAAAATGCAATATCTATTTATTGATTTTTCCCAACAAGTAGGTACTAATATTTGGATTTTATGACTCTATAAAATAAGCGTTTGATGTTAATTTTAAAATCTTGTTAAGCGTTAAGTAACCTTGCTTTTTATATATTTGTTTTGTGTTCATAATTGGTTAGTTTATTGGTTGATATATGTATAATTATTTATACATATTTAAATGTGGATAATGGGCATGAATAATTTTTTTTGTATGTATTATTTGCATTTTTTTAACGCTACAGGGTTTTCCGGGATATAAGGGATGCAACAACAGTCATTATTTCAGTTCTTCTGAAACCTATTTGTTGATATCTATTAATACATATGAGCTGTATGTCTTATTCATGCTTTGTTTAGATTAAAAAAATATAAATAATTTTTCTGATAGTTACTTACTTAATAGAATTCAAAACTATGTATTATTAATCATTAAAAATCTTCATATTGGGAAAATACCAATGTATTGAAATTCATATTCAGTAGTCTATACTAATCAATCTTCAACATTATAATATAAAACCTATTTTATAGTACATTGGGTACTTTCTTGTTATCGGGTCTACATTTTGGATACAAATTCCAACATTCAACTGCGAATGGAGGTTGGCGAAGGCTCGTTCTTACATAGCGAGGTATAAGTACACTTCACTTGGGGAACTAACTTCCTTACACCAGTATCAGTACCTGTCAGGTTTGGATTCATAGGTCCTTAGTCTATATGATGTCGAGCGAAGAGTGTCCCAGGATGCATTAAGCATAATCACACATTTTGGCTATTTTTCAAGATTTATGTACATAAACTTTAAAAGTAAGTATCATAGGCACTATATTGTCTTTAATTAATTTTAATTTTTGATTAAATTGGAAATTCATGATTTATAAATGAACTATCAAAGAAATGCAGTCCCGATAACAGGAAATTATTTGAAAATTTACATTGATCATACATTTACATCTGGTGTTGCTTATGAATTAATCTATCACCAATTTACATTATTTTAAAATATAGTCAATTATTTAATATTTATTTATAAGTTTCCTTTTAACAAAACTATGGTATTTATTTTATGTTGTGTTATTTATGAAAATGCCTCCCAAATTTTGAATTTATTCCATTACCCACATTTTAGTTAGCTTAGTTTATACTATTTTGATACAATTCTCAAGTTACTTGGTGAATGTGTAATTATTTACATATTTGAAAATATATACTTACCTACCTATTTAGCGAAAGAGAAGATAATTTTTGTCATCCATATTATTTGACAACCATTACGATATATTATTAGTAACACTCTGTGCTTTTTATCATATTTAATATATTATTTATATATATGGTTGAAAGATAAAATTATTTTACATATTATATATTAATACCTTCTTGGAATTAAATTAATTTTGTTATTATTGTTATAGATATAGTAAAAACAATTGATATTATTTACTTTTGATTTCAAAATAATTTGTTTATATTATTTTACATATTTTGAATGAATGAACATTGACATATGTTTAGATAAAATTTATTGCATTACATTTTTCTAAATAAATAGAAATACATATCAAATTAAATTGCCTTTAAAAATATTAATATAGGTATTGAATTGAAAAAGTCAATACAATTTTTTTAAGAATTTAATAACTATAATACACCAATAAGTATAATAATTTTAAGTCTGTTACACCAGAATTTTTCTAGGATAAATAAGAATAAACAGTTTTCTAGTTGGAATATTTTAAATATTTTTTTATTTCATTTGAATAAAAGACTATATCAAATTTTAGTATTTTAATTTTTTATAATAATAATAACAATAATTTATTTAAAAAAAAAAAAAAACGGTAGAAGCCTGATAGTACAAATGAAAAAACTTAAGAGATAATATACATTTTGTATTGCCCATTAGATATTACATATTATTAATATTTAGGTAAGAGTTTAAAATTATCGCTAAAGGTGAAAAGAAAAAATTGTATTTTTAGAAGTTATTACATAAAGCCAGCCCATAGTCATAGCCCTCAAATAAGAAGAGTATATCAAATAATTTATGCTCTGTGTTGGTATATAAAACATAGAGGTTTAGAGATTATTGTTAGCTAGAATGTTAAAAAGCACACAGATTAATGAATCTGGAGTATCAATTTGACCATTGCATAATTTATAAACTTTGGGAATATCTGCCAGATCATGTCTAGAAGCAAGAGTTTATGATTCAGATAATACAATGTTTCTATTATTTTTTTTATACAAATATGACATATTTCTTTAATAATATTACAAATATTACTGTAGGTAATATTAGTATTTACAACATAATAGGTATATATCTACTTTATTCCATATTTTACTGCCTATATACCAAATAGTTTGTTTTTTTCTTCTAGTTAAACCCTCTATTTAGTAATTATAGTGGTTAGAAATGCATATATAACAATCAAATAGAACTTAATTTTGGTATTTTACTATTATACGAGACATACAGAATTATTCAGTTATAGGTCTATTGAATTATTATATTTGTGTTTAAAATAAACAACTGGCGGTGTCCAAATAAAGAATATATATTCCATCATAATATTATTAATAAATATTTTTACTCTTAAGTTAGACTCTGCATAACACTGAAGAAAAAACTATTAGGTTACTTCAAAAGCTTAGAATTATTTTTGCATTTTTAAAAAAAAAAAACAAGGTCATCAATTCATGATGTAAAATGAAATTTTTGGAAATTCAAAGTTAAAATTTAATAGAAATAGATTATTGTTTGGAGTAAAACTGCTTTAATTTTATTTTGGCTGTATAAAAATATCAAATTGGGACACTGCCTGAAAATTTGAACTCCCTTGTCTCGGATAACAGGAAAATATCCTTCATTTTTTAGAAAGCCTTCTTATTTAAAATTTTGTTTTATTTTTCCATAAGTTCAATTTTTCTAGAAAAAAATTCCTCAGTTACACATAATTAGAAAGTTAATAATTTAAAATTGCTCAAATTTAGAGAGGACGAAGTACCTAAACTAATTTTTCAGGAATGAAAGCATACCTTTACTATTTATTTGAAGTAGAACACATGGGATGCAGTGGAGGATAAAAGGTATCATGTCTAAAATGAGCTGTATATAAGAAACTATACCTATAAAACTATTTAGTGGAATTTCTGACCTCTACGATTTTTTTTCATTGAATACACAAAATAGAATAAAACACATGCAGTAAATGTAACAGTTTTCCTGCTGTTTTTTTTAGGGATTTTTCTTTTAATTAATAATACTTTAAAAAAAAAAAATCAAAAAATCATCTTTATTGCATCAACGAGACAACAATTTTTACTAATAATCAAACCATCACCTCTAAAGTTGATAATTGGAGCAAGATTTCTGGTAGAAAAGTTGTTTACATACAGAAATAGAATAAACACATCATCATAATAGAATCATAGTAGTAACCATGATATTAGAATCTAAAATAAATATTTACTATAATAGGTACCATATAAGCAAAAGTTAGCCTGCAGTAGGTAGTGTGTGTTTTTGAAAATTGATGTGGAAGGTGTGGAGGGCTAAGCCCCTTAAGGATTAGGTTGAGTTTAATAATTGCAAGGGACGCTAATTTTTTTATTATGTGGTATAGTCCCTCTTCTTTTATTTTATTAATTCGAACACTGTTTAAAATTATGAATTAAGGTTCTTAGATATAGACACCTATTTGATTTTCATGGAATAAATTACCATTACTTATAATTTATATTTATATTATAAGGTATCATATTGTAGAAAAAAAACAAAATACATTATTAAGATTCTTTTTCTCCTTTGCCTTCATCCCAACTATTTGGTCGGGGGGGCCATTCTCGTTCTAAATTTCCATTTGACCTGTTCTCCTACCTCGCATATATACTGGCTATTCTCATATCATTCAATCACTTCTGTGTCAATTTTCCTCTATCTCTTTCCTTTTATGTTTATTTTCTTACTGCTTCAGATTCCTCTTTCCCCATGATGTGTCAAACCATCTCAGTCTATTTCATCTTTGTCTACTATTGAATCAACACCTAAACTACCTCTTATGTATTCATCCCTTCTTCTATCTTCTCTTATTGTTCCACCTAAGTATTCTCATTTTGGCTACTCTCATTCTCTGTTCTATTTTTATGTTTACCTTTTAAAATTCTACTATTCAACTTAGTTTCTCCACCCTTTTGTAAAAATTAACTTTAAGTCTCGTTGGAGTTCTCTAGTCATATAAAACATCTGGTATTTCTCACACTTAATTTTATGTTTCACATCCTCATGAAAGCCACCGTTCTTTAGTACTAAAGATCCTATTGTTTACTTATTCCAGATTTTCTACTATCAAACTTATATCATTTGTAAACATCATGTATGTACCATGGTATCTCCTTTCACCTATTGTCCTCGTCTACTTTCGAGATAAGACAATCCATCAAAGTTTTTTTTAAAACACCTCATACTGTTGTTTGACAGAATTTTTCACCAGCTGTCGACCTGAAGCAACCCCATTTGTTGATCCTTAAACATGAGTGTATTTCTGGTTCTCTTCCACAGGGAGACTAGTATTGTAAAATATAAAGTGAAATCCTTCCTCCATCTTAAAGAAAAATACCTATTGAAAACACCCACCTGGACTTTCCACCAGTAGTAGCTCAGTGCCTTGGGTTTGCTAAATCCATACCATCATAACTCCTCCTAAGGTTTAAAATTGTTACTTAATACCATAAAAAAATATTTCATACTTTGGAATCTAAATACTTACCTATATCTGGCAAAAGTTGTAATATTTTATCAAATAATAATCATGTGTTATTCTAAGTGTTGTATAAAATTAAATAAAAATATGTTAATTTGGTAATTTTAAATTTAGTTGTTAAAACATTACATTTTTTTCCTCGAGTGACCCCGCGAAAGTTGTTGCATGTTTCCTTTTACCTATTTAAATTTTAAAATTTAGTCAACTTTATATTTGTTATAAAATTTACCTATATTACAAAGTTATACCGCATGAATTTTATAATATTGTGTGTTGTCTCATTTCATATGAGACCTCACTGAAGTACTCAGTAATACAATTTGTAAAATTTACACATTAAAAATACTATTGAACACTACAATTGTTTTATTTAAATAATTTCTACTCAAATAATAATTATTTAGTTAGCTACTTATCTAATTATGTTTAGTCTTATTTTCTAATTTTAAATTATTAAAAATTATTAAATTAACCCGGATCCAATGAATCGTTTTATTTCCTTATTTATTTGAAAAGTATGACCAAAAAGACCTAATAGTATTTTGACAAGTTTGTCGTATTTCATGGAGTTGGTGTCCTATTATTTCAGATTGTGACACATTCTCCTGCCTGTTTATATTTTTACAGTCATGACAGAAGAGAAAAAAAGTAAATTAAGGTAGGATCCCAATTTGGTATTTTTAACTAATATAATATTATAATAGCCTAACTATAAATTTTAAGTTAGGTGTGTCAAGACCTAGCTGGGCTAACATATTACAAAAAGGGTGAGCAAAACTTAATAAAAATAACCATTATTTTTATTTTTTTGTCGTCTAAATAGACAAATTATTTATATAAAATCTCTAAGTGTCTCTTTATAGTAGAATTTGTTATTGATTTTTTTTTTTTTGAAAACTCCATTAAATTTTTACTACTTACAAATTTATTTTTATAATACCTAGTTTATAATATGATGTGTCAATTGAATTATATATTGATGTATTCAAAATATCTATTATTGTTTTAATAATTTTATTTTATTAGTGTTAACTTATACACACATACTCATATTATATAAACTATTAATATTGTTCAAATTTAGACATTTTAATCAAATTACTCAAATCTATTATTATTAGTTAGGTTATTTTACATAAAAATGTTAAATATTATTCTTTATATGCTTAATATATGGCTCACCCTTTTTAAACAAATTGTTGTTTTTGTAGGCTGCTGTTCAAGGTTAGGTGAACCTAACCTAGGCCTGTATTAAACACGACTAACACAAAACTAAAGGCAAATTACTACTATGAAATTCATTAATACTGAGTGTTTTAAATTTTACATTTGAAATCAAAGTGATAGCGTGTTTTATCTATGACCCAATCAAGCTTAATAGTTTCAATGTAGTGATTTGTTGTAAATATTTATTTTTTTAGATTTTGCTTGTTTTAGGTACTAAAAATCCACTCACATAGGTGTATTATTGCTTAGCTTATTTTTGTAAATTAATTTTGCCTGCATTTATTTTTATAAACTACACACTTTTTATTAGGTATTGCTTTATTGCATGTCTTACATTATTATAAAAAAAATTATATTTATAAATAATAATACAATTTTTAGAATGGGTTATGCTAAAATGGGGTCATACTTGAACGAATATTTTAGTTGCATAATTATGAACTATAAATATAGGTAGATTTTTTTTGTTTTTTATTTTATGAATGAGAGATGATTTTATCTACATTTTTCCCCTATTAACTTATTCAGTATTAAAAAATATACCTTAATCTATAAGTGATTGTCTAACTTTTCTGATTTCATGTATATTTAATTATTTTTTAAATTTTTATTATTTTAACTTTCAAAGTAAGGGATCATGATAAATAATTTATGTTGAAAAAAAAAATTATCTAAATAAAAGCCTACTATCCTGTTATTGGTGTTATTTATGGTGTACATAATTTTTGCTATTAAAACTTCCTACCTTAGTATATGTGGTTATTAGATGTTGATAACCTAAAAAAGGTACTAAAACATTACAAAAATTTATATGTAAATTATATAGTGATGGTAAAATCAAAACAAAAAACAAAACACATTACATTTATATCTAAAAATACGAAAAACTGAAAAATAAAATATTTACATTTTAAACCTATGATGCATGAAACTAATTATTAGCTAATCTGTAATTGTTTAGGATAAAAATAAAAAAAAAAAATTTAAAAGTCATGAACATCTTATTTCAAGTTATTATATTTGTTAGTTTGTACCTAATTATATTTCTATACAGTGTATCCCTTGCGGGTATACTGTATACCTAGTTTCTTTTTAAATTAAACAATTGTAAATAATTTTAGATTTTAAAACGTGTTACTCTTATCTTCAGAACTTTGGCTCTATGAACAGTATAAACCCAAAAATACTAGTATACTCAGTATACCCAGGTGGGCCCAATACACAGGATAGTACTTTAAAAAGATTAAAGAAAATTATAACACTAAAGAAATTGTGAATAAGTATGTTACCGTCTCTGATAATAATATTAGTCATAACTAGAGTCCGGACTTATATTCTGTTAAAAATTTTGAAATATGATGTTTATATTATATAGTATGAATTGATGAAATATTCAAATAAAAAAAAAGTCATGGTAAATTAAAACATTTAGACCCAGTCACTACATCAGTATATTGGTTGATAACACGATAATCGTATTTGTTATTTTCTTCTTGAATATTGGTTGGTATTGGGTATATTAGGTATATTAGACTATTAGATATAAATATATTATAATATGTCTATAGTTAGATTTAATGCTAATATTCTAATAATGATAAAAACTATTTATCTATTTTCTAATATAATCCAATATAGTGAAAATATACTAAAAGATTTTTAAATATGTACCATAAGTTAAAATATTCTTAAATCCTAAGTCATATGCATTAAAATACAAAATAAGTTTCATAGATTTTACAGGTTTTGAAACAATAACATTTCTTCATCAAACAGCATACATTTGTTAAAAATATGTTTTACTTATAAATATGGACTCTAGTCATAACTCATTAATTAGTTATCATGGAACATAAAAAGTTTTTATTCAAATTTAAAATAATTTTTTTTTTTAATTGTATTTATTTATTTGTATAGATTAGAAACATTGATTATTTAAATTATCATCTTTGACGGTAATATTATATTTTAAATGAATAGGTACATAAAACATTATACATATTTAAATGTTAGATGTGGAGTATTGGTAGTTATTCATTTTTTGGCAGGTTTTGTCAATGGATTTGGCAAAAATGCTTCCGCAAAAAGGAGCTTACTTCACGTACAATTATTATTGGGAAACAAAGTACAGAAAAGTATTCACCAAATGTCATTCGCAATCAGAAGTATACCATAATCACATTCCTCCCAAAGGTTTGAATTTTATAAAATAATTTAAATTTACTTAATTGATAAATAAATGATAATAATTAATAATTTTTAATGCCAGGTGCTCTATCAACAGTTCAAATTCTTTTTAAATCTATATTTTCTCCTCATGGCTATGAGTCAATTTGTACCTGAACTACGACTTGGATATCTTTACACTTATTGGGGACCATTGGTATATTTTATATTCCAAATAGTTTGTTTTTATACTTAATTGTATTTAATTTTGTAGATATTTGTATTAGCGGTCACATTATTTCGAGAAGGTGTTGATGATATTCGAAGATGGCAACGAGATGAAGAAGTTAATTCTCAAAAATATAAACGTTTAATACGTGGTAAAGATCATAATATAGGTACTGAATATGTATCTTCATCTAAACTCAAAGTAGGAGACTTGGTAAGTTTTATTATATATTTATTTAATTAAAGAATTAAAATGTCTTTAATAAATTGTGGTGATTATTCAGGTGCTGGTAGAAAAAGACCAAAGAGTTCCAGCTGACATGGTGTTACTTAGAACAACTGAGAAATCCGGTGCTTGTTTTGTACGAACTGATCAAATGGATGGTGAAACTGATTGGAAATTACGTCTTGCAATTGGAGACACTCAAAAATTAGATTGTGATGCACGTTTGTTTGACATTACAGCTACAATTTTTGCAGAAAAACCTCAAAGAGATATCCATAGTTTCATAGGAACATTTAGAAGGGTAAAGCTTATTATTTTATTGAATCTTCAAATTTTAAAAATGTTAATAAATCCTTTGCAATGTATAATTTAGCAAGACAATGGTGAAGAAGTTAGTCTTGATGTAGAAAATACACTATGGGCCAACTGTGTTGTAGCTAATGGTTCAGCGCTTGGTGCTGTTGTGTACACTGGTGCTGAAACTAGATCTGTAATGAATAATTCACAGCCTCGAAGTAAAGTCGGTCTATTAGATATTGAAATAAATCAGTTAACCAAGGTATAATTAACTTTTTTTTGTTTGATAAATCATTTTGTATTTATATATCTCAATAAAAATTGCAGCTTCTTTTTTGTGCTGTGGTTGGTCTAGCCTTTGTAATGATGTGTTTAAAAGGTTTCAGTGGTCCATGGTATCGGTATATGTTTAGATTTGTATTACTTTTCTCATACATCATACCAATTAGGTAAAGTATCAGCTATTTATATACATACAAAATAAATAAATAGTAAATACTATTTGTTTAATTTAGTTTGAGAGTAAACTTGGACATGGGGAAAGCATTTTATTCGTGGTCAATGCAAAGAGACGAAGAGATGCCAGATACAGTAGTTAGGTGTACAACAATACCCGAAGAACTAGGACGGATATCATATTTATTTTCAGATAAAACTGGAACATTAACTCAAAATTCAATGGTTTTTAAAAGGCTTCATTTAGGAACTGTATCTTATGGTGCTGAGTCTTTTGACCAGGTGAAATATATTATATATTTTTGAATTCACTTTTGACTATAATAATATTATCTTAGGTTGCTGATCAACTAAAATTGACCTTCTGCGGATCTGTTGAACCAACACATAATCGTAATTTGTCACAAGGGTCCACATCTTTTAAAATAAGACGGTCTGAGCAAACTCGTCTTCATGATGCTGTCAAAGCTATAGCATTATGTCATAATGTCACTCCTGTTATTGAAAATAATGTGCAAGGAAATATGTGAGTTTATTATTTTTTGAAATGTATGACATTTTTTTAAATGTGTTAAATTATGGATTTTAGTACTGATAGTCCAGTAGAACTTAGATCTGAAGCTGATCAACATTATATTAGAGAAGGTCTCCTATCTCGTGCGCAGTGTACTTATCAAGCTTCTAGTCCTGACGAGGTTTAATTTTATACTTATTTGTTGTCGTAAAAAAGTAGAAATTTAAAAAAAGAAAATGTTTTTTCCATATCTTACAGATTGCATTAGTAAAATGGACTGAAGATGTAGGATTAGCTGTGATTAAACGAGACTTAACATCACTTCAATTGCGGACATCTAATGGAGATATACTTAATTATACAATATTACAAATGTTTCCATTTACATCAGAAACCAAACGCATGGGAATAATTGTTAAAGACATTGCTACTGGAGATATTACATTCTATTTGAAAGGAGCAGATGTTGTTATGTCATCTATTGTACAATACACAGACTGGTTAGAAGAAGAATGTGGAAATATGGCGCGAGAAGGTTTACGTACCTTAGTAGTAGCTAGAAAAAATTTAACTGAAGACCAGTATGTAGAATTTGAAGTATGTATTTGTTTATTTTTTTTGAAATTAAAATATTATAATATAAAGTTAAAATTAAAGATATTCAAGGTCATAAATCTTTGATAAGAAATAATTATTTTTGTTTTTTGTTAATTTAAAACAAGCAGCTCTAGAAAAAAAATTTCATCAGCCTTTATTTCAGGAATTAAACAATTACCCACTTCTGATTTTTAAATAGTTATCTAAGTTGAAAATTCCATAAATAAATACATTTTTAGCTGAACTACATTTTGATATTGCAATACCTGTTGGTAAAGTATTCCAGTATGTATTTTAATTTAAATTGAATTTTTAATATAGGTTATTATTATAAAATTAAAATTAAGCAATAGTTTCATCCCCAAAAATAAAATTGACAAATTATTAAGGTAATGTTACTTTTCTAAAGCTGCTGTTTTTCATACCTGTTAGTGTAATATTATAACTCAGGTTATTTTTATTTGTTTAGTCTCGATTGAATTCAGCAAGATTAGCTGTAACAGGTCGAGCTCAAAGGGTAGCAACTGTTGTAGATACACTTGAACGTGAAATGGAATTGTTGTGTGTAACAGGAGTTGAAGATAAACTTCAAGTAAACGTTAGAAGAACTTTAGAACTATTGGGAAATGCAGGAATTAAAGTAACATTAACAAAAAAGATATATGTTGTTATATGTCTAATATTTATTAATTTTTATTAGATATGGATGTTAACTGGAGATAAACAAGAAACGGCTACTTGTATTGCTAAGAGTTCTCGTCTTGTTTCACGAACTCAGGAATTATTTATCTTTAATCCTGTACATACAAGAACTGAAGCTCATCAACAATTAAATGCTTTTAGAAAAAAACAAGATTGTGCACTTGTTATCACTGGTGATTCTTTAGAAGTGTGTATTATCAAAGTATATATTTGCATGTATTTATATTAATTCACTAACAACATTTTAAGATTTGTCTACAATATTATCAAACTGAATTGTTGGATGTTGCCTGCCGTAGTCCTGCTGTAATTTGTTGTCGATGTTCTCCAACTCAAAAAGCACAAATTGTTACTTTAATTAAAGCACATACTGGGAAAAGAACTGCCGCTGTTGGTGACGGAGGAAATGATGTTTCAATGATTCAAGCTGCAGACACAGGTACAAATTAGTATTTATTGGTTAAGGAAATTATAGATCAAGATATATTATAATTTGTTTTTTAATGAAAGATATAAAAAAATAATAATGTAAAGAACTGAATGAGAAAAATTTATATTTTATACTCTTATCTTTGTTTATGGTTCATAATGATTAACTATTAAAGTAAAATTATTAAGTATTTAACATAAAATTAAATATGTTAAATTTTGTGTAGGTATTGGGATTGCTGGTGTAGAAGGTCGACAAGCATCATTAGCTGCAGACTTTTCAGTGCCTCAATTTTCACACCTTGCTAGACTTCTTATGGTGCACGGCCGATACAGTTATAAAAGATCAGCATCACTAAGTCAATTTGTTATCCACAGAGGTCTTATTATATCCACAATGCAAGCTATATTTTCAGCAGTATTTTACTTCTCATCAGTAACGCTGTACCAAGGATTTCTTATGATTGGGTAAGGTTGATGTTGTAGGTAAGTTAATTACATATATTAATAGTTACAAGTACTGTTTGTTTTTAGATATGCTACACTCTATACTATGTTTCCTGTATTTTCCTTGGTACTCGATAAGGATGTTTTAGCTAAAATTGCATTGACTTATCCAGAACTATACAAGGAACTGAGTAAAGGGCGGTCATTATCATACAAGACCTTTTTTATTTGGGTTTTAATTAGCATTTATCAAGGTAACCAATGCGAGATGTAAAATAAAATTACAAATTATTTGTTTAATTCCATTTTTCTAGGTGGTGTAATAATGTATGGAGCACTATTTCTATTTGAAGATGAATTCATTCATATTGTTGCCATTAGCTTTACTGCTTTAATTCTAACCGAACTAATCATGGTCGCATTAACAGTGCGAACATGGCACTACTTAATGTTATTGGCTGAACTATTTAGCTTAGCTGTTTATATTTTATCATTAATCTTACTCAAAGATTATTTTGGTTAGTATATATTATATATTTATATTTGTTCAAACTAATACCTTATTGAAATAATTCTATTTCTGTTTGTAAATTTATTTAGATTCTCATTTCATACAAACTGAATCATTCCTATGGAAAGTCACTGTGATTACACTCGTCAGCTGTTTACCATTATACATTTTAAAATTCTTGAGAAAAAAATTTTCACCACCCAGTTATTCCAAGTTGTCATGAACACTTTAGTTGCTTTAAAAAACTACAGTAGTCAAATTGGATTTATAATCGAGGGAAATCAAACAAAACTATAAAGTATATTTATATGGATTTATAATCTTACCAAATTCAGCTTCAGTATTCTTCCATACATTTTATTGAAATAAATTGAAGATCATTTAAAATTACTCCCATAAGTACCCATTTATATTTATCATACCATTTGCATAAAAGTCACAACTAATACCGACTAGAATAAGTACAACTCTTAAAAATGTATATTTTACTAATATTATATATTTTTTTATTATAAAAGAATTAATTCATAATCTCCAAGAACTTTTAAATATTCTAATTGTGTTATTTGTGAGTTGAAGTAACTGTTTAAAACAATTTAAATTATTTTTATTTTTTAGTTTTGTTTTTATAGAATGTTTATATCTATAACTACAATTCATAGGTATATCAAAATATGGTTTTATTCACTTGACAGCTACTGTGTAAAAATAAACACTTCACTGGTTTTTTTTTTTACATTCTTCACCCTGCAAGCATTTTTTATTTGATAATTAAAATAATATAAATTACTCATTTGAATTATTATAAATTTGGTGCAGGGTCTGTGTACTGCAGTTAATATGATCGATCTTAAGTTGTACTTAAATCAAAATATTAATGTATGTCACCATTTCAATATTGTTCTAAGGATTTTATACATTTTGACAAGAATCTTAAAATTCATTTTTCATTGTAATGTTGGTATAACAGCACTAAAATATATAAATATTTACAAATTATTTTGGGGTAAAAATTTGTGCACAACCGAATACAGTAATTGGCTTTGTTTTCATATTTGAGAGATTCAATTTCAGAAAATAATTTACCCTACTGCTCAACATTTTAAAACTAGATATTCCCGTTATAAATTTTAAGAGGTATTTTTACTTTGTATAAATATCTTTTTAACTTTATATTGGTATAGTCAATGCTAAAAAAAAAAAAAAGTTTATTGTTCAATTCAAATTTAAAATGTTGATCAATATATTTTTTTTTTTATGTTGGATATATAATATAATTTATTAATGTTTAAAATATAATTTCTTTACAATAAATAATATATTCTAATGCGTTTATTAATCAATTTTGTAAAGCGCCTAATAATAAATGATAAAATATATATAACTGTTATTATTGAAAAATATAGTTTATTAAAAGTTCCTGAGTTGACAATATCGAATTTGCGTAATGTTAACTTGTGTCAATCTGTTCATTTTAAACCTCGATCAATATTTTAATATTTTTTTCTGTACCTCATTGTTTTATATCTATAACACATTCATTTCTAATTAATTATGTAACATCACCTATGCTATATAAAACAATTTTATTTTATAGAAAATCATAAGAATGCACAATTTAACATAAATTCCATTTTAACTATTCCCTATTTAATAATTTAAGATCTTAAATTTAATTATATAACATGATTAATTGATTTAAACATTTTACTATTCCCACAGTAGGTAGTGAATATTTAATTATAATGTGTAAAAGTTAAATAGTATGTCAGAAATATTTACATTTTTCAATGGTGCTTTTGATTATACATTTCCCTACCTATTTGTTTAGTATTTACTGGTCATTTTGTTAGAATGTTATTATTAATTTTTTTTTTTTGTGGCTGTTATTATTTTTCTAGTGTTAACTGCTGCAGTTGTTTTGCTTTAAAATATAATAATCTTTTTGTTACCCACCTCAACATTTGAAATAGCTTATTATATCTATTCATTGTATTAATGTGATTTAAAGTATAAAAGTATGTTTTGACTTAATAATTTATCAAATAATTTTTAATTAAAATTACATAAAATGATATTTGTATGTTTAAGATGTACCTATTAGAAAAGAATATATTATATTAACAAATAATTTATAAATAATATTATTTTTGTTTCATAGGGTAAATTAAATACATTATATACTATTGAAATGAAAATTGAATATTGCATGTCTGATCATCAAAACTAAAATAAAGTGATAACAGACTTCTTTGGCCTTGAAAATTTCAAATCACTAGAATTATAAATAACTTGTGGTACTGTTATATCACATCTGAAAACAATGTAAATTCTTAGAGAATTATAATATAAAAAGTAAAAATCAAAATCAGTGTTATGTAAAGTTTACAAACAAAAAAAAAATGTCCTAGGATAATGGGGGAACGGGTGCAGCCACTGTTATTAATAAATTAATGTATACCTGTAAGCAATGATAAACCATTTCTTATAAAAAAAAAAATATATTTTGTTTATATTACGTATAAGTACAGAATAAGAGTAACATTTTGAAAATATTACAGATAAGAACACTAAATAATTCTATTATCTGTGTTTATATCTGAAAAACCCAAAATCTTTGTAAATAATCTCTAGTTAATAGTGAAAAGATTATTCCATAATATTTTGCATACATATATTTCATTGTAAATATTTCTATTTTATTTTAATTAGTATAAGATACAACAAAATTTGATAAAAATAATTTATGAGTGATCAAATAATATTTAATTTTTTTAATCCAAGCTTACATGATCTATTTTAAAATTTCAACAGTAAAAAAATTTTGTACAAAAGTATTTTTAAAAACATGTTATAGTTTTTTTTATTAGTGCCAGATTTCTAGTAAAAAAGTTGCTATCAAGCACAAAAAAAAAAAAAGAGCTGATACTGGGAACGAAAACAGCTACTGAGAAAGTAGAATACCTAAAGTTATTTAATTTATATCTGTAGTCTATACACAAAAATAAACTATTGCTAACGAAAAGATTCAGAGCAAAGTTCAGTATGATGTATTTTAAAATGTAATTTTTAATTTTCGTGAAAATGTGTTTTTTCAAAACGCTTATGAAAAAAAAAATGCATTAAATAATTAGTGTTTAAGACCTTTATGCATACAATTTGTAGTTTAGGTACCTTGTGTTAAATTTTCAAGTATTTCTTTTATATACAGTCATAGTACCTAGTCTAAGTTTAATAACAGTTACCCATTTACCAAAATACATATAGAAATATCAAATAACTATAAATAGCATTAAAATTGTTAAAATGTTGTAAAAATGTTACTAAGTCTAAAAAAAAGCTAATATAACAAATTTTAAAAACTACAGGTTAGGTTACCTATATACAAAATTGTTTAACTAAATAACAAAAAGTCGTACACTTGGTCATATTGGTATTTCCCAGGTTTTTCCCAGTTTTTGTAATTATTAGGAAAACTACGAAAATACAACGACTTAATCACAAACTATAAAAAAAAAAATTCTCAGAAAATATTTTATTATTGAAATTTGAAAAAAAATTTCTCGTAGAAAGTGTAATCTTAAAAACTGATTATAAAACGGAACACAAACGAAAATATAAAATTTAAAAAAATATATGATACTGAAGACGGGTGTAAGTGAATAAATGCTAGATGGGTTAGGTATATAAAGTTATTTAATTTATATTTGTAATCAACGATGAACCATTTCTAACGAAAAACGATTTGGAACGAAGTTCGGTTGTACCTATGTTCTACATGTATTCATTAAAAGGTCGTAATATTTACGAACTTGGTCATATAGTAAAACTTTAATAAAAGAATAACAATTATACTGCTTTACACTTAATTTTTTTTTTTTTACACTTAGTAAGACTTATAATGAACCTTCCTGTCAAATTTTCAAATATTTCTCTTTAGTCTAACAATTTGATCCGCAAAACAACTTCCAAATAAAAATTACGTAAAAACAAGCAAAATTAAAATTTCTATAAAAAACGTAAAAATGGCTTAGTTTACCTGCATTTTACCACGTCTGGAAAAAACAAGTATAAGTTTTCTGACAAAATATCACGTCTACAAATATTTTTAACTATAAAAATAAAAGAATTATTTTCGTAAATTAAAATATAAGAGAATTTAATGTATATCTGAACGCAACGATTAATCTTTGCTAACAAAAAATGATTTTGAGTAGAGTTCTGTTTTGCTTGTTTAGAAATATTTACGGTTCGAAAATAATACATTTAGTACATTTGCCTATTTTTTTATGAAAATCCCCGGGGAAATCGAAACAAAATTTCTGGTAAAAAAAATTGTCCGCAGAAAAAAACAATTAAAAATAAACGTCATTATAAAACCTATACATTCCTCGCTTCGCTTAAAACTTAAAATATAGATGTATTACCTACGACTTTGTCTACTATTTTGTTTTTGTGCAGCTTACATTTCTGTAGTTTTGTCAGTATAAATACTATTTACTCCAAATTATTAACTACGCCAAGATAACTAATAAATTAATAAATACAATTTTTTATTTAAAAAATACCAAAAGAACTGTGTTAGCTATCCCTTTTCAAAAATCTTTCCTTAGTTGATAGCGAATAATAAGTATCTACTGTGAACACTTCAAGCTTATGCCTGGGGTTTAGGCTGTGCGTTGACTTTCGTTGACATGGACTGATAACGGAACCATGTGTTCGAATTTTTGTGGAGGGGGACACAAAGATTGAATTAAAAAGGAGATAAATTATATCACGCTCACAGTAATCGTTCAAGCATTGTATTCTAGCATTGTTCTATATTTCATAGTTTAGAAAAGCACCGCTAAAATCGTTAAGATTTTTCTATTTTCCCTACTTGGTATTCCATGTCTTAAAACTTGATTGCACCGTTAACAAATACTTTATAATCTATGGTTACCACTTATTATACGCCTGTAACACTTACCACACGGCTATGATTTACCTATATGGAGGTAGCTGTTATTCATTGGGTTTGGGTTATTTTTTAATAGATTAGATATATTTTATTTTCACGGTGAAACAGACTTGATATTTAATATAGATATATCTGCAGATTTTTATTTTACTGTATTATATAAATACCGGTTTTAAATTTTTAGATTTTTATACTCATATTAATATCGACTTTGACGACACTTATATTGGCATAATATAAACCGAATTCCAACTCTAAGTTCTTCAATGATAGAGCACCGTTTATGTATATAAATACCAAATATTATTTTTGAAATAATTTACCTAGTATGAATGAGAATTGGCTGTACCATAATTTAACGTTTCTATATGCCATTCTATGACCTTTACCCATACCAGAAATTAAAAAAATGGACTCCTAGGTACCTTCTGCCTCCAGCGCAGTGACCTTCAATTTATGTACTCGTGAAAAAAAGTAAATTTTCGATTTTTATATTATCACGGGGCTATAATTTTACTACATGAATGGAATGCGCTTTGTGTACCTACTATTGTAGATACAAGTAGTGATTACTGATTAAACTGCATTTGTAGGCATATATTATTATAAGGTGTAAGGTATTAAAATAGATTAAAAGTTAAATAATACTTACCTATTTAAAGTATGCTAGTTTAAGCATTTAAAAAAATTCAAACTAATCGAAATGTCGAGAACCAAAACTATACGGAGATCACGTGTTAAAACAATAATTGCACGGTGATAACAGTATCTTCAAAATAAGTACTCACCTAGATCGTAGGTAGGTGTACTAAAGACTGAAGTGGATAGGTAGGTACTTAATAGTAGTATGGTACGTGCTTTCTGAACAACGACCGCACGCGTTAATCGGCGTACAATCCAATCATCGCATGTGTGTCACGTGCGTGAAAAAAACTATCGGATATGTGTAGTAAACTTGTCGGAAATACGGTCACGAGAAAATAAATGATAATAATAAGGTTCGTCTGATATGATAATCTAATTATAATTGTAATCGCTGGCGGTCAAACCAATGAACGTCAAACGGGGGTGGGGAAGGATATACTATATAAATATAGTACCTATATGCAGGGCCGGCTTGAAGGCGATGAAAATTGTGCACGCGTACAGAACCCTGAAATTTCAAAGGCTCTACGTCTAGTCGTTATCATAGCCAGATAGTAACTTCACATGATTCTTTAGGAAAATCCCAATTAAAATTGTATCATAAAGATTTATCTACGCTTGGTATTAGAAGATGAAAAAAGGTCGATTTTGCTATATCGCCCGTTAGTTGGAATGAAACAGCACATGCGAGTACAGCGTCCTTTTAAGTCAATTATCTGCTGTTGCAGTTTCACAAGTTCACAATTGAAACGAAACACGGCTGACAGAGAGATAGGTATACAGAATAAATTAAATATACGATAATACATGATTATCTTATATTCGTACCTATATGGGAATTTAAAAAAAGGATAATTCTGATTCAATATAAAAGTTTGCTATTAGCAATTATAAGTAATAAATAACCATTACTATCAGAGGCAAATTGGGAAAATATTTCGATGCGGGATAATAGTAAATAAACCAGCGCGAGGCTGTTGTAAATGATGTTGAGTTTTTTTACATCCATGAAATTTTTAAGTTTCAACCACAAACATTTTCGACTATCATAAAATAACCAATTTATTATAGATATATATAATATTATGTATATATTTTTATATAAATGGCAATATATTAATATTTATTTTGACTCTCTTTCCCATAAATTAGGTTCATACCCAATTTTATATTTAGACCTTGCCATAAGTATAGCACCTCACCTGAAATTCTTCATATTCCATATTTTATAATCAATCGTTTTAACTTAGGTACACTATTTCGAAACATTTTTTTATCAAGCAAAACAAAAATATGACTATCTGTTCAAAAAACAACCATCTTACCTTTTTGATACATTAAATTCACTCAAACTGACGAACAATTTTAATAAAATCTTACAGGAAGATTAGAAATAGGTACCTATTAAAATAATAAGTAACACAAATTAACATAAAAAAAACACGCACTTTCGTCGTCGATTAGTATTGAGGAGAGTAAGTAGAAAGTAGTCATCCCACTCGTGCACTCGTACTAGCAACTAGATCGACAGGGTGACCTGCATAATATTATAAACGCTGTGCTCGATGGACGATGCGAACATAATAATATACATGCAAACATATATAACGCTAATTGTAATAATAATAATTGTACAAAATAATACCACAGATCAATTAATGAAACCATGAACATTAGATAATAACATTTTAACTAATCTGCGATACCTAATCTAGATAACCGATTCTAAAGTTATTTTTCTACTTTTATTTTTTATCGAAAAACATTCATAAATCACGATTCGTTTATTAATTTAAATAATAATTAGAAAAAAGATTTAAAATTATTTACTTACGGAGCAGTTTAGTTCATTGGGAAAACTCCCAAATTCCCGATGGGTAAATCCGCCCCTGGCCAAAAGCTGCGAGGATATTTACTGTCTATATATTTGGAAACGTTTCACGAAAATTAAAATTATTTATCGCATGCATTCATACACCTAAAAGGGTAACGCCGATTAGGCGTTATCCTTTAAATCATACTACGCCGGAGAAATAGTATCTGATACAGTGAATAGGACTCAAACCGATGGTTAAAATTTTGGAAAAAACATATTCTATCAAAATTTAAATTATACCTACACTTACGTACAATTTTTGAACAATTTCATGACGGGTCGATTAGTGACACTAGAATATCTCGTTTTTCGGTTGGAGCAATATTTTACATAAATTATAAATTTGAGGTCATATAACATCTTTTGTATTAATAGTAAAATAAATTGTTTAAAATATTTCTAGTAGTCTGTATAAAGCGTATAAATTAAAAATAATATTAATAATAATAATTATAATAAATAATAATTCGTACGTTTATAATTTGTTCGTTTTTATTTTACATATTTCTTACCGGTTTTTCTTAACTGTATATTATAACTACTGTTTGAAAAATAAAAACATGGATAACTTACTCAGTAACGAGATCCAAAATGTAACAATGAAGGTCTCTAAATAATTTTTGATTGGATTAAGATTTTTGGTCAAATAGTTGTTTCAGATAGAAAAAAAATACACATCATAGTAAAAAAATAAAGCCCTATAATATCGCTCAAAATCTAAAATGCGAAGGCAGTATCGGCCTGGAATATCAAAATATCTATCGTAAAGCATTTGTTTGAAAGGGCCTCAACCTGATTTCTTTCCTGAACTGGACTTAATGCTGTTTGATGGTATGCTTTCATTAACACTATCTATACCAGCATCATCATTTGGTACAATATTTTGATTAAATGATTTTATATTGTCATCAACACTATTACAGGTCAGTAGGTTATTTTCAATTAGTTCACACACAGTATCCGATAAAAACCCCAACATACTCAAGTATGGCCACTTCGGTTCAGGGTATATGCATCCTTCAACCTCACTTCGTGGAGTATGGTTAAAAAAAATTAATGAAATAATATGTTATCAATCTTTTTTAATATAATTATAAAAACTAATAAACAATATTAATATTACAATATAAATGTAAATTTTGTAAACATGATTAAAATTGAAGTTGAATAAATAAATTAAAATTATTTTATAAAATACTGGGTAAATAATGTAAGTATACATTATTTCATTTTTATTAATTATAATATATTTACCTATATACAAATGCTTTCCTTGACTTCTATTTAGCGAATTGGTCAATAGCCAATACATTCATCTCATTGAAATAGATTCAAGCAAAACATTTTCATTATTAAGAATAGTAAATTAATTTAATTTTTTTTTTTCAATGAGTTGATCACATATTATAGTTGCAATAGTTTTTGACTCTTTCTAAGACCGAAACCGATCTTTCGCCTGAACAATTAGATACTGGCAGAGTATAGTAAAATCGCGATGCAATTTCAATATTAAGAAATAAATTATCAATTATCCAACTTTATGTTTCTCAGCATTGTCAATAAAGTTTATGTATTTGGTTTGGATTGGTTTGATTCATCCGATTTGAGGAAAATAGAATTCACTTTAAAACTCAATCGCACTGCTTCTTGAATAAAATCTTTTTCTATATTATCGCAATAAATATTTCGATACTGATCTGCTTTCTTTTCAATATCATCCGTTTTTGGATTTCCCAGATTAAATAAAAATCAAATTGATAATAAATTTTATTGTAAATAATTTTTCTTTTAGCCAAATATAAAAATAAAAGTAAAATTATAATATTATATTTAGTGGAAACGCGTATTTAAGTGCGCGTACCGAATAGGTATACTATCGTAATCACTGATAGTATTCTCAAAATAGGAGTCTTTCAAAATTTGCACCTTTAAAATCTTGCGTCCCTGGGCAGATGCCCTTCATATAATTTAGCTCTGCTTGTACTGCTGCAAGTGAGTATAGGTATCAATCGGAGAGTAGGTTTTACAAAACGCTAGGTAGCCTCGTGAAAATGTGTTTATATTCTTCTCGCAAAAAATGAAAGATGCATACCGAGTCTTCCAAAATACAGAACAATATTTTTCTTGAAAACCAATTGGATTCGTTTCCCTAGTCTACCATTTGAAGTCCCGAACAAGAACGATTTATCTTGTTCTAAGGCTCGAGACTTATTGCACTTAAAATTCACAGAAAAGGGCTTAATAACGTTAAAAAGCATTAAAATAAACAAATATTATTAGACCAAATGGTAGAAGTGTTTAAATTTTCCCTGTATAGCGACTTTAAATTATTAAACATAATTTTCTAACACAACACAAATTAAAAAATTATTTTGTTTAAAAAATTTGTATGTATTTCAAAAAAAATAACTTTAGGTAAACTTAAGTTTTGTAGTGTTAGACAATTGTGTTAGATAAGTTAAACCTGTTAGAAGGGGAACATTTAAACCGTTCTACCATTTTTGCCTTTTTAAATATTTTTCAAGTGGCTTTGTCAAAGTTTTTTTTTAAAGTGTTTTTTTGTGGATTTTAAGTATATTAAGTTCCGAGCCATATAATAAATTATTAATAATAATGTAAAAACTCGACGCGTCGACCCGCAACAATGGCTACCGTTGCGTCGATGACCGAGTTTTACAATTAGCTGATTTGATAAAATTTTAAGATTTTACTTCAATCAATAGGACCTAGTAATTATAAAATAATAATTTTAGAAATTACTAAACTACTATTATTTTATACTGTAATTCTTAAACACTTTCAGCGCTTAGTGTTAATAATTTAATTATAATAATACTCATGTAATAATATTGCAGTCGTGTATTAAATACAATTTTCCCCTCCCCCCTAAATTTACGTTAGTTTCTGATATTAAAATCGGTAAAATATCGAGAGTTGATTGAGTAGGTAAAACTAAACAAATATGATGAGTTGGTGTTTTTTTTCGGAATACCATTTCGTAAATAAATTTCAAATTTTGGCGGAGTTTAGATTTCCCGATCCCGGGTAGCTGAAACGGAAGAAGTAACTACGAAAATTTAGAGTGGTTGTTTTATTTATTATTATTGTTTTTTTTTGGAAAGAAATCGCACCACGCGGGATGCTGCGCGGCAACGTGGTGAAGCGGCGGCAACGACAAGTGGCAACTGTGCCCCTCCCCCGCCGGCCAGGCCGCGCAGACAAAGAGAGAAACGCGTTGGTCGTGACGGGTGGGAGACACGTTGGTGTGCTTATTTGCCGCCGCGTCTCCGGCCTCCTACCGCCCCTGGTGGTAGTACCGCACGTCCGCACAGCGGAATGACGACCGACTCTCTGAACAGCTGATTCGTGACTACCGTATTCGTGCGGTGCCGAACCTTTCGGGCTATTTATTTATTATTTTGTTATTTTTTTTTTGCCATTTACATTATTTCGCGGTTTTTGCGTCCGCCTCTGTACGCCTGTTCCATTGTTTTCGTTACTACATCGCCTGCCGTGACCGTGGTCGCGGTGTTCTAACGTGTTATTGGCGCGTGCCGAACTTTCCTCCGTATCGTCGCACTCCGTCCGCGTACGATACACATGTCTCGTCGTGAAAATATTGATGGTCTTTCATTAGTTTAATTACACACCCGGCGGTCGGTGGACAGTGTATCATTATTATTGTTAGTGTTTATAGTAATAGTTCGTCGTCGTAGACAATAATAATATAATAGGTAGTAGATAGAAGTATACGACTATTGTTCGTCGATGCATTATCGTCGGTTTGTCGGTTTTCTGTCTTCCCATTCCAAGTTTAATTATCTCGCCGCGATTGTGCCCCCCCAGACGGTCTCCGTGCTGCGCTGGTCAGATAATAATATACCCGGAACCGAAGCACGAGCAGCGACAGTACGTTCGCGCGCGCCACCAGGTGAAATATGAAAAGTGAAAATGTGGTGTCTAGTGAGCCAACCAAATGCCGTCGTCATAGAAGTCAAACTCGACCATAAGGCAAAGGGTTTGGAATGCTTGGAAAAAGTAAACGAGAAAATAATTTCCTCATTAATACCTACTTGCTTTATATAACCTGCTTTATACTTAACTTTTTTTTTACCTACTATTCAATCACAACAATGCTACTATCAAATATATTGTGTTGACAACTTTTAACTTTTTCTTCTTTTCATATTACTTATTATCCGATTGGTCCTTCCATTATGCACATTTTTTTAAATATTTGATACCTATTTTATTGAATTTGTTTGGTTTTAAGTTAAAACTTTTAACCCCTGTTCACAACAAGTGTTAGTTACAGATTTTAGGTATAAAGTATAAAGTATAAATGTATCTAATACCTATTGTAAGTTAGTAGGAACAAGTATACAAATTACCTACTGTTCTAAATATTTACAAATTGTATAAATACTTAATTGCTATAATTTCAAGAAAAATATTTAAATAATACTTAGGTATTGCTTAGTAGCAATATTTTCATTATCTATAATATACTAGTTATCAAATTTTTTTCAAGTTTTTATGTATAATTTTTTGCAATTTTATACATTATACTTTGGTATGTCCATAATTATTATTTTATTTTTAAAGTACATATTACCTACATTAACCCCTAAGCTCTAATATTACTGATCTATTTGGTATCTATTATTTACCTATTATTATTTTTGTAATTTGTGCATAATTTAAAAAATAGAAAAACCTTAACAAATACAAATAAGCTTAGGTAAATATTTATCTACTAAGTACTTATACAAATTCAAATTTATGACAATGACATAGTTATTAACAATTAACAGTTAAAGTAATAACATTATAGTAATTACTTTAATTATTATTATTACAGTTTATTTACTATTTTTTTAATATTTATGAATTGCCCATTTTTTTTATAAATACTTAGCTACCTATTAAATTCTGAGAATTAGCACAATGTCACTGTTCAACCTAATGAAAACCTAACCTAATTTGTGTTTTTACTAATACTTTATGTAAAACAAATTAAAATTTTCATATTGTTAATTAGGTAATTAAATAAATAAATAATTAATTTAAATTAATGTTTAATTGATTCAGATGTAATTGTTATACAATTAAAAGTAAGTTTAGTGAGTAATTTTTGGGGTAAATGTGTTATCTAATTAAGCAGGTCTCTTTATTTTAAAATTACAATAATGATTATGTTTTATAGGTATGTGAATGTTTGGGCATCAACAAAGAATGTGATTATTTTGGATTGCAGTACAAAACAGTCAAAGGGCAAGATGTATGGTTGAATCTAAGAAATGTGATTGAACATCAAGTTGCTGGAGTACACCCATATCGTTTTGCACTCAGAGTTAAATTCTGGGTACCCCCTCATTTATTGCTACAAGAATCTACCCGGTAAGAGTTTAAGTTCAATACCTAATATTATTCATATTAGGATATAAATTAATATTTAGTTTAAATGTGTGGATTTAAATTTTTTTATTTCATATTAACATAGATAAATAATGGGGTACATAATATGTAGGTATGTACAAATATTTTTTTACAATTAGAAAATATAATATATTATATGTCAGTTTGTGTTTATATTGATTATACTTTTTGATTCTAAATTATAGAATGCCAACAGGTTATCTATTGCCTTGTCTATTGCTGAATACCCCTAGTATCATTTTATCTCTCACATTATTTCTGTTTAAACATCATTTAAATAAATAAGTTATAATTTATTATCAACCACATAATATGAAGAATAAGAATAACTAGAATAAAATGATTATGGTACTCGTTCAATATGGTGTCTACAATGAATATATTATTATCTCCTATAATTTTATGTTGATTTATATCATTTAATATGCTTTCTACAAATAATAATTGTCATACATATATAATGCGTTATTTCTAATGTCATTTTTTTCTGAATCTCGTTGCCTACTATTTTTAAGAACTTCATTCAGTTCCCCACACCACAAATTATTTGGTTTTTAATTTTAGTAAATATTGTAAATATAGTAAATAGTAGATGTTTGTTCATCAAGTAATAAATCAAGTTTTTTTTTTTTAAAAAAAAAAACATTTCTTCATTTTGAATGGTATGTTAACACAAATAACTCATAGTCAAGCTTATAGTTGATTCATTTTTGGTGTAAAAAGCTTAATTCTTAGTTTAAAAATGATTAAATATGTATAGATATAATCATATTTGATAGAAGCCTTATTTTAATTCCAAAATTATAAAGTTTATACAGTAGATAGCATACTAAATCATGATATGTGTGATAGATAGTATATTGAACGAGTACCATAGTTTCTAATTTTATCTATTGAATTTCTACACATATAGTCACATTTCACATTATCTACTTTTACTGTCTTCTACTGTTTCTTATAGATAGGTAATAACTGAAAAATGTTAATAATGAATAATCACATATAACAATGAGTCTCATATTCATATTCCAAAAAGTATTTAATTTACATTAAAAACTGTTAAATTATTAGACTACCAATATAAAAATTACCTACTTTTTGCAAGTAATCTAATCTTTAATAATTATTTTCCAATAAAATAGATTAGTAATTATATTTTTCTTATACTTATGATCCAAAATTATTACCTAATCTGTTTAGAGTAATACTTTTCATTACACACTAATAATAAATACACAGACAAAAGGATAAAGGTCAAATTGATTATAAAAAATCATGTATGATAACCCATACAGAAAGAATTGTGTTCCCAGAAAATTTATAATTTGTTTGCCATCTATCCAACTATCCAAGGTAAATGTGATAAATGAAATCATATTATATGATAATTATCATATATTAATTGGAACAGGTAGTGATATATATCAGTACATCACTTATATAATAATATACATTTTAGATACATAGGTATTTTGATATTCATTAGGAACCTAGTTCAGTGCACAGTTTTTAGAAGATTGAACAAATACAAAAATTGCATATTTATTTTGGATGATCTTTGAACTACTTATGTAAGATAGAATTACCAATATGTTTCTTGTCTATGTAAAGTTAATCATACAATTTATTTTTAACATTTTATTTTATAATTATTATGATTTTTAACACTACATATTTTTATTTAATGAGAACAAACCATTTTTGAGAGCCAAAAAAGTTACTTTTACCTTTTATAAATTAATAAATTATATATATTTTTTAATTTTAAAATTTGTTCTTCTATATAAAATACAAACTTAGTAAAATAAGTGTTGGTGTACTACTTGTCTAGATTAGAATCAAGAGTTTATTATATTAATCATTTGGCCTTTCATTTGATGAAGAAGAAGGTACAGGGAGCTGGAGTAATTCATCTTTTGCATTATACCTCCTTTTAGTTCTTTTATTTGAATAAATTACCAAATTCAGGAATATAACATTTGTAAATAATAGTTTTGGATAATTTCAGTGATTATGAACCATCTCAAAAACATATTTTAAATGATAAAATCTAGGTTTTAATTTTTTTTTTTTTTAGATTGTTATTTTCGTTTTGTAGACTTCGTTTTTTTATAAATTAATTTTGGAATGAAGTTTATTTAATAGTATTAATATTATATCATATTATTTTATTAAAACTTATAACACTTTATTAAAATAAATTATTTAGTTGTGCACGTGTTCAGTTAAATTTGACCTTAAAGATAATACATTTTAAACATAAAACTACCTCAGGCTCCACTGTACATACCTAAATTGAGTTTACACCCAATAATAGTAAACATTCTCTTTTGTATTTTATTTAAAACCAACGATGCTTGTGAAAATACTTGTCAATCTAATAAACTGTTGTACTGCACAAATTAGATTTCTTTCATATTTTAATACTTTTTATGTTTTTATTTTTTTTTGGTATTGTAAGTATATAAATGGTTTGTTCCTGAAATATTTAAGTATATGATTCTCAGTGAAGATTGGTTAAATATATTTTAAATACATTATTATTTTTATGATTTTTGTCAAAATTTGGATAAACACTTATATAAAAAAAAAAAATACTACTACATTACACTCAATTTTATTTTTAATCATTTTTTACAATTTATGGTGAACCTTGTGTTAAATTTTCAAGCATTTTTGTTTTGTGTAAATAATATTTTTATTCACTTAAAACCATATATTTAAACTAATATATTCCTCGATGTGCTTAGAAACTAAAAAAAATATATGCTTAATGTTCTATTGGTTCTTGGTTAGTTTTAGATTCAAGCTCTTAGTTTATTTTTAATATGTAATTTTTAGATAAAAATATCTCAATAGTAGTATATATTTTTAGAGGAAATATAAAACACGGAAATTGTTCAAGTACAATAATTTTCATTTAAATTTAAAAAAATTATTCAATTGCAAGCATTTGTAAGGCCTTCAAATGTAATACAGGTTCATTAATGTGTTAATATCACTTTATTTTAAAACTCAGTTAAATTATTTAAATTGTAGAAATTAATTATAATTACATGCATAATATTTTAGTAATTGTATTGTCCACATTAGAATACAAATTGTAAATTAAACAAAAATAAACATAAAATTAAACATCTTAGTTTAACAAGTTTGTTAATATCTATCTTAAAACTGCATGTTATCAAAACCTAAAAAATAAAATTTAGAAAAATATTTAATTTCATTTTTGTAATAAGTGCGTAGGTAAAACATATAAATTGTAACTCTAAAGTTATAATTTGTTTTTCTTAAATAAATCTTTTAAGTAAATGTTGATAATATATGAATATTTACTAAGATATACTATCAATATATAAAATAATGTACCTTATGTGAATAAGAAAATATATTCGACTTTCTATGGCTTAGTTATTTTGTGAAACAAAAATGTACTCACAATTATTCATTAAGATAAAAAACTTTTAAAACGTTAAATACACCTAGTTAAATTTAAATGTATGGGTTTTTATTTTGAACATAGGTAACCTAAAGGGTTCCTAGTGTTTATAACCATAAAAAAAAATGTTTATTTACTAAAATATTAACAAATATAACTGAACTGTATACGAAAATTGACTCTTACATATTATGTCAACTATTGTAAATGAAGTGTGACTAAATCTAATAGTTTGTAACTGTAAAACATTGTTACTTTGTCTATTATTGTTTAATGGTTAACAAGTAAACAGTTAAACTCAATCGAACAGTGGGCCCATTTAGAAACAACAATAATAAAGGGAAAGTGCCTCATAAAAAAAAAAAAAAAAATTGTCCAATGTCTGATACAAGCATATACATATAGTATCCAAGTAATAATAATTCTATCCTATCATTAATTTATACAATGATTTTAAATAAACTCAAGGTCATCAAAATAAGATTTTATTTGTACAGATTTAAAGATGCTTTTTTTTTTATCAATGTCCTTGTTATTATCCTACCTTATCCCCAATATTAATATTTTTAACAATAATAAATTGTTTTTTAAATTTCGTAATTTGAGTTCAATGCTACTTACAAGATTTTCTTAGTTAAATTTGACAATCGTGCAATGCGGTTAATGACCTTGTCATTAACCCATTGATTTTCCTAATGATTATCGATCTTTTTTCTGGTTTCTATTCTGAGTCGCACATTATCCAAGCGTAATTGAACAATTTAGTTTGATATCGATTTCAATACCACATTATCTTATATTGTGATCTCGATTATGAGTTTATAATGCGTTCGTTGTTGTTTTTACTTCGACTACGGATTTGGCTTTGCACTTAATATAATATGTATCTACTACCTATCTGTAAATGATCCTTAACAGTAATAAATATTTTTCTTATCAAAAATAATTAGCAATTCATAAACCTTTGTAAAAAGTATAATATGTATTGTATTGTGTTTTATTTGAAAGAAAAGTATATTAGTTTTATTAGTATACATAAAATGTAAACTAGTATTTTTATAGCGCTAAAAAAATACCTATTTAGATTTTATACAATTATACGAGCCATAGTTATTAGTCATTAAACTATAAAAGTCAAATCCCGCCGTCTGTCTGTTTAATATTGAATTTTATCATAAACTTATTATAATACCGCCTAATGTTCAACAAAACCATGTTTTCATTCTGGGTGTGTAATAATATTCTGATGGATTTCATGGACAAAACGTTCTTATGAAATCGTATTAGCTGTCATCGCCATATGCTGTTTTTATTGTTAGTTTTATCAATTTCTATTAAAGTATTATTTATATGAAACATATCTGTATTATTTTATAAAATCTGATTTAAATTCCACTCGCAGAGTTATTTTTGTAGCCCGTAAATCTTTATTGAAAAGCTAAAATGATTTCATTATTATAAAATGTAACAGTGCAGGCCGGTTCCATATTATAATATGATCTTTAGACGAGTCGTGTAGATGTATTATAAGGCCGTGGAAAAAGCTGCTAGACATTTTTACGGGAGATATGAGAATATGCGGAGATGACGAAGAAACGGAGGACAAGAAGTAGCTTTGCGTGGGATAAATACCAAGAAGACGATTATGTGTAATTGCCTATTATTTCACAAAATATATGCAATAATTTACGGATAGCGGTGTTAATATTAGAATCTAGATATTAGAATTTTGTTACTAAAATACATTTTAAAATTAATTGTTTTTGTCCATAATAATGAAACACACAAATTTTCAAGGGATAGACATATGGAAAAAAGTTGAGAAGATAGCCTAGGATACAAAAAGATTTAGAGTTTATATTATCTGTATGTAACGATACATCATTGCTAACAAAATGTGACTTTAACTGTAATGAAGTTTGATTATTTAAACCTTTTACGAATTTTCTCAAAATTTGAACTTAAAACACTTATACAAATAACCTGCTACATAACATTTATTTTTAACCACTGTTATACATTATGTACAATTATCTATAAATTTTGCTCAGTAAAACAATTTAATCCATATAAATCAAAAAAAAGTGTCAAATGCCTATAAATAGTTCAAAAATCGTCAACGTTTTTTTAAAAATTCTAGAAGAAAAAACGTAGATAGAGACGTCTAAATAAAAGCCTTATATATATATATGTATATACATTTAAAAATAATATATTCCTCGTTGTGTTCAGAATCTAAAATTATATTTTACGTCATTATAATAATAATTTAATTTTTAACACATTTAAAGCTTATGACAAGCTTAAGATAAGCTTATGTTATAAGATTAAAATGTCGTTTCATCATAATTATGTTACGCTCTGATGTGCACTGTGGAGTGGCCAGTGATCAACTTTAAAATTTGGTACATTTCTGTATGTTTAATTATAGAGTAGGTAGGTATGTATTGTTTTCTAAGAATAGGTGTATTACTTATTATTAACTTTATGAATTACATCTACCTAATTATTATTTTAAAGTTTACATGAAATTGTGAAAAAATACATTTTCGAGTTATGTATAAAAATAGATAATTTTTTTTAGTGAATGAAATACTAACAATTAGGTAATTTTTTTCGCCGTTTATACGATCATTTCCAAATATAATATTTTCTCATATATATAAATAAATTTAATTAGAGACTTATTATAATAGTACATAATGTATAATTAAATAAAAATGCTGATATTGAGGATATAAGTGCCATTGTAGGTGAAAAGTTGGTATAGTAAGATACATACAATTATTTAATTAATATGTGTACACTAACAAAAAACGATTCTGAGTGAAGTTCTGCTATACATATTTGGGAATCTTAAATCGATTTATGAAAAAATTGGGTTTTTCCTAATTTGCCTAATTATAAAGCAAACTCATATAAAAAAACTGATTTTTTTTATTCGCCATGAGACCAAATTTTCTTTTCGAAAAGATGTTAGTTTTAAAATTTGGTGTAAGTTTTTAGCTAAAAAAAAAAAAATGGGAAAAAATTTAAAATTGTAAAGATCGTTAACGCCATAAAGTTATTAGTTTTTATTTGACGTTATTTCCGATTTTTTCAGTTATTATGAAAACCGCTTGGAAAATCCAAAAGTTCCCTGTTTACCAGTCAACTAGATCAAAAATGAAACAATAAAGGTCTCTTGTCATTTTTTTGATTGGATCAAGATTTATGATATAAAAGTAGTTTACCGACAGAAAAAAAATAAATGAAAAAAAAAAAAACATGTCAGTAAAACCAATACATTCCTGGCTATATTTAGAATCTAAAATATATACATATAAATATATTTTATATTTTATATTTATAATGTTGCCTATATTTTATTTATTTTTTTCTACGTTTTAATAATTACGTAATAAAATAATATATTTTTCTAAGGGGGTATATAAAAAAAAATTAACCAGACCGTAATATGGTTGTTATTTATTAAGTTTCCAGTTGAACAACCTGTACTTATAAAAAGCACACACACAATAGATATAAAAATTATAATGTATACTCGTCATAATTTAAAAAAAAAAAATCCCATTAGCAGCCGTATCTTTGTACAATTTTATATATGTCCGTATCGCTGTTATTGTCTAATAATGTCTATTAATGTTTCTTTTTTACACAATGGTTTAATATTGGAAACGAGTCTTTTGGATAATATAATATCAGTATTATATTTATTTCTACAGCAGATAAAAGCTTGTTGAGTAGTGCATTAATTTTCAACAATCCTTCAAAGACGACAGTCTAACCAGTGTAATATAATATACCTTACATATACAGGACGGTTATTTTTATCACGAACCAGCGATTATAAATATCTACGAATATTACGAGTATATTAATTAATTTCGGTTTTTTTTACCAGGACATATTATATTGTGTAGAATCGTTTACTCATAATTCGTAATTCCATCATTCGTACAAAATTGACAGCAGCTGTTACGTGCCAAAACCTCGTAACTTAAAAATTGATTTTACAATAAACGTTAGTGAACTTGGGTACATACTGTTTAAATAATAAAATTAAGTGGATTGTATAATAATTAACACGGTGGTTTAAGTTAAATCGTAATTTCAAAAAGGACAAAATCTCCTATATATACATTATATTGATCATATCGAAATTGTGAAACGTTTATTTGTAACTCTCCCGAATAATGTGTTAAAATAGAATTACGAGGTTTTATACATAATAGCACTGATTATAAATACGAATTGTATTACAATATAATAAAATCAATGGTACCAAATAGCTACCTATCGATATTGTTTTAAAATCAAATTACTCAACATTTTCGTTAAGACTACCGGTTATTTAAAAAAATCACCCGTAAAAAACATTATATTTTTTTGTATTCACATTGGCCTTTCCGGATTATACCTATCTGTTCACGTGTGCTGGCGATGCTTTAAATTCATTTCACGAAAGTATTTCAGTTATAGAAATCCGAACAATGTTTAGTGCAACTTTTTGCAATTTTTGGTACATTTTTAACGATGACATAATTTCAATACCGTCCGTTGATGTTTCGTATTTTTAATACCTACTATTTTTACTATTGTATATTCAATTTATTTCTCGTATTTTTGTTAATGCGTTATTAAACGCAAATTTCAATAATTCAATTCGAATTATGCCGTTTTTAGTAAAATAAACATCCAATTTCATATATAAGATAGGGCTGATAATTAGAAAAAAAGTAACACGCCAAGTTCTTTAAACGCAAATGGTTGCGACGTTTAACGTTCCTAGTCTTATCGAATTGTAAAACATTGGCACTGTAACACGATTGTATACAACCCGGGTAAAATATTTTAAAAGAAAGGAATTTTGTAACAAGTTCGTGTGAAATATTATATACAAAATAATAAATCGTTAAAATCGATCATTTTGCTACAAAAATACATAAGCTTTTTTATACTATTATTATTGCTTTAAAGCGCGAGGCAATGCTCTTCAATCAAAACATCAATTTACCACCATTTCGACTTCGGCGGCACAAAAAAGTTATTGTTTGTATGTCACCGCCGTATCCGTAGGTACCATAATAATAACCATTCAAAACAATAATAATTGCACCGAACAAAAGTCCCCCGGGTGACGTGCGGTCCGCGGTCGTATAAAACAAGGGGCAGCGTCCTCCGCCCCTCGCTCGCCGCGCGGTGTCCCGTCCGGTTTCTTTATTGAACCCGCTAATGAACCGTATTCCTTCACAGCACGTGACTAATTATTCGTTTGTCGCGTCATCGGCACGTTGCAATGTTCGCTAACTGTAGTAGTTTTTAATGTTTTTATTATTAACGGCCGCGTCGCGTCTAAAGTCCCTCCGAAAATGTACATCGTCGTCGGTGTACCTATATTATTATTGTCTAAACACCTTATAATATTTACGTAGTTTAGGCGGCCTATGTATACTCTCATGATTCCCGGCCATCGTTAAATCGAAGGAAATCGTTAGAATATTGTAAATATAATTTCATGTCTCACATAATACTATTATCTCCAGTTAAATATTGAAACAATCGCCCTTTGATTTCTTAATTAATAATATTATAGTATTTACGTATGTATAATAATAATAAGTATATTATTATATTGAAACGGTATACGTCTTTATCGTATACAATTTTTTGTTGTTTTTGTTTTTTTTTTTTTAAATTTATTATAATAAATTGACCGTATAATACCTTAAGGCTTATATTGTATTATTTACAATAACTCGATAGTTTTAAAATTTTTTTCCGATAAAATAAATGTTTCGGGGAGGGGAGGGTTTAAGTTGAATATTTTGTAAACTTTTATTATGCGAAACGATTATGAAAATGGACTGCACAATAAGAAAACTCGTTGGTTTATTATAATATTTTCAAAATATTGCATTTCGATTCTATTTAAAAAATGTTATTTTTCGTAATTTCGAGTTTGGTTTTAAGTTTTTCGGCCCGTCAAATACACAGCCCTAGTATAATCGATATTTTGCAATTTCTAAGTGAATTGGTACAATATTATGAATTCAGTCGTGCAGGAATGAGAATCTATTACACAACAATCAATTAGGTATAGATTTCTGTTCTATTTTAGAAACTATGTTCAAGGTCTTCATATATTATATATTATTTTATTATTATCAATTATCGTTTACTCGCATTACGTAGTTCTATTTTGTTTATCAATACAATATATTGACAATACTATACGAAACATTAGTTTTTTCTTCAAAAATACCGCATAATATTTTATAATCTATACGTGTTATATTATTTTAATATCATCGGACTTTGTAATAATATTATTATTACTTATAATAATATTATAATATCTACTTGTCTCGGGTTCATTGTTTATATGAGTTATACGAGCATTTTATGGTTTTTTTTATTTATTTATTTTTTTCGCGTCAGCGGTGTGAATGATTTTTAAAGAAGTGTGTGGTGTGCGTGTTATCGAACGGCCGCCGCAAAGCGAAACGAGTAACACAATACTAAATAATATTTTAATGTCGTCCTATAATAATAATAATAATAATACAATAATAATTACTATTTTATCCTCTCCGGATGAATCAACGCGGTAAATGAAAATAATTACTATGTTGTGTGGTGCACGTGAGACGCCGCATGAAATCCAGCAGTGTGCGAACGTCGTACAACGTATTATTACACATTTTACCTCGGTGTTGACATCGTCGTCATCGCGATCGTTGAAACCTTCAGCGTTCTAGGCGGGTATACCTACTTACCTACTACCTATAATACATCGCCCGTTCTATTGGATAATTATTATTTTTTTTTTTTATTCCTATTTTATTTTCCTGTTAAAACGACTCGTATTTTTACTATCTACGGTATACACCACAGTGGTTTTCAATATTTTTGGGTACACGGCTCTTCTGGTTTTGAAAATCACCAAACTACCGTGTTCTCTGACGAATAATGATAACAATAAAAATTGAATCAAACAAATTTTCTGTATTGTCGTATATACTATATTTATTAGTTATTACTATAATATACGCGGTTCCTTTGACAACAAACCGCGACGCACAGGTTGAAAACCACTGGTATAGTTTAGAGAGAGAGAAAAAACATTCAAACGTTACTGGACCATTCTGTTGTTAGTCGTTCAGTTTGCGCGCAGATTTTGTAAACCGTTTTTGATATTAATAACGATGTCGTTTATTGAAGTGTACAATATACTATGTATAACTCATAACTCGCGAGCTTATGACTTTTACCTTTACGTATTATTATTTCGCCATCCGTTATTCGTAACGATATTTATATTGACAGTATATTTTTTTTTCGATAATAAAGGGCACGGCATAACTCGTTACTATACAAATTATCGATCTCGAGACGGAGCTGTTGGTCGATCGTGTATACACACAATATAGTATTAATTATTATTATTCATCAGTCGACTCAGAAATAGTCAAATGAGGGGAGGGGGAAATGAGAGGGATATTATCCTCCGCTATCACCTCATTTTTATCAAATGCCTATAATAATAATATAATATTATACTATATTTCTCTATAGGCAGTTATAAATACCACCGAGTCGACTCGATAGTAATAAATTATTACTAATATTATTATTATTGTAATCTCGTATACTCTCTGGACAAATTATTACTATCGCATAACAATACGCGTAATATAAGTAAAAAAGGGACAGAACAGAAAAGAAATACGGTCAGTGGCGTAATTGCGGGTGAGGTTGGTCGATCAATATTATTAATTATGATATTATACCGTAAAAATACTCGACTCGCGATGCGAAAAATGTTTATGAATAATAACGATACAAATATCGGTGGTATAATTTTTTTTTATTTTCAAAATTGTTTAAAATGTGACCCAACCGTCATAATATTATTTACATAGATACGTGTATAATAGAAACGTAAGTTCTTCAACAGCGTTTATTAATTACGATTTTTATTCACTAACGATAAAATATAGAGTCAATAGTGCAAACCAGTAACGTTTTTTGTTGTTGTTTTTGTCTACACATTAATACTAGTAATGGTTTCTATTAACCCGTTGCGTTTTATATTATAGTTTTTTTTTTTTTTTTTTTTTTTTAGATCTTTCTGGATATATTGGCTTATGATATTTGAACGAATTATTATACTACGGAATTATTCTTTTTACGTACACACGAGTAGATGACGTCACTGATCATTTGCATATACCCTTCATAGGAGGGGATGCAGTAATAATCATGATTGATGAATAAATCATATATCATATTATTTTTTTTAAGTACCTAACCCAGCCATGCTCAACCTTTTTTTTTTTTTTCTTGGATCATGTATAATATATTTTCATTGCGATACGCGGACCATAACATGGTGCCTAATTAAAAGACCACTAGGGAAGCATGATAATTTAGAATTGTATCTAACGAAAAATGGAAAATTGTGATTTAGCTTTTTTACAGTGAACATGTAAAACCCGGATAAATTTTTTTTCATTGGAACTTTGCGCTAAAATTTCAAAATAAATATTCACAGTCGTTGCATTTGTAAGCCAATGAAAAGGGAATGCTTCTGTTTATTACGTTATTTCAAGTAAATTATTACGATTATAAAATTACGTTTCTACATTATAATCTATGTACATTTTGATCAGTTATTTTCGTATTGCCTGTATTTTATTATATTTTTTAATGGTTAATGGCCGTATGTTGCGTTTCGAATTATGCACGTCATCGTTGAATTAATGCAATGTGCATTAATTATTATTTTATGAATTTATAGTATTATATAGTATTTTGACTCTTTATTTACGTATTTAATGTATACAGTTAGTAAATAAGCATATCAAAACATTATATTATTATTATTTCACAACTTTTTTTTTTATATAAGTACATATTATTACCAATATACGCATATGTCCTACATATTTTTTAGGTATAATTTTTCGATAAGTTTTATAACAATTTAATTGAATATGATAAATAGTGATATTATAATATACTAAAGAATACAGCCCACTTGAATGGAATGTGTCCAAGTAAAAAAGGTCTTGATACACGTCTATACGGTGTGTTATTATTATATTTTTTTTCTGGCAACAATTCAACACTAAAATTATTCAGCGAATTACGAAAATAAAATTTTTGACCGTCGCTTTATCATCTGGGTATATTCTCTAGTCACGTGCTATACAATATTGTTTGAGATTTCTATACTGGGTCGAATTGATCTAAAAATTGTATATTTACCTACATATACTATGACAAAGAAAAAGTATGTGCGATTTTTATTATTATTTTTTTTTTTTGTAAATATTACAAAGACTAGCGCGTGCGGGAACCAAATGACCGGAAAATCGATAATATAATTGTATTTAAAATAAAATATCCATTACCTAGGTTTCTTTTTTTTAAATCAAGAAACTTTAGAAAACGGTTTTAAAACGGTACTTTTATATACGATATCGTACTAATTAAAATTATTAATCATGTTTCTATAATATATATCCGTGTACCAGGTGTTAGACTAAATAACAATATTTTTTTTTTCATGGTCAAACTCGTGAGTTAAGGTTGAATTCGAATTCGAATGCGTGCGCACTTGTATAGTCTGAAGAAAACCGTTCAATTTTACCTAAATTTTTGACTAAGTATATGTAAACCTCATCAAAGATTATATTATTTTATGGTATATGATAAAATAATTATTTATCCGTAAAATATGTATATCATTATCATTATAGTACATATTCTTATTGTAAAATTAGTTTACAGATTGTATGTTTAAAAATAAAAAAATAAAGATATTTACCTAAACAATTAATAATATAATAAAATATATATGCGCATATAGTGTATAATATATCTATTTTTTACGCATATATATATATAAACGAATATATGTCTGTTTGTCCTTACTACACCATTATTACACCATTCATCCGACCGCCATTAAATTTTAGGAAGTTGCCCCACGTTTTGTCCCAAGGTTTATAGCTATTGAAATCCATCCCCTATTGAATATCATACCCTATAAAATTTGGTGGTATTAGATTCTGAGTGGAGCGAGGAATGTATTGGTTTTACAATGATGTTTATTTTTTAATTTTTTAATGTGCACATTTTTTCTACCAGAAAGTATACTCCGATTATCAAGTGTAGCACCTATTTTGAAATGAAATGTTTTCTGGATGGTACTTTAGAAAGGTTGTTTTCACATTAATATTCGAGATAATGAGGAAAACATGGTGCTTTAGGTTAGAAAATATTGAACGATTAAAACTAAGGTTAAAACCAATGACAATTGGTAACCGTTTTTATTTATTTATTGTTATTATTACGTTTTTATTATTTTAAAATAATCTTTTTTAAACAATCATTGTTGTCGTGGAAATTCACAGTGTTGTAATCACTTTACTATAATATGACTTTATTATTATCAATTTATATATTATCAATATATTATTGACAAAGCAACTAAACTCCCCTCAGATTCGTTTATTCGTTAGCAATGGTTTATCGTTGCTTACATAGATATACATTAAATTCTTGTCTGTATCCTACCTTCCCAACTCCCCAGCCACAACAGTGGCTGTTCCCACGTGTGAAATGTATCCGTCCTTTTTTTAGTATGAAACTCGTAATTATTTTTGTTGATTTATGGGTTACTTTGGTAACACGGATAAAAAAAACCATTGTTATCAATTTTTGTAGTGTAACCCCTGTGCTGTGATGGTATCTATTATGGTATTATCATTTTTATTATTATATCTATTAACTTTATTTAAAAACTTTTTTATTGCACGGGCAAAGCCGGACGGAGCAACTTGTAAATAATAAAACAAAACCCATACGCCCAAACCTATCATTAGTTATTATAATACATTTAGTATTTTTGGTCAAAAAATAAAAAAATTGATAATTATTTATAAAATTAAGGTTTCTTTTGTGTGTTTAAATGCAGTTGTTTCGAAATCATTATTTTAACTTTTAATTGTGGTTACAATTTAATACGAATATAGTAGATTATTTCATTTTACTAACTGTAAGTACTGCTAGCTCATTATAGCTCTTGGTAATAAATGATTTTGTATGTAACTCTTTATTATTTGAAGATTAAAATGTTTTGTTAAAAATAATATCATTATAATATGTTTTAATTGAGTTGCATACACAACCAATTTAAACGAATCAAATTATTTACAATTAATGAATTTTAAATATAATTATTATACGATTAGGTTTGGTGCCTGCACTTTTATATGCGTTTTGTTTAGATATTCATTATCGACTCAGACTCCATTCAATAATTGTTTTGTTGTCCGTGTCAGTGTTCATATACAAAACTATTATTTTCAATATACAATTGTGTAATATTTCTCAGCTTAATGACAATGGTCATCAACGCATCATCATTGTTATATTGAAATAAAAAACGAATGGGCTAGGCATTAATTTATTGTGTTTTTTTTTTTCAATTAAACCCCATTCCACTATTTACATAGTTCAGCAAGGTCTGACCCCGTGAATTTTAGAGTACAAAATATGCATATAAGAAACAGTGTCCTAAGGCTTCAAAAACTAAAGTAAATTAATTAACTCTATAACTCCGTGTAATCATAATTATCACATTTTAAATCTAGAAAGCTGGTGAAGTAACGACATACAGAATCGTTAAATTTTAATGGGTTGAGGTTCTTCTATTTGTTGACATATATTAGTACTCGCCACTACCGAATTCCAAATTTACTCTGCCGTGGGATTGTGTAGTATAACTTCTTATAGATGATAAAGCTAGTATATTGACTAAAGTTAAAATAAAATTGATGATATACGATTTATATTAATGGCTTAAAACTTCCTAGCATCGTGTAAACCGCTCTATAATAGCCTGTGTTAATCCAAAATTGTAAACCAGAATAAGCTGCTTGGACAACTACTTAATATAGCCTCGTGAATCTGGTCATGGTGATTTTAAATATAATATATAGAAGTCGTATTCGAAAATCGATGTTTTAACAAAATTATGTACGAATTATTTTATGCATAATTAATGAGTGTTCAAATTATATCTATACGAGTTTTAGATTGTTATATAATTCTATAATAAAGTTAAACTCTGGAGAGGAGGCTGTCGTTTGAAATAATAATAATTCATATATACTCGTACAACAGCGGTGATTCGGCTTTCTCTGACACGTATGTTAAAAATAAAATAATATAAAGTAATAACTTGGTATTAAATATTTGTTGCGTAATATTACATTTTAAATTGTGTAATATGAAATTTTTAGGTGTAAAAAAAAACATATGTAGGTATATATTAATAAAAAAATGCGTGATGTCCACTGTTACTCACTGGTTTACATGTATATTGAAAAAAAAAACTAATACCTATACCGCTTATAGATAAATCACTATTTAAGCGGGAATTTTTTTTTTTTTATGAATATTAAAAACAACTCGTAGGTTGAATTTCAAATCAATAAATTAATACTTACATACATTGAACATTTCAATAATGGGGGCACCTATAAATAATAATTATATAAAAGTCAAAATATTTTGGAAATTATAACACGTCTAGAAAATGCTAAAATAGAGTATTTGGGTGTATGAGTATTTCTTACTGAATTACAAAAAAAAAAAAAAAACAGTGGCGATGTAACGTGTAACGTAGCGTCAATATTGGTGACTTTTCGGTTTTTCCACGCGTTATTTAAAAATAAAAGTACAAGGAAGTTTCAGAAAAATAATAATAATGCAGACTATAAATCTAAAATGCTACGCATGAAAGCAGTGCCGTGCGGTTTTGGATTGCAGCCAGTATAATAGTGTATTCTTACAGCCGAAAACTTGTTCGCGAACAGAAAAAAAAAGTACACACCGTAATGTAAATTCGATAATATGGTCTTTCAAACGCGCTCCGTTCGGAATCTCACAACCGTGATAGTATTCTATCCAGGCCCGCCGTGAGAAATAATCCGCATTTCGGCAAATATAATGCCACCCCTTCCGTCAAAAGCAAAATATATAGTACACAATTTTAATACATTATTAATATATAATGGATATTAATAGTTGAATTTGATTGTTGAATTTCTGTAGATTTCAATAAAAATGTTATGAAACTTACTACTTCTTTATCAATATATTTTTGTTTAGCTTCTCTAATTTTTTATATATAAACCCCGAAATTCGTTTCCATGATGCCATGGTTAATATAAGAAAATATTTTTAAATAATGATCGGTCCTAAAAATTTGATTAGTCTAAAAATGAACATGAACCCATGATAAATATGTAATCTAGTAAATATGACAGTGGTGGATCCAAGAAGAGAGCGCGGGGGGCATGAGCCTTCCTCATTTGGTTGAAAAAATATTTTCGATAAAATAATTATGTGAGAGCATAAGACGCTTTTTAGATGGTTTTACAAAGATGTTAATTATTATTTTTCGGTTATTAATTATTATTTTTTTATTTTTTTAATAACCTAAAAAAAAACTGGAAAATGTACGAAATATATTACTAAAATATTACGACATTAATTTACACGCATAACAATATATTTTCCACTTAGTTAGAGAAAAGCAAAGCCAAATTCGATTAACGGTCTCTTGATTTTTATTGCGGCATGTGACACCACTGTGTCTGTGTGTTGAAGAGTTGGACTATGAAAGGCTCGAGTGCGCAAGAGCTGCAATATAAATAATTAATTATAATATTATTATTTGTTGGTGTATCATAATAACTCGCTGGAAAATCTCATAGCTGTTGTTCGATCATTGAGTATCATTCATAATATACAACCCATAAGTTTGAACTTTTGAAGGTAAAATTAATCGTTGTCGGTCAACGGTCGTATAATTTCAAATTATTCCGAGTTAAAATACCATAGATAATAATCTAATATATAAAACAAAAATATTTCTATGAAAAAAAGACACTTCTGATTATTTGATTCAAATAAAATCTAATTTAAATAAAATGTTAATTTATTCCTTAGAACCGGTTCCAGTTCCTGGTTTACTAGTCGGAATTTGAAAGATTTTTTTCCCGAAGTCTTTTGTGAGGGCCCCGTGGCTATCGCCCCGGTTGCTCTCCCCTAAATCCGGCCCTGATACTGGACTAAAAATACATGCGTTTATTTATTATTTATTTATATGTCGCACCATTCATCATTGATGAAATTATCCAGTTCATGAAATGGTTATTTTTTAACCAAATGGATATTAAAATTTCATATCATGTAATTTTTTTCATCAAATGACCATCCACTTGGTGAAACAAAATATAATATATATTTAATTCACATCATTCTGTCATTGGTTTAATTTATTTATATAAACAGTAAGTTGAATCGTGACAACGATTATTACATTTTAGTTTAGCTTTTAAATATGCGCAACGGTTATAGAATTGTATTTTTTTTTTCACGAACTGCTTAAATACTCTTGTCCCTTTGATAAAGCAAAAACTGTTTCACGAATTGTTATTTCTTTGTTATTTTTTACTTGATCAACATTAATAAAATTTGATGTGGCCAGTTGCAAGTTTTGTATTCTGGAATTTTAGCTTTGCTATTCTGTATAAATAACTTAATGAAGACATTTGTTATTAGATATTTATAATAATTAAAGTATTTAAATTTTTAAATCTAACTTGTAACATTTTTATCCCTGCTTTCTTTTGTCCTTCGTGGAATTCTTGACATTATTTTTCAATTTATTCACCTTTCTTACATAAATGGCAAATTGTGTCTTCTGCAGAATCGATATCAACAACTATTTACTTTATTACAAATTGAGCAGGTAGTTTTTTAATTAAATCTAATGGCAAATTTTGAAGAAGCCATACCAATTTTTGGTTCATTTCCAAAAAGAGCTGTAATTGATGTTATTGTAGATAAAAAAAATTATATGAATCGTATAAGAACTCAACATGAACCATTAAATGGATGGTTTGAATCTGGAAATTTCTGGCCACATCAAATTTTATTAATATTGATCAAGTAAAAAATAACAAAGAAATAACACTTCGTGAAACAGTTGCTGCTTTATCGGGGAAACAAGGGTATTTGAGCTGTCTGTGTAAAAAAATAAAGTTATTCTAACCGTTGCGCGTGTTTAAATAAATAAATAAAACCAATGACAGTATAATATGAATTAAAGTAGTATTCGATTATTGCACCATTGCATCTGCAGTGAATAACCAATTCAATATGTTCCCAAGTGCTACGGTGGTACATCATAATCGAATACACGTTATAATATCGTACAGAGACGAATATTGTCTTCGGGGTTGTCGTGTCCTTTCGGCTGAGAATTCGGTTTTCGTCATGGTGAAAATAATGTTATACACGTATATAATAATATGTTCGCGGTGGTTACATTTGACTGCCATCTGTAGCTCAGTTGTCCTCGCTATGCGTTTTACGGTTATTCGAGCGCAGCGCTCATCGTTATTGGTATCGCCGAAAACAATACGAATCGCGCGTCCCTATAACAATAATTATTATTAAAATATTCGACAATCAATAATTAAAGTTTTAAATTAATCGCCATAGTGATTAATTAGAACGGACTTCAGTACCCGTATACACGATAATTTATCGTAATCATTATAATACTCGTAAAATGTTCGCGATATTGCGATTATAGAAGCACGTATTACTATTTAAATTATTCTATTCATAAGCTATTACAATGAAAATTATTATTACCTGTGAAAATGCAGTATTAATAATTTTGTGTTTTAATTAAAAGTACCGAATTAATATTGTACTTAGGCATACTATATTATGATTTTGACTTAGTAATTTAGTTAAATACATTTGACAATAATTATATTATTTAGGTATTAATTTATTTATCGATCGCTACATTATTGTTACAGCCATCAGTTTTATTTACACGCCAAGTTGGAATTATGCGAAGGGCGTCTAAGACCGACAGACAATCAGACCGTATGCAAAACTATTGCACTGTTGGCACAGGCCGAATTCGGCGATTGCGACGATCTGGTTGCGCTAGTGCAGTTCTACGCTTATTGGTGCGAACATTTGGACGTGTCCGTGGACGACGAAGAATCTATCGACCGGATCCAAAAGCTCTATTCCGAAATGAGAGTACGTACTCATGTTAAATATTCCCTCACCTTTTTCCCATTTTATTTTTTTGTCTTATTTATACGATTGTACAAATTCGTTTTGTTTTATACACATGTAATTTTCTAAGCGGGCGCGTTTATTGTTCATACAGGGCATGAAACAAACGACCGCCGAATACTGGTTAATCAAAGAAGTGTCCGGGCTACACAATTTCGGCGAAGAAGTGTTTGAAGGCCGGACGGCCAGCGGTTCTTCAGTATTAGTGGGAGTCGGTCCACACGGCATTAGTTTGAATTTTTCGGATCAGGAACAACAAATGTAAGTACCCAATTGAAATGTCGAGTACGCAGGAAATTTAAATCACCTTGATTGGTTTCTTGTTGTGCCACTACGATACTAATTATTGTGTACCGCGGGGACGAACGCAGTTACTTCCCTCTCCCTTCTCCTTAAAAAAAAAAAATAAATGTGACATTTTTCAAAACAATTTCCTTGCGGTCGCCCCTGTATGAAGGGTACAAGCGCCACAACGGTATACTTAAAGTATACATTTTTCTTATTGATATGATGGGATATTTTCAGGATTCCTTATACGGCGATCCGAAGCGCTGCTAGCCATCGTCGAGTGTTCGAAATGTGGTATTTAGCGGGTGTCGAGCATACCGAAACGTTAATCGTTTTGAAACTAGAGTCTAGTCTGGGTGCAAACACCCTTTACAGGGCACTGACGGAAAAACACGCATTTTACAGCTGTGAAACGGTCCGAGGTGCAGTCACGTCGCAATATATCCGGGACCTCAAGGTATACATAAATATAATATTGCAAATATTAAAAGTATCTTCAAGCTCTTTATTTTTATTCTGTCGGTACACCACTATAGTTTTCGATTATTATGGACGAATCGGTCCGATCAAAAACTTAACAAAAGTTTAAAACAAACTGAAAAATAAATTACTCACAGTTGTTTTCTATCAAATCCATTTTGTTTTATTGTTGTTGTAATTAAGTCAGAAATATACATAGACATTTGAACATTTAACAACGAAAATTAAAATTAAAATTTTCTTAACTACTTATCATTTTCTAATTATTTTGACTCCTTTTTGAAAGTAGAACATTTAGATTTATGTGGATAACATTTTTTTTGTCTTTGTATTTAAACCCTCGAAAATTTGATACGATGTTCGAATGTAAACTAGCAACAATACCATTCATCTCATCGTCAATTACATTGAATAACTTTTTTTGTTATCTACTCGTTAACCTGTATAGTTACTAAAAGGTCGAAGATCCCATGTTATCTTAAAAAAAAATATAGTTATTAAATGTCAACAACTTTGACAACTGCAATATTTTCGATAATTTGCGTTACACATCACCGACACTTTTGAATAATAATACGGACTGTTATTACTCATATACACGTGTATTATAAAAAAAAAAAAAAACAATACTTACAAAGATAATTTCACACTCCAATCATACAATAGAATTTGACCTATGTTAATTTCTTCTCATCGCTATGAATTATTTAATAATATAGGGAAAAAAAATTGAAATAATAATACAAATTGTGTTAATAGCTCAACACTTTTACTACAGTTATTCATGTGAATAATTGTTTTTTGAGATTCTCAATATAGAGCAAATATATCTTGATAATACTAATAAGATGTTGGTAAAAATACACCATAATTTTCATACTCTACACCTTAAATTGTATGATATTGATGTGGATTTTCTGACTAGCAAAACTTATATTGTATTTGAAACATATATTTTTACTTCCATGTATCAACCAAAACCTTGTTTTTTCTCTTTTTCCAGGGTACAATCATATCCATATTTAACGAAGACTCACCACTCGGGAAGAAATACGTGTTCGACATTCAGAGGACTTGTCGTGAAGTTCACGATAACGCCCGCCGCGCGCTCTATGAGAAACAAAACAAAGTCACGCCGCCGACCAACTGTTGTTGTGTTGTGGTCCATGGTCCGTCATCGCCCGAACACACCGAATCTAATACTTCGTCTTCTCGGGACAGCTATAAACTGGCAAAGCTCATCGACGCCCTCACGTGCCGGATTTGCATGGATGCCACAATCGATCACGTGTTTTTTCCTTGTGGGCACGTCATTGCTTGTGGTACGTGTGCCACCCGATGCGAGACCTGTCCACTATGCCGGGGTGCTATCGATGAATCCAGGCACGTATTCATACCTACTTTGGCCGATTTGCCGGATCTTCATCGCTAACAATGATGGCTATCGCCATCGACAATATGACCTTGCGAGTCATGTAGACGTCTGTGATAATGTTCTAATATACATCAAACAACTTCCTATTCTCATATTATATTCTTATTTATATTTGTTTTTAATTTTTTTTTAGTATTAAATAATTTGAAAATTAGATAAGATAAGTTCATTTGTATAATTTTACATTATAATCAATACTATAAAATATTGTTTATAAACAAAATCATTTAATTTTAGACGATATATATATTTATATACATTATTAAGCATATTTTATGTACGCACACTACTCATAATTATTATTAAATTATATTTAAATCATCGTGTTACCATTAAACTATTACTTTGTACGAGTCATACATCTGTATGACACAAACATTTGTTAATATTTAACAATTAAAACAATATTAAATAAATAAATATAATATATTAACAGTATTATTGAAAATGTTAAATTCAATTTGAATGTTATTTAAGATTTTATGTGTAGTGAAAAATCTATTATTTATACTGTTTTTTTTTTTCGATAAGTAAAAATGTTCCATATTATTCACCTATCAGTACCTAATTATATAAAAATATATACATTTCTAATAGTTTTTTTATAAAATTAAAAAAATGATGATACATCGGTTTTATTTTTGTTGGGCTATAACAGAAAAACAAACTACAGCAAATACTATGCCGCTCTGAATTGTTTTTTGATTGAAAAAGTTTATCATTGTTTTTATGTGTATATAAATATAAATTACATGTATACATATGGATATAAATTAAATCACTATATCTTATTTAGATATAGTGATTTAATTTAAATCACTATTAAATCACTATATCTTATTTAGATATAGTGATTTAATTTATATTCATACTTTCATACTTACAGTGAGCTTCCATGATGAGCAGTACCTACTTCCAATTTCTCTTTTAAAAGTTTTATTTATCATAATTTCTAAAGATGCAAATTACACAATATATATGTTTGCTATGTTGTGTCTAATAAGTTGTATACTATTCATTAACTCCTGTTACTGTGTTGTCCATAAAACCCAGACTAATTTAAATAATAACATAACTAGGTCTCTTACTATTTCATAATTATATAGAAACATTCCATTTTAGGTAACTGTTTTAAAAATAATTTTTCGTGAGCAACTAAATCCAAAATGCAATAAAAAAAGTCTTGTAATTTTTTGATTGAAGCAAGAGTTCTATAGTATAAAACAAGTTACAAAAATGTAAAATCACGAAATCGTTAAGCCCAAAATATTTGACCATTTATCCTTACGTTTTTCCTACGTTATTTCCCGGTTTTCTCAACTATTACGAAAACCGCTTGGAAAATCAAAGGATGGCCTCTCTTAAGTACCAAGTAGATAAAATTTCCTTTTAGAAGAGATGCTACACCCACACTTGATACAACTGAGCGAGATTTCTGGTAGACATTTTGAACAAAGTATGAACAAAAAAAAAATAAACATAATTGTAAAACCAATAAAACGCTTTGAATCTTAAAACACGTATCATATTCACAATCGTATCATATGTAGCCGTGTAGGGATATTTATCACCAAGGAAGGAAAATATTGCTGAAAAAGAATACAATCAAATCACGGACGGTGCGTTGCCATTTCGTTAATCGTGTATTTCGTAGAACTATTAATGTATTGTGGCCCGATCGTGTGTTTGTACACCCCAACGTTTTATTTTTTCAATTTTAACTGTCAAGAGGCAGTCGGAAATCGAAGGTAATAATAATGATGATTGATTGTTTGCAAATCTTATGCTACTTTTAGGAAAACCCCAATGAGCACCATAGACCATAGTAGTCGTCGGTCACAATGGTACGGGAAACGGCAGCCGTACCCAATATTACATTATTTGTAGTGGTATAAAATCATAATATAAATGTATTCATTTCAATATTATTGACAGTTGAAACCGGTCTGACCAAAATGATCGAATTCGCCATTCAATAATGTCCAGTACATTTCCAAATCGTTGTAATTGCCACGGTCGTCGAATACTCACCTATCAATGGATCGTGTCTCTGTGTCCACGCGGCACGCACGCAAATCGTTATCGGGGGGACTATTTTTACACACAGTGGAATTTTATGATTCGCCGCGGTATAAATGTATTACAATTTTGTATTACTACAATTGATAATTATTGCTCATATTCCGTAATTATAAATATATTTTGTGTCTAATATCGAATGGGTATCGATAACGATATGACAAACTTATTAATCATTCATTATTTAATTATTTTTTTTAAAAATGTTTTGAAAATTCTTCTTATGACAATAATTACTGTGTGTCGTACAGTCTTTCACTAGGCGACATTTATGCCGCCTAGTTCACTAGTTTAAAAAATGCACCGATTGTCGACAATGTTATTCGCACAAAGTCACACTATGACACAATGATACGTATCTATTGTTAATTTTATTGTATTAATTTTGTTTTGTAATTTGTATTCGAAGGGTATCTTATTCGTCTCCGATTTTTTTTTGTTGTTGTTTGTTTCATTGTTATAATTTCACAATATACCTTATGATCGTGATTTCCTGTATGGATGTTCAAATTTCATCAACAACATTTGTAAAGTTCGATGACGCGGAATTATATCCAATGCACCTAAATTGGCTGAATTATTATAACTTTTAGAATTGTGGTTTGGAAGCTATGTACCTAAGACAAGAAAAATATGGAGGTCGCCATATGACCCATATGAAATGCTCAATGCTCAAATATTATTACACTCAAACACAATTATTTCTTTTTAGTATTTTGTTTAAAATATAAAATCAATTGGGGGAAAAAACAAATATATGTACATATAACAGTTATCGATTTTGTATTTTTGTTGTACTAAAATCTCAAAAATCCATTTGAAATTGTTGAATTTTCACTTTTATTTATTTGGATACAAATATTAGAATTTGATTTTATTAGTTTGTGAATTCAAATTTATGTTAAAATTCATTAAACCCAAACACATGATCAATTATAATTTATTTTGTAAGTACAAATTAATAAAATTTTAAATTCATATTTATCAAAACATGTTTGATCGAACTTCGCTCAGATTTGTTTTTCGTTAACAATTGTTTATTGTTGCATACCTACAGATGACGTTATTTTATTCAAGTATTTTTGGGGTATAATTTAATAAAATTGAAAAGAATAATAATTCATGAAATTTTTTTTTAATTTCATTGCCTTTCGGTATCCATTTTGAAAAAAGTTGAAAACGAAGCAATTCCCAATAGGAGAAAAACGAAAGATTTATGAACTTCAGTTTTCTATTTGAAACTTATCTATTAATCGTGGCTCCATCTATCAGTATGTATATCCACCAATATCCAAAACGTTTGTTATCTCGTAACAGTCGTGTTATCTCGTATCCAGTTGGAACTTGTATGACTGAATTGCAGTCGTTTGTAATAGGTATGTTATGTTTCCAAAAATATATGTATTTTTCACTGTGATGTAACAAATAACTATATAATTAAGAATCATATGCGCTGATGTAGTCGTAAAATTAGTAATAATTAACTTACAGATTGAATTGGTTCTACAATATTGTTATAGGTTTATGCACGTCACCTGAATTCACTTGATTCTTCGTGATCAGCTAGTGCTGTCGTCGCCGACACTGATGGTCGCTTCCTCTTGTGGTCGTTTAACGTCATGATCAAGAGGTCTAACGCAAAAGAAATGTTCATTATACGCGCGTTGGAGAAAATTCTCGGCGACAAGGACGTCAGAAAGTCCTACCATGCTGAATTGCGAAAAGAATGCGAAGCTGCTTTACGTGAGCCATTATTGTAATATACAAAGAAACATTCGTAAACGTTTCATTTTTTTGTAGAGAGCATAAAATCGGAATGCCAAGCCGAAGAGAAGACTGATGCATCGTCTGCCTTGCCACTTCCCAAAGATGGTAGTTCGGCAATATCAGCAGAAAAATACTTTAGACCGTTTGAATTGGCTTGCCAAAGCAAGTCACCTAGAATCGTTGTCACTTCATTAGACTGTTTGCAAGTAAGTAAAACTTATACCATTCAGTGTTCTTTAATTAATATTAATAATAATAAATCTTTATTGCAACAATAGATGTATACATTATATACAAAATATGAATTAAAAATTGCAGCACTCCCTATAAGCAAAGCTTGTGCTGGGGATATGGTTCTTATCACTAGAGTAAATAAACAATTTAATATGTTGAATTAAACAAAACATATAAATAAAATAACATACCTATAATAAATAATGCATACATAGAACAACATTTTATATATCTATGAACCAAAACAGAATAAAGAAATTATAATAAGTGTTGATATATTAACAATAAGAAAAAAGTTTTAAGTGTAAGAGACTAATATTACAAATTAGATAAATATTGATGTTTTACATATTTCTTAGAAACAAATACATTTTCAAAATTTTTTGTATTGATATTTAGCGAACGACATAAGTTCAAACCTGTATATAGTATAATTTTTTGACCAAAAATTTTAAGATTACGCAAAAGTATTTTAATATTTTGCTTATATCTGGTATTGTGCTTGTGGTTTTTAGAAGTAATTACATATCTATGTTATAAAAAACAGTTAGAACTGATAAATTATAAATACATTTTAATTGTTTTACTTTAATCATATTATAAACCAATGTGGTGCTAGTTATCATAAGAAGGTTAAGCAAGAATTTAATAATACTATTAATAGTAACAATAAGTCTAGACAAAACATTATTTGGGGCACCTCCTCAAATCAATATACCATAGGAATTCACTGATTGAATTAATTAAAGCTAGAAAAATAGTTATTTTACAAAAAAATATCAAATACGAATCTAGCTTCTTTAAAAAAGAAAAAGAATTTACATAGAATATTATTAACATAATTAATATAACTTTCCCACTATAATCAATAATATCCCAAGGTATTTTATTTTTTTATGCTTTTTTAAGTATACTACATTTAGGACTACAAGTTGTATTCAAATTACGATTAAATTGTAACGAATGAACTATAAAATTATTTTTAATTGAGCAGTTTGATGTTCAATGTTTGAAGCAGATATATTTTGATTTAATTAAATTAAATTTTAATTTATTTTTACAAAACCAAGCATAAATAGTATCCAATATATTATTGGCTGAGTTAAATAATATATCAACTGTTAATTCAGATACTAAAATAGCTGTATCATCAGCATAGCTTAATAATTCAGCCATTGAATTCATATTAAGTTTTAAGAGGTCATTTATAAAAATAATAAATAACAAAGGACCTAATACAGTGGCTTGCAATATTTCACATGATACATTTAGATCATCATTAGAAAAATCATTACATTTAACTCATTTAAGTAATACCATTCAAAAAAGATCTAAAAATATTTAGTGCTACTCCACATATTCCAGAATTTTCTAATTTTATTAATAAAAGTTTGTGATTTACACAATCAAATGCTTTATACACATTTAAAAAAAATACCCATAACCTTTAAATTATCATTCAAATTTTTCCTAATGAAGTTATTAACCTTGAATAGAGCGTTGTATGTAGACAAACCAGTTTTAAAGCCAAATTGTGATTTACGAAAAAATCAAGAACTTTAATTTTGATACATTTTTCTAAAACTTAAGACAAAGTTATCAATAATGATATGGGTTGGTATTGTCGCATAAAAATTTATCTCCAGCTTTGAATAAGGTTTCACTACACATTTGTTAAAGGTTTCAGGATACTTACCAGTTGCTAATGATTTATTAAAAATAATAGATAAGGGCAAAAAATATATTTTGAAACACCTTTTTAGTATATAATTTGTCAGATCATTTTCAAAATAAGAATTATGATTTTTAAGTTATCAAGAAGTTTAACAATTTCATCCTTATCAATTTGTTTTAGAAATATACTATCTTTAACACATTATAGTTGTCATTAGGTAAAAATGTATTTGGGCATAAATACTCTATTTCTAATAATACCAGCTTTATTTTTATCTTATTAATTTTTATTTCAATGTGACTTGGTTTACTAATTACTTCGTTTATTATAATTCTAAATTAATTTAGTATCAGACTGGGCATGCTGTAATCTATTTTTATAATATATAATTGCTTAGATTGTACTAGTTTATTTAGTAAATTTTTATACAAATTGTAATTTTGTTTTAATTATATGTCAAAAGACCTGAATGTTAGTTTAGTAAATAGTTTTTCCCTATTCTAGTAAAGGTTATAATACCAGTAGTAATTCAATCTTTAATTTTATGTATCTTTTTTGATTTGAAAATCTTATATTTATAAATAGATGATTCGGTAATAAACTCTTTTATTTTAGAGTTTTAACTTCTATCATATTATCTACATTATTGAAATTCAAACATGAATACCAATTTTTAATTTTAATTAACATTTCTAAGTGGTTAATGTTTATCTTATTTGGTATTAAATTATTATGAGTAATTATTTTATTATTGTTAACATTCAATATAATCAAAATTGGGGCATAATGGTCAGTTATATCACACCTTAATATATTTGAAATAACTATATTGGAATCAATATTTATAATAAAAATAAATGGTTATAACTAATGATTTCAGAAACTCATTGCATACGGTCATTTGACAGGTAATTGTACCAATGACACGGGTAAGCCACTTATTGATAAAATCGTTGAAACTATTTGTGATTGTTTCACGGGACAGCAGACTGACGAAGGAATATTATTACAAATTATTAAAGTAAACAAATATTTATCTTTTTTTTTTTAACTGATTAATTTAATTATGTTGTATTTCAATCTAGGCTCTATTAACAGTAGTAACAAGTCAACATGTTGAAGTGCACGAAGCGACAATTTTAAAAGCTGTAAAAACATGTTATAATATCTATTTAGCAAGTCGAAACTTGGTGAATCAGACGACAGCACGAGCAACACTTACACAAATGTTAAATGTAATCTTTACTCGTATGGAAATGCAAGCAATGGAGGCAGAGGTAGTGTCTAAAGATGAAACTGAAATGGTAGAATTGTGTGAAGTCGACGAAACAGTTCACAGCGATGATTCTAGTAATCAGGAAGTTATCGATGAGAGTATTATTAATGACATTGTCAATGAAATATGTGATTCCGCTGTACGAAGTCTCGACTGTGAAATAAAGACAAAAGAATTAGCACAAGATATCATAAGGTCAATGTCCCAGGTAAGTTGTTTATTTAAAAATAATCTAATAATTAATAAACAGGAACATTTATTATAATTATTATATTTTCTGTAGGAAAGTTTAGAAACTCCAAATGAAACTGAATGTAAAACAGTAACAGCTTTTAATCATATATTACAAAAAGATGCTTTTTTAGTTTTCCGTTCATTGTGTAAACTGTCAATGAAACCACTGCCAGATGGAACACCCGATCCTAAGTAAGTCTGAAGGTAATTTTATGTATTTATACTTGTATTCAAATTTTAAAACAATTTGATAAATTTTTAGATCACATGAATTACGTTCAAAAATTTTATCTTTACACCTTTTATTGTCAATCTTACAAAATGCTGGACCTGTATTTCGCACTAATCCAATGTTTATCACGGCCATCAAACAGTTCTTGTGTGTGGCTTTGTCTAATAACGGCACTTCGTCTGTACCTGAAGTTTTTGAACTGTCATTGGCTATATTTTTATCATTGCTATCGAGATTTAAAACACATTTAAAAATGCAAATCGAGGTGAGAATTAAATAGTTTTGGTAATTTGTAATAACCAGAATTATTATAAATAATTGTTTATTTTAGGTATTCTTCAAAGAAATATTTTTGAATATTTTGGAAACTTCTAGTTCAACTTTTGAACACAAATGGATGGTTATTCAAGCATTAACACGTATATGCGCTGATGCACAAAGTGTTGTAGATATGTATGTCAATTATGATTGTGATTTGTCTGCAGCAAATCTCTTTCAAAGGTAATCGATAAAACATCCTTTAGAGTTTATATTTATCATATTTTTGTGTTGTTATATTTCAGGTTAGTCGATGATCTTTCAAAAATAGCTCAAGGTCGTCAAGCAATAGAATTGGGTGCAACACCAAATCAAGAAAAATCTATGCGTATTCGTGGACTCGAATGTTTGGTCTCAATATTAAAATGTATGGTCGAATGGAGTAAAGATTTATATGTTAATCCTAATTCCCAAACTAATCTCGGACCAGAAAGAAATGTACGTGAATATGATGCAAATGAGTCTGCTGTAACTCAGGACAGTCTTAACTCGTTTGATGGCAGTGAATCAAGTTTAACGTCAAATAGTTCTGGTAATAAAGAAGCTCCGGATATGCCTCAGCAACTACAAGTTTTGAAACACCAGAAAGAAGTTTGGGAGACTGGCATTCTTATGTGAGTAGTTTAAATCAAATAAAATAAAATAATTTATTAAATATTTATGTTTTAGGTTTAACCGCAAACCTAAACACGGTATAAATTTTCTCCAAGAACAAAAGCTTCTCGGTACTAGCCCATCAGATATTGCAGAATGGTTTCATATTGATGAAAGATTAGATAAAACTGCTATTGGAGATTTTCTCGGAGAAAATGAAGATTTTAATAAAGAAGTAAGTACAGAAACTATGAGTTTTATTATTAGTTAGCTAAAAATTACAAGATATTTGAAAATGTCTTAATGTTCATTTTTCTTCAATTTAATTGATAAGAAATAATTTTTTTCATGTAAATCACACAATTTAATAAAACAAATTTATATTAAAATCTTAATAATTTTTTAGGTTATGTATTACTATGTAGATCAAATGAATTTTGTTGGCAAAGATGTTGTTTCAGCATTGCGATTTTTTCTCGATGGTTTCCGATTACCGGGTGAAGCTCAAAAAATCGATAGATTATTAGAGAAATTTGCTAGCAGATGGTTTGAATGCAATCCAAAGTAATTTATTTAAAATTTACATTCTTTAATAATAATTGTAAAATTAAACTAACAAACCAAATATATATTGAATATAGTTAAATATTAGTTATATACATAATGTGTTTTACAGTAATGGACTATTTGATAGTGCCGATACTTTGTACGTACTTTCCTACTCTATTATAATGTTAACTACGGATTTACATTCCCCACAAGTCAAAACTAAAATGACCAAAGAGCAATATATAAAAATGAATAGAGGTAGTTGTATATCAGACAATAAGGATTTACCCGAAGAATATTTGAGTAAAATATATGATGACATTGCTGGTCATGAAATCAAAATGAAATCAACTGTGAAACCTGGAAAACAATGTGAGTTTTATAAAAATATGTATATTTTTTTACTTTTATCCTATGTAAGTATGATCAGGACCTATTTGTATGCAATTTTAATAAAACAAATCTGCTATTAGTAATACCAAATGAAAAGAGACGTAAAGTATTATGGAACATGGAAATGGAAGCAATAGCAGTTGCAGCTAAAAATCTTATGGAGTCAGTTAGCCATGTTCGAGCGCCATTTACTGAAGCTAAACATTTAGAACACGTTAAACCCATGTTTAAGGTCCGATTTCATTAACATTTGTTGTGTCTTAACTTAAATAATAATGATTTGTTTTTAGATGACTTGGACGCCTTTTTTAGCAGCATTCAGTGTTGGTCTTCAAGATTGTGACGATCTGGAAATTGCCATGTTATGTTTAGATGGCATACGATGTGCCATCAGAATAGCTTGTATCTTTCACATGACTGTGAGTAATTCTAAACAAATTTCATTTATAAAAAATAAACATTTCATGTAATTGTTTTAGTTGGAAAGAGATGCCTATGTGCAAGCATTAGCTCGTTTTACTTTATTGACTGCTAATTCACCAGTTACCGAGATGAAAGCTAAAAATATTGAGACTATAAAAACATTAATAACTGTCGCATACACTGATGGAAATTATCTTGGTACTTCATGGCTTGATATAATCAAGTGTATATCTCAATTAGAACTAGCTCAGATGGTGGGCACTGGAGTTAGACCACAATTTTTATCACAGGTTATAAGCAAAACATATCCTCCTATTGAAGCTCTTAGCCAAAAATTAAACTTCACTACATTAGATAGTAAGTTTTATATAATTTACTATGTTTTTTTATAACATGTTTATTATTATATGTTTATATATTGGGATCCTTTAGGTGGTGGAAAAGGGTCAATTGGAGAAACAAGTAGTCAAAGTGTTGTAGTAGCTGTTGATCGCATATTTACTGGTTCTACTCGACTCGATGGCGATGCTATTGTTGAATTTGTCAAAGCATTGTGTCAAGTATGTAGATTTTTGTTTTCAAAATATAATTAACTTTTCAAATTAATTTCTTCTATATAGGTATCTATTAACGAATTAGCTAATTCATCACATCCTAGAATGTTTAGTTTGCAAAAAATCGTAGAAATATCCTATTATAATATGGGGCGTATTCGTCTACAGTGGTCTCGTATGTGGCAAGTGCTTGGTGAACACTTTAATCGTGTAGGATGTTATCCAAATGAAGATATTGCAACATTTGCTCTCGACTCATTGCGGCAGTTGTCTATGAAATTCATTGAGAAAGGAGAATTTGCTAATTTTAAATTCCAAAAAGATTTTTTGCGTCCTTTTGAAGTTATCATGAAAAAAAATCATTCACCGACCATAAGAGACATGGTGGTTAGATGTATTACTCAAATGGTCAATTCACAAGCGGCAAATATTAGATCTGGATGGAAAAACATATTTGGTGTATTTCATTTGGCTGCTTCCGACCACGATGGTGCTATTGTTGACATGTCATTTCGTACAACACAACATGTTATTAGTGAGTTTAATTATTATTAAATTTAATTTCTCAATCACAGAGTAATATATAGATTTTGTTGCTATAGAAAATTTGTTTCCAAAATACATGTTGCTACATTATAAAAATATCATTACTTGTCAAACTACTTCATAGTGAACTATAAAGGAATAAAGGATTTTTGTGTGAATCATAAATAAAAACTTAGTTTGATAATCATATTAATTTTATCAATATTCATGCCGTCTAACAGACAATTAGGAGTTTAATGCCTCCTATGCTTTACACTTTGATGACTTGGGCTCAATCTTATCAACGTAAATGTTGATTTTTAAACAAAGTTTATAAGATAATCAACCAATAGTGGTCGGTTATCTGGGAATATAAGCAGTTGTCAAAAAATAGATGAAAGATTTTTTTCTGACTCAGTTTGAATTATAGCCAATGTTGAATAACAAAATGTTTGTGTAGACTTTCATTATCAAAAAAAAAAAAGTATTAATAATGCATTTATTGTTTGCTTTTTTTATTTATGTATGTATGTATGTATGTATACAGTGTGTTGATTTTCTTTTTAAAATAATATATATATTATAATTTTGTACAATGGAGCATTTGGTTGATCACGATTACATGTTGCCAAGTTTTTAGGTTTATAAAGATTTATAAAGCCAAAATATCTAGAAATGTTTTTCTCATTTATCCGAGTAACGACCTTAATTTACGAGTATTTAAGAATAATAATCAATTTACTTTTTTACAGCAAGTAATTGATATTATTGAATATATTGCAGGCTTCATTGTTCGTAAACTAACAACTAAATTAATTTGTGATGATTGCACTAAAGTTTTAACTCTAACCCATTCTGAATCTAGATCATTAATAACAATAAATAAATAACCAAGGTGGATTAACTATTCACTAATGACTACATAATTTATTATACAAGGTTTACGGGCATTAAACGTTAAATTATTGCATAGGCAAATTATTATTATTATTATTTTCGCTAGTAACAACCCTAATAAAAAAATTATTGTATCTCTATCCTTATCAATTTTCTGACAATTACCCTGTACCCTTAAACTCAATTTAAGAATCAGATAAACACATTTTTTACATTAGTAAGAATGGTCCTTAGTGGCGCTATTAGGATTTTTTGAACGGAGTTTCACAATATGTCCACAAAAAAAAAAAAAAAAACTAATACGTTTTAATAAATTTAATTCTTTAAACATTGATTGAAGAAGGTGAAGAGGAAAGATGGTGTGCTGACTCCCTAACATCCCACTAAAGTTTGTTACTGCTATTGCTCTGTGGAGTATATCATAAATAGCGAAAATATTTAATTCAAATATCTTACTAAATCTTAATAAATATAACAATAAAATAAATATTAAAAAAATTGACACTATTGCTTATGGATAATCCACTTTTGTAGGTAGATATCAGGGAAGATAAGATGTAAAGAATAATTTAATTTATATAATTGATGCAATGATAAATCATTGCAAATAAAAAACGATTCTGAGTCTAGTGATATTAGTCTTTCCCCCTCCTGCTCTAATTTAAATATTATAGAACAACTGAATGGAACTTAGATGATTTTTGAAATAAAGAACTAGATGAAAAATTTGCATGACATTCACTAGTTGAATAATTTGGAACCATTTTACTAGCTGTTAAATTGTTTTCAGAGAAAAAAAAAAACCAAAAATGTACCTAGGGGTGAACTATTGAAAATATCAATAAATGTTTCAATAAAGTACAACCTGGCAAGATATTTAGTAATGTTAATGAGTGAAAACGGAAGAGAACTTTTATTAATTAAGTGTTTTATTTTTTCTAAATAAAAGAACTTCAATTTTTTGGGATATATATTGGGAATTACAAAATATTTTTTTAAATAAAATACCATCAAATAAAAACATTTGTATGAAAATAGAACATTAACTGTAAAAGTAATTTCTAAAAAAGAATGTGACATCTTTGTAAAACTCTGTTTTTGTTATACTTAAAATCTAAAAATATGAATACCTAGCTGGTTATATTCACAAAATGTTGTTTATGTTTTTTCACATATATAGACTTATTTTATAAACAAAACTGTATAATTATGATGGAATCATTCCAAGACGCTGTGAAATGTTTGTCAGAGTTTGCATGTAATGTTGGGTTTCCTGAAATCAGTATGGAAGCAATTCACTTATTGCGAACATGTGCAGACTGTGTTCATGATAAACCTCAGGTGAGTATAATACTAGGTAAAAAATCTTATATGTGTATTTATTTTTTTTATTCAAGATATTTGCAGAACATTTTTCTGAAGAACCATCTTCTCTAGAAGAAGATGGTGTCTGGGTACGAGGTTGGTTCCCATTGTTATTTGAATTGTCTTGTATTGTCAGTCGATGTAAACTAGACATTCGAACGCGAGCTTTGACAGTTCTTTTCGAGTTAATTAAAACACACGGAACTGTGTTCAAATTAAACTGGTGGAAAGACCTTTTTAATGTACTTTTCCGTATATTTGACAATGTCAAACATCAGGAACATAGTGTTGAGGTAATAATCGTATAATTATATTATTTCTATTTATTCGTTTAAGTATATTACACATTTTTTAGAGAATTGAATGGATGACAATTACGTGTAATCATGCACTTACATCAATCGTAGATGTTTTTACACAGTACTTTGATATATTGTGTCCCATACTACTACAAGATTTGTATGCGCAACTACAGTGGTGTATTCAACAAGGTACATTATCAGTTAATTAATTATAATAATAATAATTTATTAATTTATCATTTTATGAGTTACAGATAATGATCAGTTAGCTCAGTCTAGCACATATTGTTTAGAAAATTTGATTACATCCAACGGATCAAAGTTTGATAACATGAACTGGGATTGTACATGTCAGACAATTGTATCAATGTTTGACAGTATGATGCCAAAACCATTACAGGAACAAAATTCAAAGTCTGAGGTATGTGTGTAGATAATAGCAATAATAAAACTCAGCAGGCCATAATTTATTTAGTAAATGAGTTTTACATTTGTCTTTGTGTAAATTGTATTGTTAAAATGATGGCATTTTATTTTGCTGACAGCCTCTTAAACCAGATGTTTTAATAACTGCAAAATGTGCAATCCGCCTTGAATTGATTCGTACCGTGGATAATATTGTGTTCTTTCCTTCTACATCACGAAAAGAGGACCAGGAGTACTTGGCTTTGGCTCAAAATACTACAATTAATCAGAACACTGAAATATTGGAACAGCAACAAGAAGAGCAAGGGATGTACGGAAATTTGAGTTCTGAACATTTATTGATGTTAACAGACTGTTTGTTACGTGTTCACAATTATACTAAACAGTATAACTACGCAGTGTTACAAAACATTCCTCAACGTAGTTATGGTTAGTTAACATTTACTATTCATATTTACAATTTTATTTTGATAGTAGTGTAAATAATTTATTTTTTATAGTCAATGACGACATATCAAATATGTTAACTCAAGAAACCCAGAGTGTGGCTTGTGTGTTGAGAATAACACTAAAAGCTATATGCGATGAGTCTCGGCGTGTACATTGGACACACGCACAAAATGTGGCTTGTACTGTTATAAATGATTCGCTTCAGTATTATTTATCGTTAAATAATCATTACCACCGGACATCTTGGAATCCTATTTTATTGCTCATATTCACAAAATTGTATAAATTGCCGGAAAACAAGGTACATTTCATTTATTATTTTCATATTTTTTTTAAACCAAAATACCTTTTATAATAATAAGTTTTATTTAACATATTATAAAAAAAAAATTTTAATTCATTATAGTTTGCGTGGCAGTCTTCTCGACACTATCCTCTGTTATGTGAAATGATCACTATCGATATGAAACCAGAACTAAAAACAGTTCTCGGCAGAATATTTGCACGTATTGGACCTGTTTTTAAAATAACGCTGTAACAAAACCGCCACAGAACTGTTACATGTATTTTTATAATTCTTAAATGAAATTTTATAGCTCACTAACTTTGAATGGTCTTACACAAAATGATCACCAGAGTAACTTAACTGTTGATTGCACTCTTCATTTATAAAACTATATATATTTTCTACTACATATGAAAAAATTATATTACTATTCTCAATTATACTTTTGTTAACTTCGCATATTATGTACAAACATAAACAATGTGTCGAAGTATATTGTTATTATTTATTGTCACTTGTTTTTTTTTCTATTGAATGTGATTATATTATTATTAAATGTAGGTATATAGTTTTAATCAATGTGAATTATTTTAATATATTTATAGTTTTAATTATCTTATTGTGTAGTCTAGTCTAGACTACTAAAATGTACTGTTATATAACCGTCCCATAAAATATATATATATTTTTTCGTTTTTTGTTCCATAGTTTTTGTCATTTTGTGAGTCACCAATTGTTTACCAATGTCTTATTAAACATTTGTTATTATTTTTTAAATGATTTTGTCTACAGTTTTATATTGGACATTTTATTTTAAATTTCTTTCAGATTGCACTAGATGTTGTTATGAAGTAATTTAAGCACATGGATTACAAAAATCCAGAACTGTTTATTAAAATATTATGACTAAGAGATTCACTATTATATTTTTTACACAATAGAATAACGTCAATGCAACCCCTCATGTAGAAATGGCAATTGGATATTTTGGAGTAAACCATTCATCTGATGCTCATTAAGGGGGTTTAATTGTATTATTAGGTACCGTATATGTAATTATTTAAATGCTTTAATTTGTATTACATTACCTGTTACCTACTGTCAGCTGAGAAATATTTATCTAATATGAAGCTCATTAAAAACTGTTTAAAAGGACGTTATAACTCCGTAATTTTGTAAAAATCATTTATTTCGCCTGGGATAGAACTACCCGGACTTTAGTTTTAATTGAACAACCAAATTTTTACCATCAAAAACGGCATGACCACAGAAACTTGGTATAGGGTTAGGGCCGTCTGTATAAATAGATTATTCTTTTACTATGAAATGGCCATAGAGTACTGATAACACGCTATGTTTAGGGTATAGAGACATACAATAAGGAGTAGTTATTTTCTTTAATAATATTTGTTTAACTGATTTATTGATCCGTTTTTTCAGTTTTTCCAATCTATTGAGAAAATCAAAAAATGACCTTCCTAAAGTACCTCCCCAATACAATTTCCTTCAAAATAAAGTACTATCATTGTAAATCAGAGCAAAATTACTTTTGGAAAAGTTGTTCACTGGAAATAAGGCAGTAATGTATTTTTTAACTATTAGGTACCTTCCTTTGAGAAAACTCCCGAAAAAATCGAAAAATGACCTCCCTAAAGTACCACTCTAAGAAAATTTTCTTTCAGAAAATGGTCTACATCGTAGTAAGTAAGCTTTCTAGTGTCTTTTCCCAGTTTTTTCACATTTTCTGGGAAAATTAAAAAATAACCTCCCCAAATTACATTTTCATAATGATTTCCTTTAGAAAATGTGCTATCATTGAAAATCGGATCAAAATTGCTTCGTGAAAAGTTGTTCACATGAAAAAAGAAGACCGTAATATTTGTTTTAACTAATACCTACCTAAATTTCGTACATTTTCCGTTTTTCCCATTAATTGGAAAATCAAAAAATGACCCGCCAAAAGTACCATCTGCACAATATTCCCTTTCAGAAATGGTGCCGCATGTAGCAAATATATCAAAGTAAGATTTCTGGTAGAATTTTTGTATACAGTTAAAAATAAACATCTTTGTAAAACCAAGACATCCTTAGCTACACAAAATCTAAAATGCAACAGAAACGGTCCCTTGTTGTTTTTCTATTAGAGCGATATTTCTGGTAGAAATCATAAACCGTACAAATTAAAAATAACGTAACCATAACGCCGTAAATATACCAAAATTAATATTTTATAAAACGTCCAAACACTAAATAGATCAGATAAAGTGAGTTTCTATTGTCGGAGAAAATTGAAAAAAAGAAAAGGAATTGATTTAATATAAAACGAATATTGTTAAATATAAAAGAAAAGATTATTTACGATTATTTTAAATCGGAGCAAAATTGCTCGTAGAAAAGTTGTTTATAGGTGAAAAAAAAAATAAACATCATTGTAAAACCATAAAAATCCTCGTCCACTCAATGGAATATGGTACTTTAGAACATTAAAATGAAAGGTTTTTAATTTGCTATGAAATTAAATATTATTTTCACTGTAATAGATTAAATTGAAGTGATAAACTGATAAATAATAATACATAATAATAATTTCTTGTTGTAAATTAAAATATTCAATTAGTCTTCCTACGACTGCCCAGTGTCCCAAATTAGCACTCTCTCACTCAATATAGGTTCCGCGTTTCCTTATCTAAGTGCAGTCCACTTAATAATACGTCTATGTGTGAAACGGGCTACACACTATAGACATTGACCTGATAATATATGTTTGTAGGTATATAACTATAAGTCAGTGGTTCCCAATATTTTCTATTCTACGTCTCTTTTGAAGATTTTCAAAAATCTCGCGCCCCCTCCTATGTATAAATTGAAAAAAAAAATGAGAACCTCTTTTTTGTGTACTTCACAAATAAACTATATAATATTCGGAATAACTGCTTTTTATTGAAGGTAATAACCATAAAATATAAATAATAGTAAATAATATTTTAGAATAAATTGATAGGTATTGTATCCAAAACTCTTCTTAAGAGCTGCCGCTGTTTAAATCAATTTTCACGCTTGAATTGTTCTTCAGCCAATTGCCTGCCCTTGAAGTGTATCTGGCAATGTATCTACGTTAGTATTGAATGGACAACTTGTAAGCGTATATTGACAACTTTCGTTCGAAAGATCTGGAAACTATCGTATAAATTCGTCAGTCAAACTGTTAAGATATTTAATTACTATATTATTTAATCCAGCAAGACAAAAGGGTTCTTCTTCATCAAAGAGAAGTTCGTTCAGTCGACGGAAAGGCCAAAAAATAGGAACCTCTTTGTTTATTCGGGGTTTCCACAGCTATATATTTTCTAGAAATCAGTTAATAGAATCGTTGGCGGCTATGACGTTCGTATTACGCTCTTGTAATTTGAGATTTAGGTTATTAATAGTCTCAAAAAAATCCGCAAGGTACGAAAAGTAGAATGTGAAATTTTCATCAGTAAAATTCTCACGAAGATCGTTTTTACCTAATTATAAAAGCATAATTTCCACTTAAAATTTCAATTCGTACAAACGTTCAAACGTATTCCATTTGGATAACCTCTGTATAGAATAATAAAACAGAATGTTCAGCGGATATCTCTGAACAAAGAATCTTAAAAATACGCAAATTAAGTACACTGCTTTTGATGGTGTTAACAACTTTTATATATACTTCAAGTAAATTTTTAAGTTCAGGTGGCAGCGTTTTTGCAGCTAAAGTTTATATATGTATTACGCAATGAAAATCAATTATTGACGGGTTTTTTTCTTTTGCAAGGTCAATCGTGACCCTAGTATTGCAGGGGCACTGTCTGTACATAGAAATACATTTTTCCAAGAGAGACTATTCTGATCAAAAAATATGTTAATGGCAGAAAGAACGTCACAGCCTTTTGAGGTCAAATTAAAATCCTGGGAAAATAGAAGTTCTTCTGCAACTGTTCATTTATAAAACGACAGTAAACTAGTAGATGGCAACATGGGCCATATCAGTTGATTCATCACACTGAATTGCAAAGAACACGGAATTTTGTAATTTAAGAATTAACTGATTTTTTTATATCCAATGCTAATTCATCTATGCGTCGTTTAATTTTACTATCCGATAGATATTTGAACTATTTACCTTTTACTTTCTTCACCAAGTACTATATCTACAGCTTTAAGTATGCTGGATTTAATTAATTTTTCACCCAAAGTATGTAGTTTCTTTTGCTGAGTCACCATGAACGCAATGCGGTATGAAGCTTCAATAATTTTTTCATTGTTCGGTTGAAATTTTCTAGTACTGTCAAGTTTCATTTTACTTAACAATTTTTTTCTAGCTACAAAAAACTCTTTAGGTTTTCTTTTGTTTCTAAATGTTTCTATTTTTTTTACCTGAAATCCTAATCTACTGTACATAAAGAATTACCATTTGAAAACCGATGCATGTAAAGGCCATTTTATCACAATTTAAATATACACATTTCAAATTATTTTTATGAGACATAATTCATAAAGCTGATATATTTTTATACAAAATTATGTATTTAAATAACAGTGAAATGAAAATGGTGACCAATTAAACAAATAAACCTTCCCAAAATACTAGATACATTAATTAACAACTGGGGCTTGAAATGTTGAATTCAAAACAAAATTCAAAACGACTCAGCTAAAACATCTATTATTAATTCATAATAAATTCATCCAGAAATGTCTATAATAGGTTACAACATAGGTTCCCAAATTTTTTAATGGTACGACCCATTTTGAAAATAATTTAAATTTTGGTGACCCACAATAATATCAAACACCCTTTTTTTTGGTTTATTTTTCATTTCTGGATGACTCGTGAAGTTTGGTCAGTCGCATACTCTCATTTGCAAGTATAAATACAATTTACTGGTAGAAAAGTTGTTCACAGGTAAAAAATTCTATAATATTTTATTTTTAAACTAATACATACATTTTGTTCATTTTTTTTGAAAAATCAAAAAACATCTTTTCTTAAGTACCTCCACTGTCCAATTTCCTTTCAGAAAGTGCATGTAAATAGATTTCTGATAGAAAAGTTGATCAAGGATAAAAAAAAAATAAACATCGTACAACCAATACATTCCTCGCTCTACTCAAAATCTCAAAAATGTATTATTTAAAAATATAACGCAACCCACTAAAAATATGATCACGACCCACATTTTGTGAACCTCTGAGTTACGATGTACAAAACAATGCAAATGTTATAAATATGTTATGAATTTTATTATAATACATTTTTTTTCTTAAAATGTGGAATACAAAATTCAAAATTTGTAAATATCGAAAAAATGTATTAATATTGAAAATTAAAAAAAAATATATTTTAGAATTATAAATGTTAAATAAAAATAAAAGAAATTATTTAGGTATATAAAACTGATTATTTTTCCAGAACAAAGTAATGAAAAACAACATATTGTTGAAGATTTGCAAACAAAAAATGGCAACAAATTGGTCGAAGAATACTCTTATATTGACTATAAGAACGTTCCATGTCAACAGATGTGATAGGATTGTAATTCATATTTATGTATCAGAAATAGTGAATTCAAAGTCCAGAGAACCTTGTTGATATTTTTTTTGTTTTAAAATATCTGATGATTTTAATAGTTTGAAATGAAATCCAGAATTTATTTCAATTATATAAACAAATTTCTGTTTGACCATTTCTCCTATGTGTCCTGAGTGTTTTTTAAATTGTCAGTTTATTTAGAAAACGTAGAATATTTTGGTCGTTATCAAAAATTACTGATTTTGTCACTTTATACAAAGCAGATAATGTTTGTTGTCGTCGAAAATCAATGACAAAATTAAAAATTACTAAAATATGTACTTATTTATCAAATATGTGAAAATATATATTTATACTCAAATATGTAAAACTAATTTGGGCTTATTTCAATTATTATGTTACACATCATAGATTTTTTATCAGACTAGTTTATCTCATTCCAATAAAATTTGTTCCTTAGTTATAAATAACCAATACACCTAAAGTACATATTTTCTAGTTTACATGACTATGACTTTAGCTATCTATGAGCTACTAATTAATACACGCTTAATCAATGATAAAATATTAAAAAAATAATCAAAACTTTTTCCTAGTCAAATATTACTAGAATAAAGGTTAACAGGTCATTTGGGGTCATGTTAGAAAACTTATTTTTATTTTTTCTAAAATAGATCTCCAAATTAATAAATCCTAAATGAATAAAGTTGTAATCAGTTTTTATAAAATAAATTCAAATTATATGTTAAACAAACAAACATAGATAATTTAAAAAAAAAGGAAACTATCTTTGAGTATCAAATGGAATAGTTACATCACTGTTTCTGTCCACATAGTTTATATAGTTATAAGAGTAATATACATAGTAAGCACCTAGGGTTGCCACCAAACCAGATCTTAAACTGAACATCCCATACCACTTATACAAAGTAACTCTCTCAAATTCTATACACTACTCATTTACAGTTTTATATATATATATATAGAACATATGAGATTATTTCGAGTAGACTAATATAAAAAAGCTTGAATACTTCTAACCATGGAACCTGTTTGAGAGATACAATAAAGTTATATTATTGGTTACACAAATAGAAAACCGCCGTTTTCCCATAGGTTGCACCAGCAAGGTCAATCGATAGATAAGTGCGATAAGAAACGTTACATAGCCAGTTGAGGCATCAGTCAACAACTCTACAAAATCTCGCTCGTCTATTTTTACTGAGTAAGAATCATTTGCGGGAAGTTTTACTTTTTGCATTTCATTAAAAAAAAAATGTAGCTCAGACGCGTCGAATGATTGTAGAAACTTATGGTGAACGTTATATTAGTAAAAGAATGTGTCGGGAATGGTTTCATAAGTTTAAAAATGATGAATATGACGTAGAAGACAAGGAACGTCCCGGACCCGTGAAAAAATTCGAGGACGTAAAATTGGAGACTTTGTTGGATGAAGATTCTTGTAGAACGCAACGGGAACTTGCAAATTTATTGGGCGTGACATCAGCAAGCCGTTTCTCATCGCTTAAAATGTTTAGGAATGATCCAAAAACTGGAACATTGGGTGCCATACGAGTTGAAGCCGAGGGACATTGAACGGCGCCTTTTCACATGCGAACAACTCCTCCAACAGCAAAACAGAAAGGGTTTTTTGCATCGCATCGTGACTAGCGATGAAAAGTGGATACACTATGATAACCTGAAGCGGAAAAAATCGTTAACAATTTTTTCGACGAGGAATTGAGAAGCTGCCACAAAAATGGCAGAAAGTTGTGGCTAGTGATGGAAAGTATTTTGAAGAATGAGTATGTAACGAGTTTTTTACAATAACGCCTTAAATTATGAGAAAAAACAGCAGTTTTCTATTTGTACGCTAGATAGTTTATAATATATTATATGTAATGAAAAATGATTNTTTTTTTTTTTTTTTTAATTTTAATTATAATACATACAATCTGTAAATACTTTTTACAATAAGCATGTTTGAGGAATTATGGAAAAAAAAAAAATAAATAAAATAAAAATAAAAAAGGCGAGATCGACATGAGGAAGTAATCACCCAGCGGCAACACTTACTGACTATAGAGGGCTATTATAGGTCACGGTTCCAGTTACGTTTTAACCTTCTAGGTGGATTACCTGGAATGGAATTGGAGTTTAGGGCACGGATTAGTAGATTAGAGTGGTTTGTAAGACGCGCGCGGAAAAGTCTATAGGCATTTTTGGCTTCTTCATTGACAGTTAAAATTTTTAAGTCTGAATGTAAGGTGTGGTTTGAAACATACGGAGGAGCGCCTGTAATCATTCGCAATGAGGTCGATTGGAATGCTTGGATTTTGTAAGTATTAGACTTTTTTGCTGCACCCCACAATTGGATACCGTATAACCAAATTGGCTTGAGAAGGGTTTTGTACAGTAGCAGTTTAGTTTTTAGGTCAGTTTTTGCTTGTCTTCCTATAAGTGGGAAGAGCGCTCTTCGTCTGGCATTTAGCAAGAGACGTTTCTGCTTAATATGTAAGGCCCAGGTAAGTCGTTTATCGAGAGTGAGACCCAAATATTTAANCAATGAGGTCGATTGGAATGCTTGGATTTTGTAAGTATTAGACTTTTTTGCTGCACCCCACAATTGGATACCGTATAACCAAATTGGCTTGAGAAGGGTTTTGTACAGTAGCAGTTTAGTTTTTAGGTCAGTTTTTGCTATGTTTTTTGCTAGAACATTTTGAAAATAAAATCAAGTCTAGAGAGAAATAATATAAATGATCAGTACAATTTTTTTGTTTCAATTATTATTCTTAACTGAATTATCACAAACACCAGAATCGAAAATAACAGAAACAGTTATTGTGTATACTTAACAGTTTTTCCTCTCATAATAATACTAAAAAAGTCAAAAAAATTAAATCACTCTTAAAGTTTAGGTTAGGTTAAGGTCCCTAAATTGGAGCAAGATTTCTGGCAAAAAAAATACATTTCTCGTTCCACCCAGAATTTAAAAGTAATGTATTTTAATTCTAAAATTAATGGTTTTATATTGTATAAAAGAAATGTTTTATACATTTTAGGTACTTACTAAAACAATAGTTTTACAAACAATATACCAATTTTTTAATTTTTTTTTGATAATGATAAATTAATTAAATTAAACAAAAATAAGCAGGTTTACTTATTTAATAATGGCGCCTGCTTTGGCTAACTTATCAGCCTCTTCGTTACCAGTAATTCCTGTATGACCAGAAACATGAACCTAAAATAATAAAATTGATAATTACCAACATTTAAAAATAGAGTATTTTATTTTTATAAATTATATTTACCCAGGAAACAGAATCCATAGAGTTAATTTTTTTTTGTAATAATTTTAATATGTCTATATTTTTCACTGGTTTACGTGCAGTGGTTTTCCATCCATTTTTTTCCCATATAGGCACCCACTTAGTTACACAATTTATAACATATTCTGAATCTGTATGTATATTTATTCTTTTAATCCCTAAACATACATTTGTTTTGTCAATTATAATTCATACATATTACACAAATATTACCAGTTAATTTAACCCGTTCAATTGCTCTAATGGTGCAATGTATTTCAGCATGGTTATTGGTCTGTAATCCTGATAATTTTTCTGATAAATTTCTAATACAGTTATTTTCAAAACTATAATGTGTATAACAATTATTGATTAAAAAGAAAAAAAAATTACTTACAGGGGATTATTTGGGCCAAACCATACACCTAAACCGCCAGCTGCTTCTGCAAAACCATTACTAAGACAGGCACCATCGGTATAAACAATTACCTCGTTTTTTTTATTAAAGTTAAACATATCTTCTAAAATTGATAATTAACTATTAAAAATACAATTTAATTTAATAATATTTTAATGAAAATCTATTTATAATAAATAATAATTTGTTTAAATTATTATAGCAATACAAGGTCATCAACATAATGCATGGCACTCATTATCTCAGAAAATATTAACTTTTTTCAGATTTTGTTTATTAAAACATTTAAGAAATAAGGATCTTTAAGATGTTATATTACTCTTGTTTTTTTGTTCACTCTTCTTTTATGGATATAAATACTACCTGTTTGATTTTTTAAAAAAAAGTAATGTAAAATTTTAGAGATATTTTTTTATAAATGTTTTGAAAAATTTTTTTTTTCAAAATAATAAGTGTCTTATGTTATGTTGATTACTCTGTTTAGTAATATAAATGTATTAACCATGTGTACAGTAAATATTTGTTTAAATAATATTCACAATTTGTTTTCAGAAGACTTTAGAAAATTAAATTATTATTTATAAGTAGTAAGGAATTAAAAAATAATATTTTATGTTCAAGAATGATTATAATTACTTGCTCTTGCTATTTCAGATTGTTTCAAGTTAGCATCTTTAGGATTAACTACATCGTCAACTTTAATTGAAGTAGTAGAACAATCTTTAATATCAGCACAACTAAAAAATAATATTTTTAAAACAGGCTAAACAATTTAATAGGTTGTGCCAATGAAATAAATTACATTTTAAGTATGTAAAGTATACACTTTAGATACTTTCTATAATATCCAAGCATCATATAAAATACTAATATATCGATGGTTATAAGATAAGATGGATATAAGTGTCAAAAAACTAAATAAATTGTATTACAACTTTAGAACATCAAATCACGGATTATTTTGAGATTTAATAAGAGACATAATAGTTTATATACTTTTTGTATGAATTAATTGTTCATAATTATAATATTATTATACACCACTTATTATTTTTTCAGTACTCTCAAAAATACTAAATTAAATTATAAATTGATGTAACTGCCAACAATGACAATTACGTCCTATTACGTTTCACTGAATGCTGTTTACGTCTTTTAATTGACATTTAGACCAATTTTTTTCAATCCCTCCAATTCTATGCTGTGAAAATTTTTTTAAAGTTGTAATGTGTTACTATGTTTCTTTTTAAAAAAAGAAATTAAAAAATAGTTTAAACAAAAACATTTTATCAGTAACAAAACAAATTATACGCATGAATATTGGCTGTCATTTTCTTTTTATCAGTAATAATTTGAACATTTACATCCAAATAATTAAATAAGCCCATTAAATAGGCACTCACTTGATAGTCATTAATTAATACAAATTACTCAAATGAGGTTTTCAGTATTCAAATTAATATCTTAGCACTTTAAATGTAAAATTACACAACAATTATTTGTACATTATTATATGTATTGATCAAATCATACTTGATAAGAATTTTGATCACAAAATATGACATATTACTCTGAGAAGTTGTCACACTATTCATGTGTATTAGTATATTACAGATAAATCCTATATTACCAAACAACCTATGAGGATTACATACAATGTTTGGGCATTATAGAAAATGGCTGAATTATATATTTTGCCTATACAAGTACTTATACAATACATCATATATTAAGTTAATTCATCATAAAATCAAAATCAGTTAAAAGTAGTTACAAAATGATAAACAAATATAAATGATTTTGTAAGTATGATAAATATATTAGATATACCTTTGAAGACAAATATTTTGATCTACATTTAATAATTGCTTTCTCTGATTAAATAAACTGTTAATTGTATTTAAAAATATACTTTATACTTAGTTGTATTTTAATGTTTAGGTATTTATATTACATGTTAAATATATTGTAAATCTTTAAAAAAAAAATGTAAAGGTTAAATAAATAATAGAGCCTATTAATAAAGAGGTTTTATATTTTAAAAAATTGTGTAAAGCTGGTAAAGATAAAAATGCTATTAGATGTCCCTAGTTTTTACTAATAAATTTGAGTGTAAACTGATTTCGGGGTTTTACTGAAACTTAATTTCAATTTTGATTTATACAATACAAAATTAATTTTTAATAAACATCAAACATACTTTGTGGTAATGACATCTAATGGTTCGATTTTATTACTTTTATCTATATTTAATAAAGCATCAACTTTATCAAAAACTTCCTCAATCAAAACCTTTAATTGTCCTTTATGGGCTGGTGGTATATCTGATATAGATGTCACCAACAAATGCAAATCATTAAATGCCGTTTTTGCCTACAAAAAAAATTAAAAAAATAATTTTTGAAATTTAATATCTATTTAAATTTATAAATTACAAAATAGAAAATACCTTTGTGATATGTTCATTTATTAATGAAACAATTGGACTTAATGGAATCTCAATTTGTTTTCTTTTTATACCTTTTCTATCATTGTCTTCTAAGACTTTAAAACTTAATTCTTTTATATAATTTTCTGCTTCTGATTTTGTTAGAAATTTTTTTGCATATGAATTAGGAATGCCATCCTTTAATGTGCGAGCTGTATCCCTAAAAATCCAATTATAATAAAGAGTTAGTATTTTAAGACTTTTATGTATATAAATTCAAACAAAAATTAAACTTGTAATGAACCCTATAACCTAAACAACAAATATGAACAAATAGAGGTAAAACAACCTTAAAAACTTTAAAATTTTAATTACAAAATCTGAACTAACAAATGTAATAATATTATTACATTAATAGATATGTAAATAGACAAATATAATAGGGAATAGTATCGAAATATATTTTTTTTAATTGGATATAGTACAAATCAAATTGTTAGTAGTAAATTACCATCAAACAAACAAGTTTTGAAGTCCTGAATATCCTGACCACAAAAAAGAAACACTTACTGCACTATCACAATAATTTGGTTTTATCATTTTTAATTAAAATATATTACAGATAAAATAATTAGGTAACAATGTTATTATAAATAATTATTAGTTGTATTTTAAGTTGCCTTAAATATTAAAATGTTTAAAATTATTCTTGTTTTTACCTTGTAAATAATATATTTGCAAAATATTATGTATGAAACAAATTGTAGAAAATGTAGTGTTCTTATCATTTATATTTTAACACATTTTTTTCCTAGAGTTATATTAAAACAAAATTTAAAAAATTGATAATATTGAAAATTTTCTAGTTTTGTAAATTTAGAGCTGTTGTGGCACGGGTTAATATTAATGAATTTGCCTGAAACTTTTTTTGTAGCGTTTTTTTTAGTAATCGAACTTTTTTAGGGGAGGTAACCTGAAAAAAATCACAAGCGAAAAATAAGGACCACCTTAATATATATAAATATTTGTTACCAATTATCAGCTATTGACCCGACTTTCTTCGTCTTAAATATTACAGCATAGAACGGCATCTTCAAGAAACGAGAAATTTGTTTGAAATACACTAAGTAGTAATTCGTCCTGAAATGAACAAAGTAAAAAAAAAAACAAAAAAAAAATTTGGACGTTTTATTAATACATTTACCAACAATGAGAAGACATTGAAAACATAATATATTCTATTGACTTCTTTTGCCCATTTTCATTAATTGTAAGAACCGTTTGTGATATAACAAATATATGTAGTATCTACGATATCCTATATTTGATATAGGATTGATCCTTAGAAAATATAATAATTCAAATTTCAAATTACAAAGATTATCATAAAATAAAACGTGGTTATCAATGTGATTACGAATCATGGTTATAGTTACAATGGTTACCTAACGAGTATAGATAATATATATATAGATGTGACATACTGTGTATTCAAGTGTGATCGAAGAAGATACTCGTTACCTATGTGGTTAATATAATTAAGGTGTGGTATTAACCATAAGTAATAACGAAACGCAATTTTTGGCACGCACCAAACTACCGAAATCAAACATTGGGAAAATAATATTATTTATTATTTGCTTTAAATTGTTTATAACTTCTTTAAATCATTTACATTTTATTTGTCTGAAAAATATTAGATAAAGTATACCGTGTACAATTATAGGTATAGAGATGTCCTATCTATGTCAACGAGGGATGGTCTAAAAAGAGATGGGGTTCACGTCTTTACAGACCTATAAACATCTATTATCAGGTCTATGGGTCATTTTTCCCGAAACTATGGAAGAAAAACTTAAAACATTTAATAATGACAACTAAATCGAACATTTTCCAACAGGGAATCTAGAATTATTAAATGCACAAACATAAAATATATTATGTATTTTAACTTTATACTTAATCTCATTAATGCTATTAAAATAATAATTCTAGTATTGAGACCTCTGTTACTAATTTTGCATTACTAAACTTTAATCAGGTTAAGGTTGTCATATTTTTTGAAAAAAACTTGTTTGCAATTGTTATTGACAGAAAGCATTGTTGTGGTTCCATGTCGATGATGATCACCGTTTTTTTTGAAAAACTGGACATTCTTACCCTGAATAAAGTTTAATATATTGGTTAATTTTTTTTTTTTTGTAGCAACAAATAAAAATAAATATAATAATATAAGGAATAAGGGCAATAAATGCTCTAGAACATTTTAATAAATCAAAGATAAAAATACATTAATTAAAACATTTGATAATATTTAATAATTATTTAATAATAAAAATAAATAATACACATAATACATAATTTCAGTAATATAAATTAAATATTCATTACACTTAAAAAATAATGCTTTTTTTTTAAAATTGTATTATTATTACAGATTTATATACCAAGTAAATATAAATTAATACAATAATAATTAATAAAATATACAAGTAATGAAAATTAACGGAAAAATAGTCATGTAAAATAAAACTTATTTAAAAGATTGCACAAATATTATTCCTTTTAAATTTTGTATCCTTCCATTCATAAATAATTGTTACTTTCTTGTCCCATATTAAGTACATACCATAACAAACAAAACTATACAATTAAATATAACCATACATTTTATATAATTATGTTTGTTAGCTGTAGAGATCATAAAATTAATTTGTATGCCAAGTTAAGATACAAAATTTATGGGTTAATACACGGAGCAATAAAAAAAAATTATGTAAACCTACAATTTAGATGGATGCTAATTGATTTTAGGATGAAGTTTTAATGCATTTTTGCATGTGTCCAAAACTAATAATTAATTTTTCTAACATAAAATAATTACAAAATGCTTTTAATCAAGGAAGGCGACTTTTAAGTTATTAAAAATATTATAACTACTAATATAATACTGAAAAATATTTTTTGATAGATTTTAATTGTTATAAACTGATACAAAATAAGTCTTATTTAGCTGAGAAAAGTTAAATTATTTTTTTTCTTTTTAATAAATGCCAGAAAATTTTATATCAAAGATAAATTTAAATTTTATTTATAATAACATAAAACGCTATTTTAGTCCAATTGTAACGGTTACTTAATCAACTAGGAGAATTTCAATAATCAATGTATTATTTTGATGATTATTTACAATGAACAATTTAATATAAATAGACTAAGATCTATTCTTAAAAATAAGTTAATATCTGGTTTAATGTTGTTTTTTTTTTTTAAAGTTTTACATCTATTTATCAATAATAACACAACTAATACAATTGTTATTTTCACAGAAATATGTATTTTTACTTCTGCTAAATATATTTTATCTATAATTATAATTATAAGTTAACAACAAAAATGTTAAGCTATTTGGTCAGTTTTATGTAAGTTTTTAATTTTTTGAGACATTTGTGGTATAATTTCAATCATAATATGTAATAATAATACTAAGTAATACAAAAAAATAAATACAAAAATCACGTATACGGAAAAAAATGTTCAACATTCAAATATACAAAAAAAAAAAAAAAGTAATGGACGGATTTTTTTTTTTTTGAAAATCGCACATACATTCAAATGGTTAAATATAAAAATACAATTTCATCAATAATAAATATAAAAGTTTGTTTTGTCAATAACAACTTATAGTTTTAAATATCTAGTAATAAAATATACTATAGATTTTAATGCATTTATGATATTGAATCTTATGTGATAATGTCACAAAACTGGTTTTTACTTACATACATTAGCATAAATAATTTTTTATTTATAAGGAATAATTATTTTATGGTCTATAAGACAATCATACATCCATCCAATTATATAATATTTATATTTATATATTAAAATTGCATATTCTAAAGGAAATTTCACTATTTTCAGTCTACATTTTATATTTTATTTATGTATTTTGTTTCATAAATGTGGAATGTTTGGGTTATTAATGAATTTTATTGAATACTTATAATTTCATAAAAGTATTATTTTTCGAGATCAGGTGGAAACAAATTTGTCAAATTTAAGTTTTGTTGTCAATACAAATTTAGCTATTTATCTAATAAAATGTCTATTTGTTCATTTTCAAAAGAACAGATTAATTTGTCATTTCAAAAACTTTGCAATAAATTGCATGTTACATTGGTTTTAAGATTACAAAATATAATAAATTACAGACTGTGAATATCATTTAAGTTGTACTATTTTGTGACACCCTGTAAACTATTAGTATAAATGATTGGATTTTAACTATTTTATAAAATACACATACTTAACTACAACGATAAACATTTGAAAACATCAAGTGGAAGACAAATTATCTAGTATCATAAACAAAACTACTTATTTATTATTTTTTTTTTGGAATGCTAATATGCTTCTACTAACAAAATACAATAACATCGTATTAGCTCATTTCTGTTAAAGACACTTTAAGTTACTCGAGAACACACATAGAGTAGCTTTATTTTTTGTTTTTACTGGTCTACAGTACTTGTAGAATCATTAACTACCTGTAAAGCTAACCCTGCAGTCAAATCAACTACTTCATCTTGATCATCTTCTTCAGAAGTATTAACAGTAGTAGCAGCACTATGTGCTGATTGTTGTGATCCACTAGACAGCTGTGAGGTTCTTGATAAAGATCCTCGTCTTGGTGCTGACATAGTAGCCCGCTGATTAGCTGGTTTTACAGTAACTATCAGATTATGACTATTGGCTACCATCATATCAGTTACCTATAAAAAAAATAAAGATAAGCACATAATATATATTAATTTCATTACAACATAAAATTATTGTTTTAGTACCTGGTCTAAAGTTTTACCAGCTACTTCAATACCATTAACTTCTAAAACTTCATCATTTACGGCTAACAGTCCGGTACTTTCTGCCAAGCCACCTGGAACCAATCTGGATATGAAAATGCCGGGAACTTTTTCTACACCAGAAGTGCTAACTCTCACACTAGTGCCATCTCTTATATAAAAACCTAATGGCCTTTCTGAACCATGTTTAAGTAGTCGAACTCGTCGACATGTCTCTGGAACTACATCTACATCTATAATCGCAGACACCTAAAATTTTGAAAAATTAAATTGATGTTTAAGAAAAAAAAATTAAATTTCACCTGTCGAAAATCCTGAGGGTTTGATATCCAAAGATGTTTTGCTTTGCTAGGTGTACCACCCAAAATTGATGATATAATATTACGAGGTCTGTATGTACCATAACCATTTAATTCTTCAAGACTTTCACCTGAAATTAAAAACAATTAAAGACAATAGCAAATTTGTATTCAGTGGGGACAAGATTATGTTGTTAGTTGTAATATTGAGTGAATTTACCTATTTTCAAACTTAAAGATATGAACATTATCTGTACAACATTGGATGCTATTTTTTTGATATTTTAATTTTTAATATGGAAATATGAGTATGTGAATTATCATAATTTATTAATGATTTATTATATAGGATTATATCTCACTTGAAAATTAAAAAATCAAAATAATAACGTCGTCGTTGCACAGATAATACTTTTTCAGTTTGATAATAGGATCACTTTAATATTAAACCTAAAAGCACTCAGCCGTTTTTGCTGAACATAAAGTACTATGTTGAATACTTATAAAATGAAAATAGCACATATGGGTATCACCTCCTCTAAAGCATTTTAATTTAATTTGGTAAAATTTTTCTTGAACCATATAAAAAATACATTACAAAACAATTATGATAAAAATAGTACATAATGTATATTTAATTGCTTATATAATATGTAATATTTTTCAATTTTTGATATCATAATAGTAATAGTAAATAGTACTTTGTAGACAGAACATTAAAAACAAATAAACTGGTACTCATTTTTTATCTGTTTAATAATGCTATCCTCAGAAAATGGATAGGTATAAAATATATTTCAGAGTATAAAAATAACATGTAAACAATTTTAAAATACCATAATTTCAAATTTATGCATTTTGTATATTTTACAGTAAGTAACATAGATGAATATTTTTATATGACAAATACAAACAGTAGGAAGTGTTTATTTAAGTTTAACAGATGTTATGTTAAAGGTTTCTACTTTACTCCATGTAGATATGTAGAATATATTTATTTTTTATATCAGTTGTGTCTTTCTGCAAGTGTGAAAATATCTGTTTCTTTAAAGCTTATCAATTAAAAATATTGTTATTGAAATAAGTTTAAAATTAAATTTAGTATTTATTTTAACTCATAAATCAAGCATAAAAACTGAATTTAACACACATGTAGTTGCAAACGCATGTGTATTTTCTTATTTTTTATTTGTTACAATAGAAGTAAAATGATAAAATTATTATACACTCAATCATTTTAATGGTTTCTGGGTATATTAAAATGTAAATAAAAATAAAAAAAAAAAAATGGTTTCATGTCAGAATTTTTCAAATTATTTACTTTTCATAATTATATACATTGTCCATCATGAAGAAACAAAAAAATCAAAATAAAGGGCTAATAATAAAGATAAGGATTAAATAAATAGATAAATAAAGATTTTTTTTTTATTGAACAAATCTTTCAACCATAAATCTGTAAGCTTCAACAAACATACTATAACATACTGAAAATATAACATTTCTACACACTTTTTGAATGTTCCAATATCAGAAAGTTTATAGTATAATATTACAAAAAAAAACAACAAAATTTTCTTTTGTAAATGAAATGTCACGATCTGTTAATCAGTAAATCATACACGAAGATTTATTAAATTACAGGAAGGTTCATGTTACTCAGATGGTGTTAAATTTCGTTACTGTTATCATTGTTTTTATTATGTTAACACGATGTTTTTTACCAGAAATATTACTTCAATCGAAAAATGACAAGAGATCGATTTTGTTCCTATTAATGCATAGCCATTGACAGAATCATTTATTGATATCTAAAGTATTTTTCATAATTGGAAATGACCAAAAAGACGAAATTACGATTTATTTTTTCAAATGACGGACAGCACAAGATTTCATTATTTGAAATTTGTACAACTTACGTTTTCTACCAGAAATATTGCTCCAATAAAAAATATCAAATTAATTTTTCTGTTAAATTTTTAATGTAGTTCATATGTTATCCGTTTTTAGATTTTCTCTGTAGTTTTATTTTAATAATTAAAAAAACCCGAAAAATATGTAGACAGAACTGACAAATTTATAAAAAAATATTATTTTATTATTTTTTTAACAAAATTCTATATTACGCTATCTGTTTCTATTAGAACAATAAGCTTAAGTGATAAAAAAAAAAAAAAAATAGACAGAAGAGACTGAAGGAAGAGGGCCTCCCATTGGAGGTACTTCAACATGAATATAATTTTAGGGTTTTGATCCTTGAAAGTATTAATAATAATGATAGTACAATGAATACATAATAGTTATTTAACAAAGCTTTTATTATTTAAAATTTTTTTTTTTTAATGTTATTTAGTTTTTAATTTTAATTTTAGTTATTTAGATTTAAAATGTTGACAGAGTTGACTGAATACAATGTTATATTTACTGTTTCTAGACGTTTTAACATTTTCAAAACATTTGAGCAATTTTTGAGCTCTATGGATATTTTAATTTTGCAAGTTTTTTTTAGATCTTTTTCATTCTCTGCTATTATTGCAATGTCGTCCGCGAATCTCATCATATCTATTCTTTAACCATATACCTTTATTTCTAGCTGTGTCCTATCTCTAATAGTATTTATGGTCTCTTGAATGTAATCATTAAAGGTGATAATGTACATCCCTGTCAAACACCTTTATTTATTTTGGAGTCTTTTTGAATATCTCCCATTTGTATTATTGTTATTTAATTTTTATATAATTGATAGAGCAGTACACATACTTTTTTTTTTAAAAAATATTACAGTAATTTAATAACGATGAATTAGTTTTCATTTCCAAACGATTTATTGAACTTTATATCTGGAATAATAATTATAATGATAGGAAAAGACCTTGACCTGTCTTGACCTCGGGAATATTGTCCTATTTTAATTTTATTTAAGGTATTATCATTTTAAAACCAAAATTAAGCGAGTTTAAATTGAACTCAATGCAGTTCGCGTAAAGTAGATTTTGCTATATTGCCTATTAGTTGGGTTGAGACAGCAGGTTATGAGGATATATTAGCATCCTATTAATTGGACTACGATCTGCTGGATCACCAAAAATTAATAACAAGATAAATATATTTATTTACTACTAAATAGATATTCAAATATTAGTAATGCGGGTAAATGAACTGCCGCGCCACCGAAAGATATGGAATTGTTATAACCTAACGGAGTATAATATTGATAGGTAAGTAGGTTCTATCTAGGTACATTGTTTTGGACCTTCCTGAATGGTTGTATGTTTACTATAATATTATTATGACGGCCATTTACCCATTTTTTCCGAACACATGAGGACAATAGACGAAATAAGGACATACCACATACGAACGTGTTTTTATGTCGTTACCCGCGAATTGTATGAAAATACACAAAACAATACTACAAAACATCTACAAAAATAAAATTCAAAAAATGATCTTGAACTTAAAATTCAATTAGTTCCTTCCAGCGTCCTTGTTAGCATATAATATATAAGTACCTATAATAAGGAAGACGATGGAATTTGTGTTGAAATAACTCGGCGTCAATGTGAGTTGAACCATCAGCACATGATTCATAAATATGGTTTATTAAGTATATAAACGAGAAAAAACCAAAGACGATATTATTATTATTATTATAACCTAAAACGCAATGAGCAAATTCGTTTAATTTCTTTACACAACTTTTGAATACACTAACAAAATAAAAAAAACCCCCCAATAACTAACACCAAATTTAATGACTAGAGGAAACAACAAAACTCGTTTCCGTGAGAAATGCCCTTGAATCTAAACTGTCAAATGTTTTTTTTTTTTTTTGTTCTTGTCTTACTAAAACCTGTAGTTTCACATCAATTAAAATTCTTTACCGCCAACTAAATAATTATAGTGTATGTATTAGACAGTGTCAATACAGTGTTTAGATACAAATAAAATGAGAGAAATCAAATATAAAATATATTTGTAACATCATAAAAATAAGAAACAAAACTAATAATTCTGCTTATTCACAATGTTTATTTCATTGAGCGTCATACATTTTTGACATATTGCATTTGAAGATAACAGACACAATCAAAATAACTGTTCACTATACAAAACATAATATTATAGATTTGAAAATAAAACAATCCTACGCATTAAAAAAAATGCATGCATCCAGAAGAAACCGCCTACTACAAACATTACATAGAATATTACATTTATGAGATTATTTGATATTTATTTCAGATAAATTTATATTAATAAAAATGTGAATAACACAATTTTTTTCTTACAACTTTTTCCTTAGAGTAGTTAAAACCATAAAAGGAATATATTACCATAATGATGGTGACAACTAACAAAATAAAATATCACAATTTGAAATATAGAAAGTACAATATTTAATGTTGTAAGTTTCTCTTATTATATTGAACAATAAACATGCTTAATCAATATAATATCTTTATATTTCAGTTATAAATATATAGTTAACAAACTGTTAATGACATTATAATACTTGGTACACTAGATGTGTAACATTAAACATGAATTAATTTAAATTACACAAAATTAGATGTTCCATCTGATAAAGTTTATAAAACTGGTTTACCACTCAATAATACGACACATTATCAGCTCACATATGTATACACTTTAGCGTTCCCTTACATTTTTTAATTTTTATGATTTTAAGATAATTGTTTGAGAAAATAATATCAAAACGATTAATAAATGAAATAAAAATAAAAATTTGATAACTAAAATTCTTGGATAATTTGAACTTTTTTGCGGGCCCCTTTAACTTAGAGTTAACAAAGTTAGACTGTATATATTTTAGCTAAATATGAAAAATGATTCTGAGCGAAGTTTGGTTGATAGTGTTACTTTATCAACAATATATATGTCATATAATGGTAAAATAATTAAATATGAATTATATATTTTTTTTCATAATATTTATTTAATATTGTACCCATTTCCCCATTTATTGGGAAAGTCAAAAAATGACCTATTTAAAGTACCATTCTAGTCAGATTTTCTTTCAGCAAAACTACTATAATTGAAAATCAGAGCAAAATTGCTGGTAAAAAAGTTGTTCACTAGTTAAGAAAAATATATAAATAAAATAAACATCATTGTAAAACCAATACATTCCTTGCTCCGCACAGAATCTAAAATACTTTTAAAAGATTAAATTACAAAGTTTGTTATAAATGTTAAGTTAAAATTAAAATAAACATTTATATAACTCCTTTTTGTTTTCATTATGTTTATATACTTTATTTTAAAAAATATACATTATAGTCTACCTACTCAATATATTATTTTATATGGAGAATATTGTGTAATAGTTATTGTGTTTAGGTTTTTATGCTGGAAGTTGACAGGAACTCCGCCCTAACACCTGCTAGTTCATTTCAATGGTTTTCAGAACAATGAAGTTACTAGCTCATAAATTATTGTTTATTGTAAGACAATGGAGATTGGAGAGCATGTGCATAAGTTGGTATATTGAGACGAAATTTTGTGGTTATTGAAATACAATACTCCTGAGTAAAATGTATGGATAGTAACCATAATAGATTAAATACTACAAACTGTATGCTATTATTTGTATGGATTAAATTGAATTAAAAAAATTAAGTTGATAAATAAATACCTAAAAGTTAAGGTTAATATTTTTAGTTATTTAAAAGAAGTACCTACCTAATAATATTTCATTTAAAATGATTTAAAACAAAAGAAACATTTAGGTATGTAAATTGAATAGAAAGACAATATTTTAATACCTAATAAAAAATAAGGATTATTAAGTACTTATTTAAAACAATGTTATGAGAATCAAAATAAAATTTAAAAATGTTTTGTACGTTTGAACAAAATAAATTATACAGCCATATTCACATGGGTCTAATTTACATTTAAAATGTTTTAAGTGCTTTCAGAGTACTTAATTATATAATTACTTAAATTATTAGTTTTTCTCAGATAATTAAATATTTTTAAATAACTTAAAAATATTATACATAATATTAAGTTAAATACTAGTAAGGTACTCTGAAACAAAGCACTGAGTGAACCTAAAATAAATAGTAAAAATCAAGTTTAATAGTATTAGTATTTTTGATTACATAATTTTGTTTATCACTTAAACGTTAAAATTTAGTGCTAAAGACAATATTTTGAATGCAGATCTAGAATAAAAACGGAATTTTTCAAAAATTATCATTAGATGTAGGTATTTAATTTAGTATTTATCATATTTTTTTTTAACTGCAAGTAAATCTACACATGATGAACTACTAAAAAGATAATAATTAAAATTAATATTATAAATACGCACAATTGTTATTTATCTATACAATGAATATACTTAAATAAAATGATGTGGATGTGTAATACCTACCTATATTTGAAATATGCAGTTTAAAATTGAATTTTATAAAATCTTACCTTTACGCTGTATAATTATCCTCAACAATGGTTTGGCTGTTAAAACTGCTCGTCCTAAATTATCATCATTATTGATTGGTAATAGATCTCCGTCTTTGGGGTCTGTATATGACAGTACGAATGGTACCTCAATCAATTTATGTAAACGCTCAATTAGAGACCTAAAGTGTTCGTATGTTCCAACATCCGTTTTAGGCAATGATATGCGACGGAACTCTGCGTCAAACTATAAAAAAATGTAGGTTAATAAACTAAACTATTGAAAATTCTAAGTTTTAATGAGCCCATACTTTGCTTTTGATCTCTAATTTAGCCATTATTGGTGACAAGCTCGTACGTTCCGAGTGTCAACTAGTTAGTGAAGATGTCATATCACCTCCTTAATGATGATTTCATCAGCCGTAAAAGCAGCATCAGTTAAAAAAACACATTTTAAACAATGTCATTATTATACAATTATAGTACGAAAAAAAAGGCGTATCAAATACTGTATTGCTCACAGGGACACGATTAACCGACAGACTTCATGAGAAAAATAAAAACACGTAAAACGCTGTCGCTAGCAACTACTAATATGAAAGAGAATGATAACACAATTCAGTGCGGCTACGCTAGAAAACGTGTAACTCTCACCCATAAAATAATAATCACGAATTCTTAAATTGTGGTAATAATATAAGATAGTACTATCTGTAAACAGTAACTGTGATAATTCCGGAATCTAAAATCTATGTTATCCACCTATATTACGATTTAAATGTATGCCAATTGCTAATATATACATCTTAGGTGAAACTTTTGATCATATGAATCCGGCAATTATTACATTTTCCGATTCATTCCTTGTCTATAGATATCACCGTTCACCAGATTAAATCATAGAACATGACAAATAACATATCATTAGATTAATCCACCTGGTATACACTAATAATCTGAGACCCTGTTACTCTATGTATTAAATAATAAATAAACTTTATATTTATTTATCAACTAACCACAATTATAGAGAAGATTCTATCTATGATGTAATTAAATTTTACTTATAGTGCAAATATACAATCATGATACCACCACATGATACGGATGTAGAGTGCTTATCAATGTTTTATCCACAGAGTTATACTATAACTGCGGTGCTTATTATAGTTTTGTAAGATAGCTTATCAATTGGTTGAAAAACGAACAGCAGTTTTATTTTATTTATTAGTAGTAGTACATACTAAATACAGCACTGAGGCCGGTCGCTACTATAATACGCAAAGTGGCTTGTGTGGTTTTATATATTTTTTTTTTCTTCGAACGATACTGATTTAGCCAGAATGTCAGTAAAATTGATTGGTAGGACGTCAAATTTGTACGGTAAGACACTCTGGGAAATTATAGGCAATCTAAGAGATGCGGGTATTGGTCGTTTGATAACCAGGAACTCGTATAATAGATATGACGAACCTTGTTTTTTTAGAGTTTTATCTGTTGAACCGACAGCGCAAATAGTAAGATATTATTTTGTAACAAATGCTTGTTAAAATTCTTTGTCAACAATGTTTTATTTAATTTATCATAGGAAAACAAACTTAGAAAAGTAATTGTTCATGTTGAGAAAATATTCAGAGGTAAACATTATAAAGAACCTGTAGAAATATATAGAGTGTCTTATAAACCAGACTACCGATTAATACCAAAAGACGAAGAACAATTGTGGTGGGATCGTCTAGCTAACTGTAAACCAAGAGAGAAGGTAGTACCTGGATCAATTGAATTACCACCACTCATGAGAGTAAGTAAAACTATATCATGATATGTATAATTTTCAAAATAAATATTAAAGCATTAACTTATTTCTTTAGTTGGTGTTGGAACGAGACAATAAAGAATTTAGTCCAACATTGCCATTAATAATACGCAGTGGTCGTGACAATGTTGCTCAGTCAGATGTAACAAAAATTGTGCCTTATGGACCAAGTTTTTTTAAAAATCAACAAAGTAGTTAATAATGCATAGTATTTTATTATTGTGTAACTTTTTTTTAATCAATATAGATGAATTTGTAATTATTTCTAATGGTTATTACTTTAACAATGTAAAATATTTTCTATAAATTATATTTTTAAATTTTCAATGTTTGATGTGTGGTACTCTGGGATCATCTGGTCGATAAACTGAAAAATAAAACAATTATATATAATAAAAAAATATATACATTCATATATAGGTACACTGAGTAACAATAAAATAATTGGTTTTAATATTTCTATTGGACTTCTATTTTACAGTTTTGTAATAATTTATAAAACCTAGCTAAATAATATGTATTGTATATAAAGTTCTATTACAAGAAATGTATTATAAACCCTCATCATCAACTCATTTTACAAAAGACCTTGCTGTAACACATATATGTGTACCTAATTACAAATAATTTTTGTGAGGGAGGGTCTAACAAAATCAATAAGAAGACAAAAATAACAAATTCACCAGAATATGCAGTACTTATAAGTCTTATGCAAACATAGATGCCACATGTCAGTAATAATACCAATTTTAAATCATTTGCTTACACAAATCCCATAAATAAAAAGACTGACATATTTTGTAGTAAATGGGTCATCGTTGTAGGTGAGAAGTTAGGAAGGTAGGATACAAAGAGGAATTTAACTTATACCTGTATGCAATGATAAACCGTTGCTAACGACAAAACATATCTGAGTAAAGTTTCTTTTCATTCATTTAGGTATGTAAATTTTCTTGTTTTTCTTAATTATTATGAAAACCGTTCTTTAAATCAAAAAATAACTTCCCTAAAGTACCTTAGAGTACCTAGATAAAATTTTCTTTTAGAAAATGGACTATAACCTATACATTCCTAATTAGACTCTGAATCTAAAATAATACCCTACCAGATTATCTAAGTGGAAAATTTTAAAAGGAAGTGGTTACATAAATTGAAATGTTAATAAGTAATTTTATGTTATGAGGGTGCTGCCAATAGTGCACTTGTCTTGATCAGGGCACAATTATATTGAATTACATGAAAAGGATCAACATCATTGTTATGTACCCAAGTAAATAAGTATATTTATGCATTACTGATTAAAATAATTACTGTCATACTTACGAGTATATTTTAATTTATATTTCCTGTTGTTTCCATCATTTTGAGCATATCTATAGGTATGGTAACTAATAAGTCCTATACCGATAATACAGAATGGTGCAGAACATGTAATCAATGGCATTTGGTGCATGCCTTGTCGTAATATGCCTATGACTAGAGTGAAAAAATAAGTTATAATTAGTATAGAGTATATGTGTATTTTTGAAATAAAATAACTTACGGCCAGGTCCATATTTTTCAGGGTTTAAAATATTTTCAATTTTCATTGTTATATTTTTTTTTAATTTCAACAACAAAGAATAAGAAAATAGAAAATAAACCAATATGCAATTTTCAATATTGCTATTTAGTATTCTATCATATATTCACATTATCAGTGAGAGCCTGAAGTCACGGCAAGGTGGGATAGATCAGCTGGTGATATTTTTTATCATTTTTTTTTATTATCTACGGTTTTAAGTTTTAACTGATTACATAGACCTCTTAGATTATATTATTATAATAAGGTCTATGCCAGGATATCATGGAATGCTTGACCGTGGTTGAAATATAGATACATAAATAAATATATATAATATATGACCGATTAGAATAATTTTAACAAGATTATATAATTATCTCAGTTTACCAATTTTGGTTGGTTGGACCACTGTTTCGTTTAACCTTTCAATTATGTATATTATTTTATCTACGCTATAATCCATTAATGGCATAAACAATCTACGACCATGATAAAATAAATAGATATACCTAATCCACAGACGAAAATATAATAGACTGGTCTATTATATTTTACGTGGACTGGTGGGTTTTAACGCTGTCAGTAGTTTTTTTTATTTGTAATCATATATTATATTAATTATATTATTTACTGCCAAAAAAAATTAATTATAATTAATTATTAATTATTAATTAATATATTTTTTAACTAATACCTACCATTTTGACGTTCTACCGGTTTTTTTGTCAGTTTTCCTAACTTCCTAGCTCCTGGGAAAATCGTAAAATGACCTCGCAAAGTACCTCCTTAGTCAGATTTCCTTTTAGAAAATGTGCTATCATTGTAAATCAGAGTAATATTTTTGGAAAAGGGTTTACATCGTATACTTCGGAGTAAGCTTTCTGGTAATGTTCACATAAAAAAAAAAAAACAAAAAATAAATAAACATCTTTATAAAACCAATATATTCTTCGCTCCATTCAGAATCTAAAATAATAAAAGCATAATTTTACTAAGTTTTCCCGTTTTTTTTTCGGTTTTGTTTAATTATTAATAAAACAATGTCAGGGAAAATCGTAAGACGGCTTTCTTATTCACCAACCTAGATTAAAAATGCAACAAAAATATTGTGTGGACATCTCATTAATATTATATACAGAGGTGGCCAAAAGTCGCGCAACAAATTTGCAATACAGTTTTTATAAAACTGTTGTGTTTTATGCTAAATATGTTGTTTTTTTATAAACCTTTTTGTTGTACGTAAACAACATAACGAGACCTAAGTTGCAATATGACGTAACGGAAACGACGTGGAGGAAGAAACTGGGCCGCAACGCGCGTTCCATACAAGACAGTAGGCGTTGCGCGACTTTTGGCCACCTCTGTATATTGATATCACAGAATAAACCTGCATTTCCAGTTATTAACTGTTGTTTTTCTGTATATTTAAGAATCTATTCACATTTTATTTATTATGTATTAAAAAATGAAAGACAACACATTTTTCTATCCCGAATGCATTATCATAGAATGTAGGTAGATCTTACTATATAGTCTTAGATTTATCAATTAACATATATACTTATCTATATTATCAAAGAAATTATTAAAAAAATATTCCTGTTATGATTTTTATTACACAACCAAAATAAGTATTAAAAAAAATGAATTCATAAGAAAAATATGATAAAATATTATTATAGAAAAAACTATAAGCAATCGATATTATTTCAATAAAAATAATAATATTTTGACAATTTGTTCAAACTTATAATAAAAACAAATATTTTATTAAAATATTAAATAAGGTATTTAGAAATGATTTTCGTTGAAGTATTGCTTTTTGATTTGGAAAAAAAAAACTGCGAAAGACGACTTAGTCTATATTACTGTGTAATGGTTTATATTAATTGATATAATAAAATATAGAAATTTGAAAAAAAATGTGTAGGTCTTTTTTTGCAGAGTATATCTTAAATTGTCCAGTTTTTTTTTATTATTATTAAATATAGGCACCCTAATTATAGGACCCTGAATTCAGTTTCCATTAACAGAAAAAACCCTATACATCATTGATGATTTATATTTTATAATACTGATAAAGTTCTAATATAACATCATTAAGTATAATACTGTATTTATAATATAGAGTATATTATGATAACTATCTATTATTTTGTCAGGTTAGGTCACAATGAAAGATATATTAATCATTGGCTTTTATTAATTGTATTGTATTTGTGATAACATTATAAATAAATAAATCATTGAGTCAATAAATCACTCAAATCATGCCTATTAACTTATGTTAATACATTAATATTTTGCTTTCTAACTAAACTTAAGAAAAATTTACTTGTATTGGTTTAATGTTATATATTATTATTTATATATATATATATATATATATATAAAAAAAAAACAAAACAATAATAAATTACCAGAGTATGAAAATAATAACATTTGAGCGTTTAAAAATATGTATAATCACATTATATGAGAAATAATACTAAAAACGGGAAAGGATTAAGGTTTCCGCTCTTTTTCTATATTATTGTATTGTAGGTACTATTTATATATATTGAATAATCTAAAAAGATATTTAAAAGTAAAATTAATTAGTAGCATTGTTATTTTTAAATTTATAAACTCGTTTAATAAATATTTTATTGTTTTAATAATGTATAATTTTAACTGGAAAACCATTGAAAATGATATCAATTATTATGTCATTTATACAATTTAGATTATTTTATTTAACAATTATATTTAATGTAAATTACAAAAATACATAAAAACAAAATACTAATTTGAAAAATTGTAATATTTTATTATTCAATGAAAGTTTATTTTATATATTCAATCAACAAATAGCTACGAAAAACATAACATTACAAAAATAAAGTTTATATGAATAGAAAATGTTTTTAATAATTAATTGTTTTGTAAAACACTAAATTGAATCACATTTATATTTCCCTTTTTGTTTTTATGTAGATGATGTGTAATTAGATTTTTAATGAACGAAAACCTATCAGCATTTTTATAATCACTAAAAAAAACAAAAAAGTAATAATTTGCACGTTTGTTTCATATAACTCTAAAATAATAATTGGTATAATTTTAATACATGCATATCACTCTGAGTAAAAAATAAAATTATATATATATATATAAATATATATATATAAAAAAAATAGACAGTTTTTATGCACTAGATATGGTTATTTGATTCCAATTATTTGGAAAATAAATTACGTAAATAATAATACAATATTATTTATGAATAAATATTTTATGACTAGTAAGAATGGGATCAAAATAATTTTTCACATACACACCCAAAAATTATAAAAGGAACGAATAATTTAAAATTTGAACAACAAAAAGCATTATAAATTGTACTTAATATATGTATGGTGTGTTTTAATCACATTCACACATATCTATACAAAACATTATTGACGTTGAGTTCGATCTGAGAATAAAAATCACTAAAAATTAAAAATACCTCCCGTTAATATATTATTTACAAATTTAGTTTAAAAAAAAATCACTAGGCAGTCGATTAATTATTACATTAAAAAATAAAAAAATGAAAAAATAAATTATTGGTGTATAATAGATGCGTAATGGATTAGGAGGAATGCATGCTATAAATGTACTACTATGAAGTGGTTACACCAGGTTGGTTTTCTTTGGCTGTTTCAGATTGTCTACTTCTGATTATTGCTTCAACTTCAGGATACTGCATACGCACAGAGTCAACAACATCTAACAGGTTTTTGGCATCCATAGCCAATATGTGACCTGAAGACAACATTTCCCTGTGGAAAATATTTTTATTTATAAATTATATAAAAACTCATAAGGTTTGGATATACTTTATATTGATGTTGAGAAGGTAAAATTTAAGAGTGATTTAGTTTGTATAACTATAAATAAATGCAAGAAAACAAATGATTCTGAATGGAGACATTTTGTTAATAATAATTTTTAATCAGTATATTTTGTTCTATTACATATATCAGTTAAATAAATTTTAATTTGTGTATAATGATTATTATAAATAATGCAAATATTGTAATATTGTATTAAACTACCATTAAAACAAATGTTGACAATTATTGCAACTAATAAACCAAGATATTAATGCAACATCAAATAGTTTTAATGTTAAAAACAATATTTCAATTTACCTACAAAAAAAAAAAAAAATTAAAATAATTCAGATCCAGTTAATATGACGTCAAATGCAGATTATTGTTGAAAGTACAACAAGAAAAAAAAGCAGCTAGAAATTTATTACGAACATCAGAACTAAACCACAATTTCAGAATAAGAAATAAAAAATCCTCCTAAGATGACGTAAAACATAATCCAGAATATTGAATATGGAAGTATGCTACAGCGCTTGTAAATAATTATGATGAAATAACAATATAGTTACTTCTTAAAACACCAACAGAATATACTGAGAATATCAAGCACAAAATAAAAATCATATATATATAATACATAATAATAATCACTGTTTAACCACGGAGCTGTACAACTGAGCCTTAATTATTTAATTTAAGATTGGCTCTAGTTGGTGATTTCTGAGTTATTGAAAGAAACTGGACAAATATTATCATGATTGTTAATTTTTCAAAATCAAAAAAATATAATTGTATAATTCATTTTTGAATTGAAAAAGATTTTAAAGAGAAGTGTTAAGAAAAAATACAGTTAAGTGATAGTTTCTTAACCACTTTACTCAGATTTTATTATTATTTAAATATGAACCTAATATACATTGTAATGTACAATTTTGTGTAACTTACTTGCTGTATAAATAGTCAACAGCAGTATGGCAATAATTTTGAGCAAGTTTCATTGCGTTGACTAATTCTGCCATGTCTTTGCTAAGAACTTTATGTGCCATTTCCACCTAATTCGAAATAAAATAAATTTGAATAAATTTGTTTTTTTTACTATTAATTTTAATATCAGTTTTACTTGTTTGTGAGCACTTTGAGGAAAATATGGCACCAGGCTATCCACACTCGTCAATAAAGCTCTGAGTTGAAGACCCACTTCCTTGACTAATTCTAAATATCGATCAGTCTGATTCTGTTGTACCCCTATAAATACAAATAAATTAAGTAAATACATTTAGTATTTTTAAAAATTCAAAAATATATTTAAACGTTCTTATTTCTCAACCTTGTGAAAGAGTCATAACAGCTTTAACAACCAGTGTGGTACATTCATACACTTTGTCATTAGTTCTGTTTAAATCGGCAGTTGGCGTAGGTTCAAGTTTCTATAGGGTAATATCTAGTTTTATAAATGTCATAATTTTATTATTCATTTAGAAACCTACCTTTACTACCACCACGCGTTCTTCAGTAGGTTTAGTCTTGGTGCTTCTATCTAGAGATGAAGGAGGAGTTAATGAAGATCTTCCATCGATAGATTCATTATCTGATGTGCTTGCTACTAATGACAGTCTCTTTTTCTGTAATAATACAATTTATATTTAATACTACAAATATATTAAATGGGGTTAAAGAAACTACTTCTTACTAAATTAGTTTCTTCTTCAGCCAGCCATAAGTTATCTCTCTCAGTCTCAATTTGTTGTTGTCTTAGTTTACGTTCCAATTGTTCTATTTCAGATAGGGGTTCATTATTATAGATACCAATAGAGTTGTTCCCAAATTGTTTAGCACCCTAAAATTTAATAATACAAGTCAGTAAAATGTTTTTAATATAAATAATTATTTATTGACAGTCATAATAAATTATTTGACTAATCTACGTGAACAACATGAAATTATTTAGAATATTGTGTGAAACATAAAAATATTTTATAATAATTCATCTTTCAAAATGTATCTAAAAGGGAAAAACAACCAACTGTCTAAATCTTTTTATAAAATGTGTATAATACTGTAGAAGACTAATCTACTAAGCTATAACCATGCAACCATTGGATACACCACACGATCATGCAAAAAGCATGAACCTCATTATTTATTCCTCCACCGGTCGCAGTAGCAGCAGCGCATGTACCCAGACTACCATCTGAACATCGTCTTTTATCTGAAGAATTGGGTAATGTTAGTGAAGCTGCCCCCGAAGTAAAATTCCTAGGTAATGTCTTGTTAGTGGAGGGTTGGCCAGCAACACCACCATCCATAGGGATTAGTCCCACAGAGTCCATGCTCAATATACTGTTTCCGGCCGAAATGGTTTTGTCATCATCAATGTCATTAAGAAAATCTACTGTTACCGTATTGAATCCAGTCGCTGGTGTTGTGTACACTGAAGGGTTGACTCCGCGTTGTTCATTTTCTTTCAACAAGTGAGCTAAAACTTCAGCATTTTGTGCAACTATGTATGTGGAAACTGGTAAATCGGAATTCTTGTTGTTATGGTCTAAGCTCAATTGACGAGATGGTTTGGGTGGTGCTGATGGGTCGTCCAAAGAACCGCTCGATCCTTTATAAACAAAAAGAAAAATCTAGTAGCGTCACAAAGTTCACACTTACATTCAAATATAATAGGTTTTTTTTACACACCCCAAGACAAAGTATGCACTCTTCGGTTTTCCCGCTTGAGGGTTTCTTTTTGTTGATGTCTCTCTTCAATTAATATCTCACTGAAATAAAAAAAAAAACATGTGTCTGTTAATAATTATTGTTATAAATATGTTTGGTTTTGATATACTTTAGCACTTCTTTGACGTCTTTAAATGTAGGCCTTTTGCTTGGTTCAAAAGACCAACATTGTGACATGAGACTGTACAATCTTGGAGGACATTTTAAAGGCAATGCTAAACGTTCCCCATTCTCTATTTTACCAATAACATCATTGTTTTTGATCCCCTGAAACGGTTTTACGCCCATCATCAATATTTCCCACATGCACACACCAAACATCCAGACATCGCTGGCAGTTGTAAATCGTCTGAAGTTAATAGACTCTGGTGACATCCATTTGATTGGTAGTTTACCCTTGGACGCCTTATAATAACTCTGGTCTTGAACCCATCGCGATAGTCCAAAATCAGCTAATTTTACACAATGATGAGAAGATACCAATACGTTTCTGGCCGCAATATCTCTGTAATTTTTTTTTTATATTAAATTTATTTAAAAGATTGATTTATTTGTGCACATTTATTTAGACTTAAAAAATTACCTGTGAACAAATTTCTTAGATTCCAGGTACGATAGAGCAGTAGAAAGTTGATAAGAGTATAAAATAAGGGTTGCCAAATCCAAGTGTGACTGGTTGTTCTGCAAGTATGCTCGTAGTTCACCAAGTTTGGCCAATTCCATAACTATCCATACAGGTGGAGAACAACAAACGCCAATTAACCGTATGATATGCGGGTGATCAAATTGTTGCATAATATCTGCAAATAACAATGAATAATTATTTAGCACATATACAATACACATATAATGTATACTTATTAAATTTACTTACATGCCTCTTCTAAAAATTTATCTGTTGTTGCCATATCTGCATCAGGTTTACATGTTTTTATGGCTACCGCCACAGCGTTTCCAGGTGTGTTTTTAGTTGAGCGCATGTGACATACTCCTTTATGCACATCGCCAAATTGGCCTTCTCCTATGATTTCACCTAATTCAACTTGTTCACGAAATAGTTCGTAATTACAATCTATATAAAGAAAAAGTATGGAAACATAATATAATACTTAATTATATAACTATGAATTGTTTTTGAAAAACAGATACTGCTTAATTTAAAGTAATTATCTACGCAATTTAAAATATTTTTTCTCAAGAAAATATAAACTGTATTGATCTATCTAATTACAAGAGGTTTATGAAATTAATTAAAACAGCAGCAGAAAAGACAATGCCCAGGGGGCATAGACAAGATTACATACCTTGCTGGTCAAAATAATGCGACACACAGTTAAATGAATATGAGCAAACATAATCTGATGTAACAACAGACCTGTTAATCAAATTATTGTATGAGAACAAAAATCTACTATAATGAATGACTTTATAGAAAAAGAGGTTTATCTTCTCTTAAAAAGTGTCAAAAACAGGAAAGCAGCAGGCATCGTCAAATATAACTGGAATTAATAAAAAACCTGGGATCTAGGAGTAGACTCTGGCTCACATGCTTTTTCACATCAGTGATAATTAAAGGCATTTTCCCTAAAGTATAGCGCAAAGCGAAAATTGTAGCCATTCTGAAGCCATATATGCCGGGAAATGATCCGAGAAATTATAGACCTATAATACACAAACTACTTGAGATACTCTAAGGTTAATATCACCACTAATAGAGGGTACAATACCCAGGGAGCAAACTGGTTTTAGAAGTGGGAGAAACTGTAGTGAACATGTGTTAGTTTTAACAATACACATAGAAAATGATTTTCAAGAAAAGATGAAGTCCAGGGCAACCTTTCTCAACCTTTTGGCAGCATACAACTTTATTAAAGGCAATTAAAGGGAATAATAACCTACCAATCTATTATAACAAAGTACAAAACACCCAAATAAAAGGCTAAAATCCAAACGCCTTATATGGGAAGGAATTAAAAATGATAGCAACTTACAAGATGAATGGAAAAGAACATGGTTAGGTTGTGAGGTACGAAACTCATCACTGGTTGGAGATCCAACGGTATGAGTTTCAGGATTCAACTTGCCCTGTGCCTTATGGACCACCTTAAATCACATAAGAACCGAGCAGAGAAAATGTAATTACTCATTACACAAGTTGGGAATGGTGGGGTTTCCTTTATGTAGCTGCGAGAAAGTACAAACTATCAGACACATAGTCGAAGAATGACCATTAACAAATTTCACAGGAGGTTTTGAAAAAATCGAGACAGCCAATGAGGATGGTATAGAATGGATGAAATACTTAGATGTGTGACTGTAACCAATTTTAATCAAAACACTGAAATCATGAGCTACCAAATTATTATTAATTATTTATATATTATGCCGGAGCCATATGCTAATATATAATATAAAACATTTCTTTTTATGAAATATTACAAATTTAATTCCATTTTATATAGGAAACAAAACAATTAATTTCTAATTATTACATTAATTGAAAACCCTTATAAATAGTATAGAAAAATATATTTTGATTTTTTGAAGAAAACAAGTAAACAAATAAATTATATAGCAACTCATTAAAGATTTGTATTCTACTACATGTTTAAATAGTGTTAAAAGTTTTATCACCCAAGAAAAAAACAATTGTAAATTTGACTTCTGAATACACAATAGTTGTTTTTCACATCTTGTTGGACAGAAAAATAACAAGTAACAGTTGAACAAATAATTTTAATGAAATTCATACTTTGAAAGTATAAAATAATTTTAATTAAAACATAAAGAGAACAAAAACTTAGTTGGAAGAGAAATACTTCATTAAATAACCTCTTTCTTGTTGTCGCTATTGTAACAACAAATCTATAGTCAACATTCACTATAATTATTTAATGCAATGAAAGTACTTCAGAATGAAAGGCTCAGAAAATAAATTTAAAAAACAGGGAAAATATATATGTACATATCATACACAATAGTCATTATTTTTGGGGAAATTAGACAATAATTTAATCTTAATTTTACTGAATATTTATAATCAATTTTATTGACTTTATTATTATTTAATATATGTCTACACGCTTTTTGAATTGAGTAACATATTTAAGTTCCTATTTCAAGATTTAATTCATATGTATTAAAAAAAAATCACACAATTATTTACTCTTTTAATTAAATTTATAAATTTGTTTTTATTATATAAATGCAATAAATCCATATAAATCTGCATCTTATTTATAATAATAAATTCATGATATCTGTTATAATCATAAAATAATTTTAGATATGAAGATAGATCTTTAAATTGTAAATTATTTAATAATAAAATTAAGGCAATTTAATTTCAAAGCAACAAATTATATGATTTTTTCAAACAGAAAAACTTTTAATGCATGAAATTTAAATTCATACTTGCTAGAGTTGAGTAATCGCCTTCTTCTTCTATGGGACCATCATCCAGATAATCATCGGAAAACCTTGCAGGCACTTTAGTTTTAATTTTTCCAGAGTCTGTGAACAAAAGTAATGTAGTTGAGTAAAATTGGATCTAAATAATTAGTTACCACAAACCTTTAGAATTACATGGGCAAGGAAACCGGTTCCATATAGCGGCTTGGAAATTATAACACACAAAAATTTGTATAAAAGTAAACATCTATTAAGTATATGATAATATATAGATATTATAATGATTTTTACTTTAAACATAAATTATCATTCATTTGTACCTTTTTTGTTCCACAGTGAAATGTTTGTTTTTCTCGCTAATTGGCAGTATCCATCAATTAGGTTAGCCAGGCTATACATATGTTCCAGTGTTGAACAACTAAGCACCAGAGGGTCAGCCGAATCAGTCACTTGGAGTTGAACGAGGGTTTTACGGTGAGTTTCACATTCGGACACAAACGTCTGTATGTTTTCAATATGAGCAAAATCTGCCATTTTTGTGGGCTTGAAATGAATAATAAATAGGTATGTACTAATATTGAAATTTACATATAGGTGTATCAATATATTATTTTCTCACTGTCGATCCTTGGTTATTGATATAAGATATTCCATGCCGTGGTCCTATCACCAAATCTACAGGTATTGTCCAACCAGACTGTAAAATATTATTAAAATTAAAATTTCATCTTAATATTGAAAAGAAAAAAGGAAGGTGTATCTTACTCCAATTGAGCACTTGAACTGTTCTTCATCATATTTGTAAAACGACCAAACGAGATTTAGAAATTGAATTACACATTCTTTTTCCAGAGTCTGAGAAACTTTTTTATACTGTTGCTGAATCATTTTGCGTAAATTCTTTGGTTTTGTTGATTCCAGTATATAATAAGGTAGGAATTTGTTAAGTCCAATCTACAGGGGTAATAAAAAATATCCAATATTACCTAGTGTTTAGAAAATCAGAAAAAAATAATAGTCAATATGCACACTTCTCGTTCAAGATATTCTAGATTCGATTTCTTTTCCAACGACATTTGAGGTATTTCTCTGAAAAAACATTTTATTTGTAAACAGCAAAGTTGCACAGCCATATCTATATCCACTCGAGAGGCCGGGTCATTTTTTCTTAAATAATCGAATCGCACCTAGAAATATGTGTTTTACGTTATTCCGATATATCAAAAGCTATTTGAAACCGATTAAAAATCGAATAATAGTCTTACTTGATCGTAATAGAAAAAATATGTAAACCGATCTTTTTCGTATAGGTCCTCCAAGTCATCGGGCGAGTACCGTACGCGCAACTCGAATCTCCATTCGGACATTGGATATTGTTCATCGTATTTATTGTAAATCTGTTACATGCGAAAAAATAAACAAGATTATTTTTTAAATGTTTAAAGATGTATACTAATAAAGATTGCAATAACCTCAGACATTGAGCTATCCTGATGTAACCAATGGACTTCACCAGACAATGGGTGATAAAGTTGTAGTCCATAGACCCCTTGATACTGAGGACAACCATTGGCCAAACGTCCAGTAACTAGACATATAATACCCTTGGAACACAGAAACAAAATTAAACATTAGGTATTCCCGGACGCGTGTTATGTCACGGTCAAAGTGTACAACATTCAGTAGTTCTATATAATAATGTCTGGTAATTTTATGGAATAAAAATATGCCACACGATTTTGAAAAAAAAAATACAAGTAAATAGTTAATGATTAACTAGTTATTTTTAGTTTCATACCCACTACCCCTGTAAATTGATTGTTCGTGTTACACCTATTATGTCGTGGGGAAATATTTATTTTAGTCAGTAAACTTAGAACACCATACTTTTTAATTTAAAATTCCCCCTTTCCCCGAAATTATTTTCCAGTTACGACTTTGCTATAGGTTAGCCGCTCCGGGTGTTCCGTGTAAGATTGCGTAAGATTTATATTAGGTATTATTTTTCTTTTGTTTTGAAGTATCTTATCGAGAAATGATTACATTGTGTAGTCAACAAAATTAATTTTCCTTGTATACATTTCTGTGTTTATAGATATCTTCCCTAAATCTTTTCAGACCTATTTGCATAATATAGTGCAGTTGTAGTTATAGATGAACTTATACGAATCTCTATCATAATAACTCATATTTTGGATATATACTACGTACCTACGTAAATAACTTCAAAGAGAAAAAATGTCGACGAAGTCATAGTCATAGTTTATACTTTATAGTTTGGTGAACAATAGACCTCGCGAGTATCTATATTATTCGTATTAGGTTCATTGGTAGATACACAACAAAGGAAAATTAACATTTAATAATCTTTATCAAATTACCTAAAATGTGATAGAAACTATATTCAATGTATTTAAAAAATTTTTAACAATTAAATTTACATATTTGAATAGTATTTAAAATTATTTATTTACTAAGTATTTGGATAGTGTTTTTAATACTATCTGAAATGATTTTAATTGTACCTACTTGTATTTACATACAAATTAACGTATTACATAATTTGTTATTTATTAGCTTTCAACGCTTTCATATAATATTGTTTCTTTAAAGTATAGATAAGAGATAATCCAAATAAATTATACAATAGTTAATATTACATATTATTCACAATTCACATCGTGTTATGAAATAAGTGGCTAGTTTCTCGCTTCCTTAGATACAATTATCATGTTAGTGCTTAAGTCACAGAACATAAAATTAGCATAATCAAAAAAAAAAAAAAAAAAAAAAAAAAAAAAAAAAAAAAAAATGAAATTCTGGAATATGTGATGCACCTGGTGGTAAATTAAGTATGCTCAAAAATAATAATGGTATAATCAATATTGATTATAAGATATATTTAATAATACTTAATAAACTATATATTTATTTATTGATTAAACGATTTAAAAAAAAGGCCAGTACTTATTAAATTTTTTTAAAAAAGTTTAATTACATAATATAAAATATAGAATCTTTTTACAAGCTTCAGGATGTCTTAGAAAATGTATGAAACATTTCCTTTACTTGACAATGTCGACATAGAATTTTTATTAGTTAAAATAATGTAATACTGGAACATACAATTTGAATGTAATACATAGGTACCAACAATTTTCAAGCATAATATTAAATATGATATAAGTATACATTTGTTTACCTTGATATTAATGTTATCGATAAACTTTACGATGTTGAATCCATTGTTAGGTAAATGTACTTTGATCGATCCGGTTTTGGCAACCGGAGCTGTCGCAGTCCCGCCACCACTTTCTGCCATTTCCGTTGACTTGGCCGGCAATTCCTCAGGTATCCTACTACCATGACTGGAAAATCGGGTTTAGAAATATTTAGTTAAAATTGATAAGAACACAGATTAAAGTTATTATTTGCTGTTTGTAAAAAAATATTAAAATTACTAACGCACATTTTTCTGAACTCTAAATGACCTAAACCAAATACATTTACTATCCAAATCGTATAAGTAGTTATTGGTATTTAAATAATTTATACCATCCAACTCATCACCAATAAAATAGATATCTACGACTTTTAGGTGCTTATATACCTAACCTTTATGATTATACTTAAGCATAATAGGTTTATAGACTACTCGAACACGTTAATAATATTACGAAATGCTAATGGTTTTGGAACAGGTTACTTAATAATAAATTGTCAACCATTAACATTTCGGGTAAATAGCATTAAAAATATTATGTTACAAGTGTGAAACATTTATTATAATGTACACTGATTTTCATTTTATGAGAGACACATCACTACATTCATAAGCATGTGCATCGGAGGGCGGGGGTGTCCTACCGTAAAAAAATAAAGTACAAAGTAACTGATCCTGCTGACGGATGTGCAACTGTTGTAGATGGGAAGTTGAGAAGGTATAGGATACATAGAGTTATTATTTTATATCTGTACGCAACAATAAATCATTAATAACGATTCTAAGTCGAATCGATTACAAATGCCGGGATTTTTACGATTTTTGTCAACATTTAAACTAAGATGTACATTTTACTATTTTATTCAATTATTAGAAAAATTACCCATAATGAAAACCAATAACCTCAATACACCCATTAGTTAAAATTTGGTTTCACTAAAAAATGTTACATTTGAAGATCGAATCAATATTTCGGAATTCTAAGACAGAAAAAAAAACACACCCTCATAATAAAACCTATACATTACATAACCTGTGAATATTAGGTAGTTTAGGATATTTTAATTTATGATTTATTATATCAATAGCGGATTTAGAAATTCTTCGTGGGATGGAGGGCGCAGAGGATTTATGACAAAGCTATGTATGGTAGGGTTCCAGAGAGGCAAATACCGTTTCAAAGGGGATTTGTGAGAGCGCTCGAACCCCCTTCGATCCACGTTTGTGTTATATTATATATGTATATAGTAACAGTGTTATATATGTATTGTACAACATCTATGCCCTTACAGTGGCGTACAAAGACTGGGAGTTAGGGATCACCACCCCTCTGAAATGTTTTCCTTCACTACATTTTTTTAAATCAATTTTTATATTCTTCATTATAATATCTTAAATCATAGAATAAAATAATGAAATTGAATTTCATCAAAAACTATTTATTCAGTATAAATAATAATAGTGATAGTACTATACTGATAATATATGGTATCTCCTCTCCAGGAAATCACTTTAAGTATGACTCCTTCTCCTCCTCACGAAAACAAAATCCTGCGTGTGCTACTGGTTCTATATACTATATATATTATACACTCAATAGTATCATACATACAAATATTTATTTATTTGATGAAATATTCATTATATGTTATGGGTTTACTATTTATTAAATGTTTAATTTCTTGTTAAAAAAATGAAATGCCTCTTGTCACCCATCTCCTCTTCTCCTGATAGTGAGGCTTGCGCACGCATCTAACTACACCGACACACATGCAGATTACACTAATTAATTAATTATTTTATATTTTAACGATTTTATACCAGTCAGTAATTATAATGACCGCGATTGTATAATTTATCTAAGTCGACAAAATAATAGATAGGTTAGGTCAAGTCGATATATTTTAGTGATGTACCAAGGTCTTTCTTATGAGGGGAGGAGGGAGGGTAAAATATATTTTCACCCACTATTTAAAATAGAAAATCCTTTAAAAAGTTATATCACAACTACAACAATTTTATTGATAAAAACAGTAATTAGGCTCTTTTATGTTTGTTAAAAATATAACATTTTAATAGATAAAATAATTAAAATGTATTTAATTAAATATTATAATGCATATTATAAATGTATAGTACATAGTCTAACCTCCGGTTTTTATAGAAGATAATATTTTATAGGAATTTTAAAGAGATATTGAATACGTCGATATTTTATGTTTAATATCGAGATATCGATATGTAAAAATGTACATTGTAAAACAAAAATAGTTATTTTTGAACGGGTTATAAACCCGTTTCGTTCATACCATACAGCAAAACGATATGGATGGTAGGCGGGTAACTCGTAATCGTATGTTCAAAATTATAGCCAAATTTAATTTTTTTTCTGATATCACTGCAAAGTATGTACAATTTTATTTGGTGGTGAGTATTTTATAATGTTACATTTATATTTTGTTTTGGGTAAACATTTTTTCTTAATATATTGAGAAAATTGATGACGATATATCGTGGTATCGATACTATATCTACGATACATCGAAAATCGTAATTTTTTGCCATTTCTAATCTAAATTTAATGATAAAAGACAACGGTCACACCTAAACCTTGGATTGAACCACGACTATAGTTGGATGGTTGCGCGTCACGGAATCCAATCACGGACAAATGTTCTTATTACAACCGCGTTGAAAATCTACGGGTACTTAACGCTATCTAGAATACATTAAATATTCAGTATAGTACACAAGTATAGCTAGAAAGCTTACATAGAATCTATATATTATGTAAATATTGGATATGGTTACATATCCAATATATACATCAAACTCCGCGGCCGACTTAACAAAATAAATATGAAAACAAGAGGTATTTTAATACATCCAAATAAAAACATGTATTTACCTACTCATCAAGTCATTAGAATTAAGCTTTGGAAAATATACAGATTCTATAAACGTGTCTGATTAAATACATGAAGTTTTTTTTTTTAAAGTCGCAATTTAAATCTAAATTTGGAATGTATATAACATAAAACTGAAATATTTAATATATATTTGTTTTATAATTTTATGATATATTTGTTGTATTTATACCAATATGTATGCGTCAATACAGTTATACAAAACCACAGAAAGTATAATATACAGTAGTTACATAATGCATTTAAGATTTAATAAATGTGTCGTTTTATTTAAAAAAAATACTATTATAACTTAATTGGTATACAATATTAACATCACAACATAGTGTGATAGTTTCAATTTTCGAGGATAATTCGATAAAACTAAAAATATAAATCATGGCATAAAATATACAGCTATTTATATCCATGATTTTACTCGACTGTAAATTTAATGTGGTACCTCTAGGTTTTCAACACGGCTGAGATAAGAACCTTATTGGTCGCGGATCACTGTATTATACGATACGTTCTGGTTCAACCATCGAATCTATAGTCATGGGTCGAACCGCCAAAACGAAATGATAACACTAGAAACCTTGATCCGGTTCGACTATAGATAATACAAATATTTTAATATCTATGGACTTGACCATGATGTCATACTATTAATTATTTCATGAAACATTTTTTTTTTTTCTATAAATAATTGTAAAAACACTAAAATAAATAACAATGCACATTTATAATTTGTATAATGTATAATTATACGGCTCACGAGGGGGGGGGGGCGAATATCCCCTATGCTCTCTACAGGTACTCTACTGATGTATTTGTGTCCTCATTTAGAAGTATATCAATAAGAACGTAAGCATATACCTATAAAGATGTTAAACATAATAATATTGAATGTTATGAACTTTTAAACATATTTAATATAATCATATACAAGTACTTAATTTATAATATTAAAACATTATATTATAATTTTCATCAACGATTATAATAATTTTTAGACTATTTTTATTGTTATTATTATCATTTTTATAGAGACCTTTAACATTCTTTATTGAAATGGTGACATAATTATATAATATAATGTTACGGTCTAAGTAGGAAATTCTCAGGCAATGTGTACAATGTATTATAATAGAGGTTCTCAAACTGTGGTACGCAGTAGGCATCATTTTATAGATCTGAGCGGAGCGAGGAATGTATTTTTTCAATAGTGTTTATTTTCTTCTTTTTATACTGTATACAACAATTCTACCAGAAATCTTGTTCCGATTTATCAAGCGTAGCACTTTTTTTGAAGAAGAAATATATCTGATTGGTACTTAAGACTGGTCATATTTTGAATTTCTAATTAGTTTCATAATACCGTAAGAAAAATGGGAAAATTTACGAAATAAATAATTTTAAATTTTGATTTAGACTATGAGCGAAAAGTGGAATTACAATTGGTTTTACAATGATTTTTTTTTTTTAAACTGTGTACAAAAATTCATAATTCAAAGGTTCATAATAAGTCGTATTTAGTGGTCAAAAAATTAAAAAAAATTGAGTGTAATGTAGAATTTTTTTACATAGTACTTATCAAATGTTGAAGAAAATTGTAAATATTACGGCCTTTCAAAACATGTATAACAAGATACTTCGCACAGAATCATTTTTCGTTAGCAAAGATTAATCGTTGAGTACAGCTATACATAAAATTCCCTTTTATATCGTACCTTCTCAACTACTCACCTACAACAGTCGCCCACTATCGTGCGAAGTATGTCCGTATTTTTTTTACTGAAGTTTTTAATAATATTTTATGTTTTGTATATAGTTCGTTTAAAATTAAAAAAAAAACTACTTTATAAAGAATTATATTATAGTATTTTACTATTTAATTATTTTAAAACAAATGCATTGAAATTTTGAAAAAAAAAAAAAATGGTTCATGACATGAAATTTTAAAATTACACAATATCGGTCAAAGTAAAATTCTTTTAAATTGTCTAGATATCATGTACAATGCTAAAGAAATGTACATATTGCCAATTTTTCTTTGGTCAAATATAAATTATAATTTATATAATTCTAAAACTTCAATAATATATTATATACTAAAAAATATATTGATCTGTTGATAATAAACGTTATCGAAGACAGGAGACTACAAGTTCATAACTAATATATTATATTTTTCGAATTTATGTGAATAGAATAAAGATAATATTAAATATAATAGGTAATTATATTTTTTTGACTGTATACATTTGGAAAGTTCAACGTTACGTTTCTACTCGAAAAAGCCATTTAAACAAAAATCTAATAAATTCGTTTATTTTTTAAAACTGAATAATACGTATTTTTACATTGCCTAGGATCATCTATGGTAAATTACAGATATTTTCTTACTTGGCACATGTGTATATAGGATATTTCAAACATTGATCGATTTTATACTTTGATCGTAATATGTATAATTTTATACAAAATAATTAAGTTATTGGAACACTCGCACGTATTGTTTATGGGTAATGAGCAATGACGAATAATAACTTTATTGTGTACAGATATTATTAATTCATTAGATTGTCAATACATAATAATAATATAGTTTGGCAATCAGTCAGACACGGTATAACGTACCAATAATATTATTTCCTTATTCATTTTTCTTTATTAACGCCAATGAAATAATAAATAATTTCAGAATCGCAATAATTTATGTCTCAGTGTACCATCAAGTATACAAAGCGTGTAGGAGAAGTGTAGGAACTAAAACTCACAATGTCCTTAAAATAAATGTATATAATTTAGTTTAAAATTTAAATTTACACATAGATGAAGAAAAAACGTAATACGCGATCCTAATTTCGAATATATTATATTATTCGTTCAACTAATAGATAATATCTTTTCAAATGAACTAAATCGCATAAATCCTAGGAATCTGAAGTTGGGTAAAGAAAATAAAAAAACAACTATTTCAGATGTACTTTAGGCCGTAAGAATTATTAACAGTGTACCCAAAAAGTAATAAATCTAAATTAGTATAACGAAAGTTAATTTTTTTTTTTCTTAGAAAATACTTTCGGTTAATTAAATTGCTTGAAAACTTCCACGCGATACATGCATTAAAAGATGTGGATTTTGGGTTTACTAATTGGTTACACATATGGATACATTCTGATCGAGCTCTACAAACCTCAACAATTCGTGGTCGTTCGTAGTAAAATATAAACAAAATGACAACAGCTAAAATACAATATCCTAAAATCACTGGACTACCCCCGTGGTTCGGAGTATGTCTGGCTTTTATTTCGCTGGAATTTTAAGGAAAAATATCGTTTTTTTAACACATTCCCAATGTATTAATCATTTTAGAACGCAGTGCCTTGGGAGAACGTACATAGAAATACGGTAATGGCTATTATAGTGGCCGAGTTTAAGTACCTACCTACTTATACATACTTAAAATACTCATAATATAATGCATACGATATTATGGTCGTGGGCCACGTAGAAAGCCGAGGAATTAAAACATTTTGCGATTACGATGTAGGTATAATAGGTAGAGAATACAAAGTATACAGGTACGTATATATTATTAAATGGGTGGCCAGACGGATAAGTTCGAAATACAATAAATATATATACATAATGAAATAATGACGTAGAAAATAAATCGTTACACGTCTCGAAAAAAAAAATAAATAAAAATTAACGACTTATAGAAGGCACGGATTTTCTACGGAAGCATATATGTGCGTGGACACGTTTAAAGGACGTCGCGGACGGACATGATGGGCGACGATAATAGAGCGAACGATGACAAAAAAAAAAAAAAAATAAAATAAAATAAAAATGGGATCCTAAAGTTTTTTTGTGTCCACGCGAAGGACAATGGGACGACTCGACTTGCTGGCAACCGAACAAAACCCGTCGTAATTCGCGTTGCAGCAATATCGGTACACCGGCACACACGAGCTCGCCGCTGCACACGACTTTGAATCTGGTTTTTACCATAATATTTTAACCGCGAGCAGTGTGTGAATTGTATGCGTCTCGCGGCGGCGACGACCAACATCTGCCGAACCGTAATACATAATAATATAATATTTTTCAGTCGGATGCATTATAACATTATACCTATACAATAAAATAACATCGAGGGAAGGTCTCCTATATTCTTATAAAGTGCTCGTGTATAATATTATGTATACCTGGGTACGAAGAGAAAAAAAAAATGCCGCCCACTCGGGTGTCGCCGACGACCATCTAAACACACACACATACACGCGCGCGCACGCCTTTTTTGTCTTTCGAGGTCGAACTCGTGTTTCGATGACGCAATATATATTATAAAATAATAATAATACTAATGGTACAACAATATGCCGCGGTCGGCCGGACAGTATCGACGAGAGACGATGAACAGCACCCGTGGGCCTACCTTAGCCGTGTGAAACGCCAAGTGTGCGAAACGTTGGAGAATCCGCCGTTGGTCGACGGGGTCTGGGCCGGCCGTCTCCGGACGGCCGCGGCCGGCTTGTCGCGCCTGGTGTCCGTCGCGACGGAGGCGGCAGCGAACCAAAACTTGGCGACCAGATTTCGTCTGCGGCTCGCTTTCGGAACGGCACTGCCGCCGACGACATCCGGTTCGGACGAGAGGACGCTGCCGCCGTGGTAACTGTGCGGCCGGGACCCGGGTACCGCGTTTGGATTCCACATTTTACCCGGTGCAGATATTGCGACCGTCGGCCCGACAGCACGCGGTCATGTACGTCGGCCAACATAATAACTGCGGCCGATAGATTCGGTACGGTGCGGGTGCGGGCTGTCCAGAAGCACGGAAACGGACTGCAGCAGCATCGGCGACAGCGGCACGAGCCAACGATTGCGGAACCGTCGTCGGATTTTACCGTCGTACATTTTCATGTTCTACGTCGTCATAGTTTTCGGGGAGTCTATTTCTATTTCTATTTTTTTTTGATTTGTAACAAACGAAACGCGCGTTTCGTTTACATATTATTCGGTATCGTGTAGGTATAATATGAGTATGCTTACAAAATGCATTTATATTGAAAATATTATTATTATGCGTATGTGAATGGGCGTCGTTTTTAGGGTACGGTCACCGCGGTCGACGCCGCGGGTTTCAGCTAGGCATAAAGACGCGGAGAGTGCAATAACGCGGGACGGAACGACGGCAAACAGGTGTGTCCCCGACACCTTAGTTAACAACAAAAAAAAAAAAAAAAATTCACAAATAAATATTATTTATAATATTATTATATAAATACCTACCGAACGTTTTACGCGTGTGTATATACGTACACGTATACAGGGTGATTATTTTATCGTTTATTATTATAGCTATATTACCTAGTGACAGATTAAAGAATAATTCGAGAATTACGTATTCACATAGACGTTTTTACTGTAATTATTCATTTTATTATCCGCATATCTAATAATATTTTATCTATAAATTATAATTTTGATCGATTATTTTAACCCATGATATATACCGGGCGATTATTAACCGTATCTAAACTTTTGTATAATATCTTAAGCCAAAGGAAATATTAACACAGTATCGGACTAATGTTGTAGCGGTTTAATCGTGTATTACTAATTTCCGGTAAATGCATTGAACAAATTGATATTATTTTTTTTTTTTTTGTAAGACGAACGAGGACGAAAGTCGGTTTTCGTTATAGAATACGCGTTTGGAGAAGTCAATAATAATAGCAATAATGACGAATACGAGGTAAGTAAGTATGCGAATTGAAAAAAAAGGTCATTTTTTTTTATACATTATATAGATAACTTTGAGAATACTATTAAAACAGTCAACGACAAAATAATCGGCCTGTATATTTGTATAGCTATATACTTTCACCAGAACAAAAAAAAAATTAATTTTATTAAAACGTATTCGAGAAATTTAACTGATAGAAAATAACCACACACACATACACATTCTAGCGGTCATCATGCGGAATTATTTATCAGAGCACCAGGCATTGTATTATTGTACTTTTTTTATTAAGTACTTTTCACACGACCCTTTATCATAAAAAAAAAAAAACAAAAAAAAAACAACTATAACGCAGCGCATAACCTATCTAAACGCATATTTTATAACAAAATATAATTATTATATTATATACAAGGTGTACATGACATATACGGCGCATGTGTGTATAGCACGTAAGCACGTAAGTCGAGTATAATGACGTTTCTGCGACACACCCTGACGGGTTTATTTAGACGTGCATTATATATAATAGGGTAATAAAATCGTTCGTTTTCTTCTCACTTTCCTCCTGCAGTATTTTACACGGTAGCACAATTATTAATGTAAATACGTCTTTCTTTTTTTTTTCCTAAGTGTCATCGCATGTGCGGTAAGATAAATCGGGCTAAATTTAGTTCGAACATGTCAACCGAGGGACTTATGCCAAAAACAGCGATTTTTCTATAATAACGTGTTTAAGTGGCGTATATATATTCTTATACATACGAAAGCGGAAAGGTCCCCCAGCAGTATTTTTTTTTTAAGGACCGAATAATTAAAACCGTAAAAAGTTTTAGAAACAAAAATATTATACGACAGAGGTTGTTATAAAAATACGAATTCCTTTATAATATTTACGTCCTTGGAAAACCTAACAAGATTAAATAAGATCAAACAAGGTAAAATGTGGGATCGACTTATTGCTATTATTATTATTTTTGGACAGCGCGATTAAAACTTTGTTTCTCGATAATTTCATAACACGGTTATGGGAATATGATATTTTGTTGTTTCACCGGTGTATAATAATGTTTACGGAGATGTTCGGTTTACCTACATTCGCGAACGTTAAAATCCAATAATATTGACGTAATCGTGGAATCTATTACACGGCCATTACACATTAAATAATAATTTATTGTGTTCCGGACATGGGACATAAAGAATCTATCGGATTTCAAAGAAAGGTGCAATAATTATTTTAACCGTTCTAATTATCTACTAAAACAGACGTAAAAGCCATTTATCGAACTATTAGATTATAGTTGCGATTTAAACGTTACACGTTTTTATTCGAAACTATAATATACCTCCACATATTTTAATATATTATATACAGTTATGGATATAATAGAACGACTCTAACTGAACTGTAGTATATGGAATATATAAGTACCTAAACCTAACTAAGACTTGAACACACACACACCTCAAGTATATTTTATCAAATACGTTTTTTTGAAATATATTTACAGATTAAAAATAAAAAAATTGTTTTTGATTTGGTGACGTGTAATATAGGTACACAACTAAATAGCATTTTAATTCTCGGACAACAAAACGTCATATAAATTGTTTTTAATTAGATAGTCTACACACGATTAACGATTATAATAATAATTAAACCATATACAATTATTATAATTTATAATAGTAAGTACGTATTTATAGAGTATAAGTGTACCGCGACAAATATAATAGTATTGTTTAAACTCGCCTACCTACAGTTGCTATAGAAAAAAAAAAATACAAATGAATTTCGGACTCGAGTATAATAACTATATGCGATAAATAACGCGAAACGGACGAAATGAGTTTTATATAGACGTTTCTGAAAATATATAGACACAGAGATGGTCGATTTGTGGAAATCTTGACGTTTTAATCCGACCGCCGTTATGACGAGAGATTAAATCAGTTTATGTCGGCCAAAAATTTAACGAATTCAAAACCTTCGTTCGTACGTTTTTTTTTTTTGTTGTAAATGTCTATATAGGCAGTTATAAGTTGAAATGTTAATATAAATTACTTACGTAAAATAGTTATGTAAAATATATGTACATAAATTTATATACTTTTTTTGTTTGTAATTGACTTGTATATCTAAATCGTAACATTATAATGATTAATCGTAAAAAAAATTAAATTATCTGAGAAAATCACGCGTTCCATTATTACAGTTCGTCATATACACAATTTCAAATAATAATTTGAATACCAATAATGGTTAAAACTCAATGATTAACACGGAATTAAAAAAAAATTTCTATGGAAATAACTTTCACAATATTATTCTGATGATGAATCTCGAATTATCAACGTACCGATACTATTGTATGGTACGTGTGTGATTCATCGAAATAAGCAGTAGCGCCCAAACTATAATAATCCTACGCTGTAGCAGAACTTGAAAATCAAAATCATCGACCACCTTAACAACTTTTACCCATATACTTTTCTACCCCTAAAACCTACTACCTTAAATGTTTATACCCATTCTACCCGATTACCCCAAATCCAAATTACCGGTAACACCCACCCATCCTAAATATGATGTGTAACAACTGCTACATTCGAAGTATAGTTTGGGCGCCACTAGAAATAAGATGAACAATTTTTAAGTATGATAAAATATGACCCATAATTATAATAAAGGTATCAAGCCAATGGCGTATTTGAAGGGGGAGGTCCAGGGATACGGGTCCCCCCATAACAAAAACAAAGTAAATCGAATCTAATTAGAAAAAATGTTCTTGCAGCATATTATAGTTAAATGGATCGGTAAAGAAATTGTATACATAGTTGTGTCGTACAATTAAGTTTCCAGTAAGCTGCGGCTGATTATTAAATTAATTGTAATAAAGGCAAAGTACTTTTACGATAGACTTTATCAGAAAAACTGATTATTAATGAACTGTATTAAATTATATAGTTAGGCGATTAGAATTTACATACATACATTTTGGACTCCTTCGAAAAATGCCCAGGGACTCCTCCCCAGAAATAGTTAAAAATACGTCACAATAACGCAATTAGGATTTTTCGAAACAATTGTCAAATATCTACACACACAAAAAAACACGGTTGAATCAATTTATTTTATTTAAACACAGATGGAGGGAGGATGTACAGACACCCCCATTCCCTCTCCCGGTTGGGCCACTGATACGCCACTGTATACCTTGTTATCTATATTATATTGTAAGGACAATAGTATGTATATGCACTTAGGTACCTACGTTATGTTTAATATATTTCGACGTGTTTTTCACAACAAACATGATATGAATATTTTTTTTAATTTATCGGTACAATCGTGTGTAGACCACTATAAAAAAAAAAAAAAAAAAATAATAATAATCGTATAATGATATACGTATAAGCGTAATAAAATGTACGTAGGTAGTATTGAAAAATGTATATTTTAAATAAATGCAATTCTTGTGAGTTTTTTTACCACATTATTACAGTAGGTACCGCTAAAACGAACGCGTAAAAGATTCTACTCGGTCACAAAATTCGAATGTAAAAGTTATAATAAAAACTAATACAAAATTCGATACAAATCAATTATTATGGAAATTTTACGAGCGGAATTTAAAATGTCCAATATAAAAATTATAACCGTTTTCGGCTGTTGATTATTATACACGCACAAGCACACGCGAACACACGCACATTAATGAAAAAAAATATTTAGATCATTAATCGCGAACGAATACGTAACGGCACAAACGCGACGGGGCGTGCAAAAATGAACCGCCTGCAAAGACTAATAACCGGTAAATACTGACTGGAGCTGGATTAAAATTAATACGAGAAGAGCCCATACGCGCGGACTTGGACTCCTTCCAGTCTGAATAAACACGCTATTATTATGCAATTCAAGGTTTTTGTGGTGCTATCTGGTATTTAAAGATAAAGACTGTTCGTCGCTTATTATTAAATGATTAATAATACTGTTTTTAATGAAATCGTTGTTCGGTGCAATTTAAAAATGACCGTTCGATAAATAATTATTAAAACACGGACGAAACATTGATAACATAATAAATAAAACCATTTTTTTATTTTTTTTTTTTTGTTCTCTTATCGCTAGAGCATTTAGCCATTCGTAATAATAATGGTTTATTTTACTACAACCGAAGTTTACATATTACAGGAATAAACACATTACTTTGTTTATGTATTAACCGAACTGCAGTTTCAATTTGCATAGTAAAATCGTTTCGATCAGATGTTAAATAAAATAGTTTTAATGAACGACTAGTTTTCATCAACATTTTATTTAGTTAATTTTTTTTTTAACATAAAAATAATTTTTTCAAATTGGAAATGTTTTATTTCAAGTCTAACTGTAAAAATATATAAATTTAATATTTTTATGATTTCTCTAAGAAAATTAGAATGAATGATATGCGATACCTAGTCATTAAATTACAATAACTAAGTCAGATCACGGATCAATTCCGGTATATTTTAAAACGTTTAGATTCAATTACATATAATTCATCTTAAGAGAGTTTTAAAAAATACGCTCATGTGTCTATTCACACATTAAGAGTTTTGCAAATAATTTGTTTTTATTCATAAATACACCAAATTGTAAAAATGATTATCTTTCGAGTTTATTTTGAAATTTTTAAAATTAAAATTATTAATATTTGAATAAGGACACTAGGAGTGGTTACGTAAATCAAGTTGGAAAACTATTGACATTGGATTATCTAAATTAAGTGTATGGTGTTAATTTTGATTATACTTGTGCTAACTGTTAAGTACATTGATCTTAGAACTCCCTTAAATTGTACAAAATATATAGTAGCTATTATAATATTAATAATATACGGTACTCATTTAGACTACAGTATACAAATATGTTTGTGCACAAGGCATATAGTTAATAAGAAAAAAAATAGGTATTTAAGCTTCCTTAAAAAAATAATAAAAGCAAACAATAAATTATATGATTGGATTTATAGCATTGTCATTTTATAATGGAGCGTTACTAATCAATTAAAATACCAATAGCAAAAATTAGGTGAAAATTATAATGTAGGTATTTAATTTTTATTCCCATTGATTTATCAAATATAGTTTGTACGCATTTGTAATTTCAAAATTTCAAATTTCTTTAAAGATTTAATTTTCTACTATTCAGAAATGGATTTTTGGTATGGATTAATTGTTCATAATTATAGCCAATATGGGAAAAAATATTCTTAGGACCGTTTTCTTTTCTGTACCTGACACTTACAAACCAAATATGTTCTATTGAATAAACCCACCAACTATGACGCTTACGTCCAATCACGTTTTACTGAATGCCGTTTATGTTTATGACCACATTTTAAAACATTGATTGTTAATAGTAAATAGATGATATCGATGTTTAGGTTGGATTAATCGATGTAGAATCTTGCCGTTTAAGACAATATCCAAAAAAGTCCATTTGAAAAAGTGACGTTTATGCCCTTTTACTTTCTAACTATCGATTTAAATACTTTATTCCTATTCTACTCCTATGAACCAAAGTTCAAAAGTTTGTCAACAAATTATTTTTTTTTTCTAAATAATTGTTACATTCATTTAATTTTAAATGAAAAAATTAATTAGGCCTTTTATAATTTGGTATACTACTAATTAGTTTAGAATTTTATTATTATTCAGTTGGTTTCAATCAAACATACTCTACATGAAGGAATTTCCAGCAAATATTGAATTATAATTTTATATAGAATTTTAATGAGTGGTAAATTTACTATATTTTCCCAGAAAACTAAATAATTATGTTATTATCAAAGTAAATAGAATGAATGGGTACAAAAAATAACTAATCAATAACAGAGGAAATCAAGTTTTATTATATTATATATTTTTTAATTATAAACTAAGTATACTATTATAATATAGTACATCAAGAATACACATTTTATTTGAAAACCAGCTGCATTAAAATATTTGAAATAATCAAACCTAATGCATTTGAATTTGTTTTGAACTAAATTGTGTTGAACAAAATTATTTTTAAAAGAAAAAGTAGAAATTTAATATAATAATACATGACTAAATTGTGGTCGTTTTGGTAGTAATCTGTATAATAACGTGTAAATAATATCATTTGGTATTAAATTTCGTTTAGCATTACTTAAACTATATTAAATATAGTGTATTTTAATATTAGATATAAGGTGACAGTATAACCACAGAATAAACAGAAGGGAATTGAAAGCGGGACAGGTAGTATACCTTTTGAACACTAGAGAAAGGACGCTAATCTGTGCAAACTAAGGTGGTCCAAAATTATCGCAAATCCCTAGAATATGATTTGGTCAATAGTGATATTTGTTTTACATGTAAAGTATAGGAAATTTATTGTTTTTTTTTTTCTTGGTGAAACTAATAAAAAATTATTATTAAACGGTTTTTAAGATCAAATTGTCCTCAATCGAATAGATGTATTTCCAAGTATATAGGACTTTTAGACTAGAAGATATAATTGTTTTTAAAAAAATACTTCCGAATTTTATATTCTTATCAATAATACAATAATATCAATGGATGCGTATTATCATGACTCACACTATCACAATTACAAGGCAAATTATAATATTTGATTATTCGACAATTCTTAAAATTCATGTCGACTCATCAAATATTGAAGTTACGATCACAATGTAAGATACATTACTATATATCTATCTTCGGTATACGTGCAGTTTAGTTATTACATGATTTTTGCAATTTTTTTTTTTCAAAACCTACGTTTTAAAGATGCTAAAATAAATTTACACAAGCCATTAGCTTTTGAGTTATAGCAATTTGAAATTTAGGCTTTTCGTTAGTTAGTTTACATATAGGTAGGTAATTTGGTAAAATGTATACAGGGTGATTTCTTTTATCATGAACCAGAAATTATCTTAGATGATTTTACGTGAATTTGATTTCTGTTTTTTTTTAATCATTATGGAATCGTTTAAGCTTTATTTAAATTTTTTACCCCCACACCATATACCTTAAATAAGTGCATAATTTTGATTTTGAAATAGGAACCCCCTCTTTTGAACACAGAATAATATTCTAGACATTTTTATATGCACAATATTAATATCAGATTTGCCGTTTATGAATTATAACAGTTTAAAGTTTAGACCGGAAGAATAGAGAAGGGTAATAAATTGCCTATTTATGCTTCTATAGTATACTAGTGGTACTCGTCTGATAAAAATTATTCGGATTGTCTGATGGTTGGCAACAAATTTACTGTAGTCATTTTTTGAACAAGTGTCATTTACTCATTTACCGGTTTTGAAACCATAAATAATAATTCTATTATCTAAATTTGAAATAAAAACTTATACAAAAAAAATACTACAATAAAAAATTTTGTTTTTTAATAATGAATGATATAATAATAAATAATAATGAATAATATAGAATTTTCTATCAAATTTTTAAGAAATCATTTTTGTTTTTTTTAATTTCAGCTTATTTTATGTCTCCTGGATTGATTTAAGGAAACAAAATGATACTTATTCAATAAGTATACCCACTGCAGAAAACATTTAAATTATTATGTTCATAACAAATAAAAACAAACATTAAAATTTTTTAAGAAGAATATTGAATAAGTATTATAATTGATTAATTTCTTATAATATTTTTATTACATTATTATTTGTTAATATTTACAATTTAGTAATCAAATAACTACAATAATAAAATTTTATTTTGATCAGATTTTTTTATTCTCCATATCTAATGATGAATATTGTTTAGTACATAGTGTATAGCAGGGGTGGTCGAGTTTAATTGAACTATGAATTTTTCTAAGTTGTAGTGATTCACCAAAAAAAAAAATATATTTTTATTCATTCGAGACTCAAACTCATGTCAAGATCAACCAACAAGTCACTATTAGTGTATAAGATAATACAAATATATTTTTTTTGGTCCTTTCAAAATTATTATTATAGATACTTAATATATTATGTTAAATTAATTTAACACATAGATATGAGATTTGTGATATATATTTAAAAATGTATAATACATAAATCAAGTTATTAACTTTTAATAAGGCATATTGTATTTAAAATATTTATACATTTATAATAGGTACAAAGATTTAAATTATTTAAATATTAAACTACCAAAGATAAATTTAGTATTAAAATGTTCACTTTATAGGTAACGAGAAACCTTGTTTTGACTAGGCATAGAACAAAATTATAACTTTAGTAGTTAAGTATAATTATTATTGTGTGAAACATAAAGAGTAAATAACATAATTTAACAAAGAAAATATTTATAACAACTATGATAATTATTATTGTAAAATAAATACAATAGTTTAAAGTCAAAGAAGAAAATTGAAAATTGATTAGTGCTTCTTTTTAATTTGTTAATAACACAGTAGATACAGAAAGTAGAATAATTTTATTTTTAATAATAAATATTTAAATAATAATATAATATGTAGTTTTACCTTTTAAATTATGAATTTCTAACATCATTATTCAATTTAAAAATATCAATATTAATTTTTTATATGTGTCATACAATTTTACTTTGGGTTACATTTTTTGTCAGCTAAATAATATAGGTAAATTGAAATTCAACATAAAAAATAATGAGTACCTATAGCTAATATAAACATGTCTTATGTAATTTAATAGCAAAAGTATAATTAGGTATACTATGAACTAATAAATATTAAAGAAACAGGTTTAGAAGAAAATTGGATAGATATTCTAATTACTGAGATGTTCAATAAAATTATGTTAATGATAAACAAAATAAAATTTGTTCGAAGCAATATAGGTACTTTTTTTTTTGGCATGGCAATACAAAAATATAATATTCAGATAATTTAAATAATAGTAATTATTGATTATATATATATATCTGTTTAATATATTCATATTCTTAGTAAATGGGCAATTAAAATATCACATATTTAATATATACGCTATTATGTTTGCATATTTAATAATAAATAAATTATGTTAATAGGATTTATGTGTATTGCATTGAAATAGAGATACCTACACAATATAATATAACAATATGAGTAATTGTTAAAATATGAAATGTGTCGTTTAAAATATTTATTAGAGCTCAATGTATAATAATACTTGAACTATTTAACTGACAAAATCTAGGTATACAAATATCTAATAGCCTAACTCTAGATATAATTAACTTACTTGAAACTCCATGATTTTTTAACTACACGTCTCAACAGGATGTTGTTTTTAGGCAGGATCTTCTGCCACCATTTGTTTGTAATTCTTTGGCTATAGATAAATGAAAGCAATAATAAAATTAGAAACAATAATATTTAGACGGAGTATATATATATATATATATATATATAAGTACATGTTTGTGCTCATTATGTACAAAATATAATTGATTTTATCCATACACTATTACAGCCATAACAACTAAAGTCATAGTGTAGGACGAGCAATAAATGGGCACAGGGCCAATGACTTACGTGAAACTCGTCGATAGTGAATAGAATTCGAATATTGGTTCCAAAACAGTTTATAGGTGTGTTTGGATGTAAAAATAAAATATAACAACAATGACTAAAAAATATATGATATTATTAAAAAACAAAGAGTTATATTGTAATAGGACGAACGGTGACGTTATAGAAATTGAACATTAGGTACGATTTGTGTGGAGGAGAATACGACGATGATCTCTTTTTCTTCGCAGAGCATAAAAAATTTGATATTTGAAAAATTTTCACCAACACTTTATTATCACAATAAAAATACAATATTATTATTATTAATGATTTTTTGTTTTTTTTTTTTGTAGTATTTGATAAGCAGGTTGTACGAACAACCGGAAGAAAAATAATAACAATGATGCCGCCGCTGGAAACGTTAAGGTAAGGTCCCACTGAGTGCGATTTGTGCGTGAGTATTTCGGCGATACACACGCTCGATATCCACCAGCGATTTTGATGCTGACATTTGAGCGTTTTTACACGTGAACCGACGTAACAAAACCGACGTGGATGTCATTTTGTTCACTATTAATCGCCGAATATCAAACTGTTTTGTTTTTTGAATGATTATCGCGCGTGTAACTTGAAACTGAAAACGTGATACGCGCGCAGTGGGGCCACTACATATGAATTATTATGCTGTAGTTGTTAAAATCGCCAAATCGCCGAATCGACACACGTTATCGTAAAAACGAAAATCGCTCTCAGTGGGGACGTACCTTTAGTCATCGACCCGCCGTCGCCGGCATAGCGCTACCTACTGGCACGAACCATAACCGTTATACTATTTTTACCACGGTCTCGAATTAATACAACGATAGAATTAAACGTTATAATTAATTCATTGATAATCCAATAATCAAGTTAAACGAACTGATTATATTTATTATCGAACACGGCTTCAAAACAATCTAAATGTTTCTAGAATGTGAACGGTGGTCAGTGCATAATATTACTATTCATCGGCGTATTTGCGAACCGGCAGACAGAGCTGCGGTCGCCGGCGGCGGAATTGGATCGCGTTTTTCATTATCACGGACACATCGTTATCGTTTCCCGTCCGCAGTGGTCACACTGAAGGAGTGCACGAGAATTCGCGTATTGTTTTTTTTTTTTATTATTATTTAATTCTTCTAATCTTTTTTTTTTACCGGTCATGCACCTCATCATCTTTCCGCTCGTTAATAGTTGGTCTCCCTCTCGCTGACTGATTGTACGGTTTGTTTTTATCAAGCCGAAACGATATCCATTTCGGTCCGCTGCAGTCGTGCCGCCGGCTGTACTTGCGTTTTTCCACCACCTTCGCCGGTATTCGAGCACGCCGCTGTCGTGGATATAGATTAGGACGTCGTTTCGTGTAGCGATTTTTAAAACGGAAAATTCGCATCAGTATCGTATTTCCCTGGGACACACTTGTCGCCGCCACCGTATCGTCCTTATTTCGCCACTACCAGGTATAATATAAAAATTATAACAATAATGATAACAATTTTGTCCGTGTGGTATACCTACCTAACAGAGTGTTTTTTTTAAAATACATTTTTGATAAATTTTTTTTTTCGAAATTTTAATTTAACAAATTTTTTTTCTCGATTTTTCGTCAATAAATCCAGTGAATCGCGTGCCACGAGTGTTGTACGGTACGCCGCCGTCGATGCCTACCTAAGCGTATCGTATGTTGGCCGTAGACGGGTCGGTCGCCGCATACGGCCGATGAGTCAAGCGAAGTCAAGCGGTCATCATAGTCATGGACTTCGATTCGGACCAGAGCCTGAAGGAATGGGCAAAGGACAAACCACTCAGCATACTGCAGTTGGACCCGGCCGACCGGGCGGTACTTCGCATAGCCGGTGAGTCAAGTTTTGAACTTGGTAATATTACATTAGCGTAGAAGTATTGATGTTTTGGATGCGACATGGGATGCGGTTTGATTATGTAGGTTAATCGAGTTTTCCCCTCACGCCATACCATTAGGTACCACCCCGCTTAACCTCTTGCTCTTTGTGTATTATTAATTATTAAGTAGTAATTAGGTACCTTTATGGCTCTAATTTTGTGTTTGAACAAACTTTAGTATGTAGGAAAATGGCTTTAATTATATTGTGTCAAACAGTTTTAATGTGGCAGACTAGTGAATTTTAAACCATAGGTAGGTAGGTAGGTACGTGATAATATTAATATGTGCTCTCGTCTGTTATCGTTATTAGGAAAAAAAAACTTTTCGCCAAACACACTAGTATATAAATCATGCGACTAGGCGACAATGTTACAATTATTATTTTATTATTATACAGAGCGATACGCTTATCAAATCTGTTGTTTTTAAATACGTATTTTTTACGAAACTTGTCGATAATGTTGAATTCAGTGTACTTGGGAGCCCCAAGTACGTATTCGTTAATTCAAAACGGATTTTTCATTGTTTGCCGAGTGTTTTTATTTTTTGTATAGACGTTAATTTGTCGTTATTATAAATTATAATAATTACCTATTATTATTATTATTATTTTTACTATTTTCCTAAAAATAACCACATTTTTGTAACCTTGGAAGTGATTACCAAACAGTAGTGGTAGTGTATTATAGATAATTATGATTGGTACCTGATATTATTATTATTATTATGTGTGCGTTGACCACTATAATATAATGAAAATCGTCGACGCGATGGAAAGTGCGCATAACCTAAAGGTGCATTGTACAAATTAAACGTGCAATGACTCGTTTGTAATTTTGTTTTATATTTTATTTTTTTCGTTCGCTATTTTCGTCCGACATTTTAATCGCAGACAGGTCAGTCGGGTGGAAGTAAGAGACAAAGGAAAAGTAAAAAAAAAAAAAAAAATTGCTTATTGTTACAATTTTTGTTTTTTTATTTAAACGCGTTCGACCGGTTCTCGGCCGTTTTCGTACGTTACGTCGTCGTATAAAGTGTTCCAAATAACGTCTTATCATCGTCCATCGCCGCGGAACACACGTGCGCCGCATAACAGTAAATAAAGATAACAACAATCACAATCGTAATAATAATAATAATAATAATAACAACAACAACAACAATAATCATAATTCGTGACGGGACGCGCGCGTGATGGGGTCGCGGCGCTTTGGCCCAGTAATCGACAAATAATAATTACAATCATTTATTATCGATCGACGACGTTGACGTGTACCCGCGTGATTTACGGTACGCGCTAATTTGCATAACTCCGCGGCGGCGGCGGCTCCAATAACGGATCGGTACGCGTGTGCGTGGGCGTGCGCGTATTATTTATTTTTTTTTTAACTACCGGCAACCTCCGAATCGCGACCTTGCCCTAACCGTCGTCGCCGCCGCCGCCGCCGCCGCCGCCGGACATGTGATCTCTCGACACCAGCTTGTCGGCCACCGTTTACCGATCGCGTCCGTGCCGCCGCAGATCTTGTAGCCCCCGGGGCGGGTCGTCGGCTGATCGGGTTTTGACCCGGACGGATATTACTGTTATTATTGTTACGTTTATCCGTGGCGCGTTGCGGCCGCGGCGGCGCGAACGCATACCGCGAGCGAGTCCGGCGAAATTACTTTTCGCCGGTAATACCGGTGAAAAAGACCTATCGCGCCAACCGCGTTTTGTGTACATACTCGTACGATATCGTGTTTAAACCGTTATTAACTGCATTAACAACCGAATATTCTACTTCGGATACCTACAGGTTTTGAACGAACGCCCGCCGAGCCGGTCAATCCGCTCACTGTGGTTATATAAATAGGGCGCTATTTATAAATACCCGCGAGTTTTCAGTTTCGCAGAACTACCCTAGCGCCGTCACTGCGACACCCAACTGCTCAAGTCCCGCGCCAGTCCGTAATAGTAATTCTGTCCGCGAATCCGACGACCACGGCCGTCCGTCGGCGTGGCTCCGTCACACGCGCAAACACTACACGGTACTCGCCTACAAATACGGCCGGCGGGTTTCCGGGAAATTTTTCCCCGGCCACCAGTTTTATCGCGTTTAACGAACCGCTGCTGCGTTTAAAATTCGAAATCCGTTATTCCGATCGGAAATCTGCGGCGTGTGCGTACGCGAAAAAAATAAAATATAATTGACGGCGTTGGTCACGCCCGTGTTTGTATTGTGCGTACCATCATTGTGTTCGGTACACGCGCACAGAAATACGGGGCCCGTCAATCTCGTGGGTCGACACGATTTTTGCGATGGTATCGGGTGCGGGAGGCGCGAATAACGGCCGTTTCCCGAACGTGCAGTGCGGCGTCGGCGGTCGATGATTATTTTTGTTATTACGATTATTTTCTCCGTTTCATTTTGCAAACGTATTCTCTCGTTTTCTCGATTGGTGCGTTTCTGATTGGACGCGATTGCGTTTAGCTTTATACATATATATATATTTTTTTAACTACCCGGTTAGTATAAATAAAATTAGGTTACATACCTGCGGCGGCGTGTCCTGGCAATCGCCAACGTGCCTTTTCCCCGACGCGACGTATAATAATTTCAAGATTCAAGTTAAATATGATTCCGGTTTAATGTTATAAACCCGATAAAATCGTATTAATAACACAATCCTATGGAAATTACACGGACATTTTACGACGGTTGTTCCAAAATTGTATCTTCCGTCTTCGTGGATAAAAATATTATGGCAATGGCATTTCCCTATAAAGTAATACAACCAATGTTTAATGCTTATCGTGATATCGTTAATATTGTTATAGTTGCAGTAAATTGGTTTAGTCCTCGATTCAGTCGGTTTAGGTAGGTGATTGATTCAACTATAACTAACCATAATTATATTTTATAGGTACGTCCGACTCAGTAAGGGGAAACTTTGAAAAAAAATTCTACCTTTCTTTTAGTGGGGGGGGTGGTGGTGATATGACTGTTAAAAATATCCGGAACAGGTCATAAGTAATATATACTACGTATCACACTATTTTATTAACATTTAACATTAACTATAAAATAGCAAATACCTATTGGCAATATGTATGATCATAATGATATTGATTGCTTTGCATAATAATATAATTTGTCATAGAGTGTAAATTGAAATTCAATAAATCGATGCACCTCTAATCAAATGTTAAATGATAATTTTGAACAATTTTGGTACCAAATGTGGTAATAACGAAATAAAATATGTAGATAGAGCCAATATCCAATAGGTAAAAATATCGACGGTACCTACAGAGTTTAGAATTTGGAAGCCAATTCAATTGCACCGAAATAACAATTTTCTAAAATACTTTCTACCTATACCAAGGTAGAATAATATTATTTTTAAAATACGTCTGCATGCATCTTGTATTTTAATTTTTTTTTCCTTTTTTTCGTTTTTACGCAATTCTTCCAATAAAAGCAATACAGAAAGATACTATTATCTTGAATAAGTATTATATATATGCACACAAAATCCATATCTACCTATAATTAAGTTTGTAAAGTGTATCTAAATCGATATTAGTAGGTGCAATAATATGTGTTTCACGAGTCTTTGAATTAATATACAATTGTATAAAAAGTGCACCATTCCATGCATATCTTTAAGTATTTGTACAAATTCTACCACA